AGTTGTATTTACATGGCTGTGTTTCGGTTTGAAGGGTGGGATATGGCGTAAATTTACAGGGTACAGAGGAATAACATGTGAGTCTTCAGGAATGGCAACGCATGAGTGGTATCATGGGCGAAACAGTATACTCTATTATGTCCATGGTACTGCTCATGGCTATAGGCGACGGTTACCACTTTCCATGAGGTGGGCCGCCAGCTTATTTGCCATTCTAAGTTTGTATAAAAAAAAAGAGCTACCTTTCCTTGTTCGTAAGTGTCTTTAGAGACGTTAAAACATCTCAAAAAGCCTAACTGAGATTGGCAACCCGCCTGCTAACCATGGCAGCTACTGACAAAGCAACTCTTATGGCGAAGCCTTATGTCCAGCAGTGGACAGTTAACGGCTGAAATAATAATAATAATAAAAATTTCATTATTAATATAACCAGATTCACTCGTATTATTTTGTTTTTTTTTTTATTATTCTTTATTAACCACATTACAATACATGTATGTATATTTTTTTATTCTAGAATGTTCAACTAGTTTCTATAACATTCGGACCTCATAAATAGAGTAGTTATAACATGAACACTAGCCTGTCTTGATCAAAAAAAAAAACTACACATGTGAACTTTCTATCAAATTTCTACGGAACTAATCTGAGAGTACCTATATCCATTCAGATAAAAAATAATTTTCCAAGTCGGTTTATAAATAACAGATTTCTCGATTCTTTATTTGAAGTCGATTAAAAAAAAGGTTACCATGATTTTATTATGATTTTAACTATGTATTAAAATTCAATATGTACAAAAATTGGTAACAATAAAATTTACAAATAAAAATATTTGCCACTACTTATCTATAGGCACCGATATTAACTAAGTTATCATCAGCCATTAACTGTCTGCTGGACATAATAGATAGGACTCCCTTTATGGGACAGGCTTATGTCCAGCAGTGGACATAAGCCTGTCCCATAAAGGGAGCTTCGCTAGTAGTTGCTACACTGATATGATAATGATGATATATATATATATATATATATATATATATATATATATATATATATATATATATATATATATATATATATATATATATATATGTATGAATATATATATATATATACATATGAATATAAACTACATATACATATATGTAGTTACTTTTATAGCATCAAGTGTTTTAGCCAGATAATATTGAGTTTCATCTTTAGCTGCACGGTTTTTACCCTTGAACATTCTAGAGTTTTTCTATTATATTCTCAAAGATTGGCTATAAGGACATCTTTTAATATTTCAATTTAAAATTATATATGCACAATAAAGATTTTACAATACAATACTTTATAGTCATTAGTTACGCCTTTAAGTCGCAATAAAGTAACAAACAAATTTTCATATTTATAATATTAAGTGAAAATTTTATTTTTAGTCGCAAAAGAGATAGTAATATAGCCTTGCAATCCTTAGAGACTAAATTAAACCAGTCTAGACATGTATTATATAAATGAACTCGACTCCGATATAAATCAATCACATGCAAAATTGAGTATTACAATTTTAGTACCTATTTACTGATAGAACACTTGTAATTTGTATAATACAGAAATCCATTTTTCAAAGATTGCATACTTTATTTATTTACTTTTATTCATTTTTATTTATTTGTTTATTTTACACACTAATAATACATAAAAAGTATGACAGTAATATAGTAGAGAGTTGTATGGTACATCCAAAACCCATCACGGGAAGAATGGAGACTGAGAGTGGGCGCGCAGCATATAGGGAGTCACCCTTGGATGGGTCTCTGGCGGTGTTCCGGTAGACTTCAAAGCGTGAACCCGCGGTACCGTCGCTATTATGAGACCCATCTACCTCCCAAGGTATATCGTCAGGTTATTTAGCCGGTAGGAGTCCGGCAGTACCCACACGGTCCCTAAGCTGTGTGGGTCTGCATGATGCATTTTTCCTTACGTAAAAAAAAAGAGAATTGTATGGTTCTACGAAAAATATAAAAGCATTCATTGACATTCCAAGTATCGTAATAAAAAATACAAATTCCTACCATCATTGTCTTGTAGTTAAAAATAGAAATCGCCAGTCTATTTATAAAACAAATTGATATTTTTCCGTTTGCGATTTCATACTTTATATACTAAATTTATTTCACTGCCCCACTTCACTCATCGAGATTTGAATCTCAACTTGTGTCCTAAATTGATTCAGAAATGATCCGCAGACTGTATAAACTCATTTCGTGCCGACAATCAGTCATTTTTAACGCTTTTTTTAATTCAAATATAGAATTATTTAAAAAAAAATGCGTCATTTGAGGTATTGCCAGTATTCACTGTTTACTAGTATTATTTCTTTTTTTTATGCAACTAAGAATAACAAACAAGCTAACGGCCCACCTGATGGAAAATGGTAACCGTCGCCTATAGACATGGATAGTACCATGGGCATAACAGAGTATACCATTTCGCCCATGATACCTCCCATGCGTTGCCATTCCTGAGGACTCAGGTGACATTCATCTATACCCTGTAATTTCAATGCCACATCCCACACTTCAAACCGAAATAGCCATGCAAACTCAACTGCTTCAAGGTAGACACACGAATGGGACAGAGGTGCCCAAGCAAAACGACTTTTATACTAAATCTCTCTCTGGTAAAGGTTCTTAAGAACTGTCATCATCATCATCATCACATCAGTCATTAATTTTTCACTACAAAACATAGGCTTCCCCACTTGGAAGGTTTTGCCACGCTTGGCGGGCGGGTTGGCAGCAAGGTTTAGGTGGTGTTTTTAGAGGAACACTGCTACGCAGCCTTCGACCATTCTCTTAGTCACCTTTTACGCACGGGAAAAGAAGGGATGGCCCATTCTTAGGCCAAGACAACATGGCATAGAACTGTGTATAATTTAATTTAAAAATTTAAAATACAATTAAAATATTACAAAAAAGAAAGTATTTTTGTGGTATTCGCGCACACACTGACGAATCATTTCAATGTGGTTTTATAATACAAATTCACTCACACAAGAATAAAAAGTAGGGCTGTATCTGGCCTGTCGTATTATATTTCGATTTAGCTTCTTCCAGTGTTACGTTAGATATGGATTAAGACGCCGAGAAAGCCTATTCATTACCGACATCTGGTCTCATTTAGCGAAATGTGTCGAACTCAGCTAATGGCGGCTAACGCTGTTATGGCATATAAAACTCGGATATTAACAGCCATAAGCTTTCATAACCCAAGATTGCCGTCTAAGTAGCTTTGGCAGAAGCGAATCCCGTCTGACCCGGTTGCTTTTGCATGACGTTAAATGTTATCATTATAATCTGCTTATATTACTCTAAATGGACGATGTTTTTTGTATATTACTGCGTATACTTTTCTTTTAATTTCGGTAATAAAATAATAATATAAACTTGATTACTTTGTTCAAGTTACTGGTATTTAGTAAGTCGAATTTAGAACAACCTGATTCGAGATTTAAATTACCATACAATACCACATTTTGCTTCTTAAAAAGAGGCTTCGATATTGAAAAGATTTGAATTTAGAATGCAAAAATGCGTAACCATAATTATATTTTAGTTAGCAACAAAAACTTTTTATTTCACGAAAAAAAAAAGATAATATTTATAATAATCATAGAATTAATATAAATCCAAAACGAAACTAAGTACTTATCATTTGCAAAAACAATCAATTAATCAAGCCTTCAGATAATCTGCGAAACCCTAAGCTATTTGGGTAATTCGAGGACAAAACTCAGTCTATTGCCTTGCCGTCGTTTCGCAACGAATAACTAAAAAGAATTACGAAAATCGGACCATAATCATAGTTGGCAACGTATTTGCGTAACATAGCCATAAAAATAATTAAAATTAGAAACTAGTTTCACATTTCTTCTTTGGAAAACTTTCCTCTTCTGTCAATTCTCTGCAATTTGATTAAATAACTGAATGAATAATGAATGATAATTTTATTTGCTAGAATTCAGGTTAATACATTAAAAGTATTTAATGTTAAAAGAAAAGACTCTTTGCAATCAATTGTGTGGCGTACAAATATTTTATTTGGAACTTGTTCTTAAAATTTTGTATTAAAAGACTATTTCAAGTGAATTAAAATATTTCTCAATAAGTCAATTGTAAAGTTTCTCGTTAAATTTTTTGTCGGTCAGACCTCTGTATTCTGTAATATTTAAATTGCCTTACCTATTTCCACCGTTAAGTAAATACATATATACGTACCTGTGATTTTTATCTGAGATAGATAACCAATCACAAATTATGATTAATTTACACAGTATTCTGTAATTACCATATTATTATTTGTTATTTAAGGGAGACTTTGTACAAAAGTCGATTGCTTGGGTACCTCTGTCCCATTCTTGTTTCAATCGTGAAGCAGTTGTTTGCATGGCTGTATTTCGGTTTGAAGGGTGGGATATGGCGTAAATTTACTGGGTACAGAGGAATAACATCTGAGTCCTCAGGAATGGCAACGCATGGGGGGTATCATGGGCGAAACAGTATACTCTGTTATGTTCATGGTACTGCTCATGTCTATAGGTTACGGTTACCACTTTCCATCAGGTGGGCCGTCAGCTTGTTTGCCATTCTACGTTGTATAAAAAAAATGTTATTATATATGTCTTTAAAAAAAATAATAAAAAAATATTTATATCTATTAGGTAATCCTATTTTTATTTATAGTAGGTCATCAACAAGTATGTCATATACTTAAATAGCAGTACAATGTTAATATACAGATATCAATTACGTTGTGAGAATTTCATTAAAACTCCTCAAATAATCTCACGAACTAATATTATTTTTTATGGAATATCCTCATGTGAGTCTAATGTTTTGTCATTTTTAAAAGACCATAAAATACCATGAAACTTCGTAAGGCCTTTCCCTGTTCTGTTCCATATGAATGACAATATCTCAACAAGGAAAAAATAAGGAAATAAAATACTAAAGTGTACGGTAATTATTTATTTTATACAAACACTTCAAACAATAATTATAAACGCTAAAAACGTTTTAAATATTCAATATACAAAAAAGAGTTTCTGCAATGGTTAAAGCAAAAAAGTTGGTGGAATAAGAAAAATCAAAATTTAACAATATTCTTGAAAAAGCTAACGTTATATAAACAAGCATATCTGAACCATCAAATAAATACGAGTATATACAATCGAAGCCAATGAGGTTAAAAAGTAATAATTTATGTACTATAACTCTCTTTCGTTTTGAATTCCTTTAACCACTTTTTACATCTCTGGGTATAAGCTTGACGTCCAAATTTGTTGGTCTCACTTGAACTTGTTCTTTACGATATTGAATCGCATCTCCATTTATAATCGATTTCACTGTAAAATGTCTAAGTAAATATATCAAACCAGTTTTCACTTGCAATCTTGCGAATCTAACACCAATGCATACCCTATTGCCTTTTCCAAATGACAGAAATGTGTTATTATTATGAGGACCCTCATTTGCAAACCTATTTGGATCAAATACATCAGGATTTGGATAATATTCAGGATCGTGATGAAGATCGTATATAGGAACTACTACACTGGTGCCTTTTTCGATTGGTATTTTACCCACAGGTAGTACTGTGTCACGTACACAGAATCTATTTAAAAATCCAATTGGAGGATGCATTCTTAAGCTTTCGTTTAATACGTTTTCTAAATATTCCATTTCCATTACTGCTTCGTAAGTCAATTTTCCGTTATATTTTCCAAATGTTGTATCTATTTCATCGTGGACTCGTTGAAGGTATTCAGGATGTTTGCCTAGTTCATATAAAGTACTAAATACCGCTGTGGCACTAGGTTCTACACCCGCATTAAAGAAAAAGAATGCTTGTCCTGCAAGCAGTTCATCAGTCGGTTCTAATTTGAGTCCAGTATCGCGATCTATCATGGTTCCTTGTTTTTGCAAACTCACAGCTTTATCAGCAAAGTCGTGCTTCTGTACATTTTCTTTTTCTCTTTGACGAATAATCTTTTTTATGGCACCGATAAAAAAATCCTCGTATTCTGCGAAAATCTTTATACCAAGTAGTTTCGCTAGCCACGGACTGAAGTTAAAAATAGTGAACTTAATATTAATCATAAACGTAGACCGGAATGCTTTCTTGCCGATCTCTAAGAATGGCGAATCAAATACCGATTCTGTTACGATTCCAAAAACAGAAGCACATATGGCAGCACTGCAGAACTGTAGCATCAATTCATATGTATCCTCATTCCGTTTCTGTTTATTCTTCTTTAGATAATTTATAAAGTCTACAGCACTCTTGTCCAGTATGTAAAACATGTTCTTTAATTTAGCACTTGTGAAGAGTGAAGTCATATTCTGCCTCATTAACTTCCATCTATTACCATTCATGAATAACAGATTGTCGGCTAGATGGTCATTCTCGTTCATATTGAGACCTCTGTCACTGAAGGATTGAAAGTCCGTTTGCAGAACATGTTGTATATTAGTTGGATCGATTACCAGCACAGTTGGTCTGAAAAGGGTACCTATGCCCACAGCTGGATCCTTGCGAAACTTATTGTAAAACTCCGATACCAACAAAAAGAATGGCCGTTTACCAATTATAAATTCTCCAATAACGCCGAAATATTTGTAATCGTTTTGTACTTTAATTCCACGTTTGCTCCAATAATTATTATACTTTATGTATACATAACAAAAGGATAATATTAGAACAATTATATATAACAATAATATTTGTAAGAACATATTGTTTACGTCCACTGCTTTGGAGCGTGAAGATAAAAATGTTCGATATTTGTAACATACACGAGTATTTATACATTTATCAGGAGACGATTTTGTAAATAACAATGATAATTAAATAATTTTTTTCTAAAGTCTCGATATTATTATATAGCTAATTAGCGACACTACAATATATGTTACTGTAACAATCCAATATTATTTTCTAAATTAATACTAACAAATATTAAATTGGCTAATTGAATTTTAATATTTTAGTGTACCTTTTCTGTAATGTCGTCGCCTATTTTAGTTTTGCTTTTTTTTCTTTTATTCACAAAATATATCGAATAACAAAATTATATGACTTAATTTAAATTAATAACGAAGTACTTTTTGCACGGAATAATTACAAATTATATTTAAAAATTTTGGCAAGAAACGAGACAGGGACTTGAGATACGATAAAATTAATATGATACAAATAGGGAAATGAGCAAAAAGAAATTTCGTAATTAAATTTATGAAAATCGATTTAAATTTATATTTTATTTTTATTTCACTTTTGGAAAATATGACTTAAACTGTACACAATAATTTTGATTTGGATTTATATAATCTTCTCATTTTTTAATATGTTTAAAGACAATAATTCAAAGAAACTGTCCATGACATTAAGTAGTAGTAATACACATATACAAATACACTACAACTTTATGTGTAGTGTATTTCTACTAATGTCCGAACGAACTCGGTTTCAGTTTCGGCTAATTTCGGCTAAAAATTAGCCGAAACTTTCAGACACGCCGAAACTTTGTGCGTCTGTTTGTGTTATGTGTGTAGATACACTGAAAGTTGCTAATTGAACGTTTTTTTTAAGTTTACTTCTAAGAGTAAGTCATAATTTTAACATGTTTTTACATATAAATATATTTGACATATTTGTTACATACTTTAATTAGTGTTTATTATAACCCTTTAACTATTTGTGTGTTTGTATAAATAATTGTGTAAAAATACACTAGATTTCAGTATAGAAGAGAAATTTTAAATATGTTTTAGTAAGTTTCGGTTTTGGCCGAAACTGAGACCAAAGCCGAAAGTTCGGTTTCGGTTTCGGCTGTAAAGCCTATTACGGTCGGACACTAATTTCTACAGACTACTAGATGCACTTCAAACACGTCACTTTATTGAATACAAACTGTATATGACCACTGTATACGCTTACCGCGTATATTATAAAAAAAAAAAAAAACTATTAACCACAGGTTGAAGGCAGAAAATGGGAAAACATCTATAAAGTATTAGAATACATGAAATCAAAAGTGGATTGCCTGGAGTACATCGAGATAAAACTTTACAAATACTAGGTACTTATTAACTGACCGCGATATCACAACGTCTAGCGGTAAAGTCGATCCAAAGTCATTTTCTCTTGAGTGTTAACCTCTAATTTGTTATCTACATATTGTACTATTACTATATTATCTTCAACCGACTTTTAAAAATACGAAAGTTCTCAATTCGGTTGTATTTGTTTTTGTTTATTGTCTCATAACTCCGTCAGTTTATTTGTGTGTTTGTTTATTTATAGAAATATCAACAACATATTGCATGGATACTATAATGACATGATATGTATTTTTCCTTCTGGACTTGTTCTATTCCATTATCGCTGTTATATCTTAGTTATTTGTTAATTAAAGTGTGAAAGATAATAAATTTAATTTATGTACATTTATCATGATAATATTAAAACGAATGAAGTTTTAAATCTTTAAGTCATCGTGAATTGTAGAACGTTCTTTACTTTGTTATATAACAATTGGTAAACGATTGCTATAGCATATTTTTTATTACTAGGTATCTAAATTTTAGATGGAGCGTCGAGTATCAAATATGACCCTAAATTGATGAGCCAAAATTATGTACATTAAATGTTATATTTATTTATAATTTTGTAGAAGTGGCGAGCTTAATGCTTAATATAGCATTATCTACCAGCTAACCATTAGGTAAAAACAAAGTATAATAATAATAATAATACACAAGAAATACACACACACATATATATATATATATATATATATATATATTATAGCCATATTAGTCATAAATCTAGTTACTACTCGAAGCCTAATGTTAACTGTTCGACACCTAAACTGCCGAATGATTAACACTGGCTCAAATATAGGCGCATATACCCTAAAATGAAGCATCGAGAATCAAACACATGTTTAATTCATACGCCTTAAATCTAATTTTACTTGATTTTAAAATGTTATTTTTATAGTTTTGATTGAAAATATGATGAAAAATGTATTAATGCTGTTATCTATTAAAATATTAAGATCATTTACAAATTAATTTTATTAATCCAATGCACCATCATTTACTCTCTCCGTTTGGTATGAAGGTAGCGAATGCCACCAGACACGAAATTCATCCTTTATATATATTTTAATGTGTGTAAAAAAAAAATAAAAAAAAAAAATTCCATCCCCCCTTAAAGTTTCTAAAGCAAAACATTTGAAATAATTAAAGTTATAAAGGTATATATTACTGGAAAAATAAAACGATCCTTCTGTCCAGCATTGTTTTTAACAAATTATTAAAATACCACCAAAACAAAGTTAAACGGTTCCAGTTTTTAACTACAATTGTTACTCGAAGTAAGAATTGTTTAGTAATCATTAATTCTGACTCGTTCGTTGCAGCTCTCTCGCCCCCGCCACTCAGCACGTATAACACGTCGTCACTTTATATATAGTTTTAAAATAATACCAAGTACCTTTGGACTTTACATCCACTATAACCTGCATACCATAGTAAGATATATAAATACTATACATTAATAATAACAACTATTAGTTCGCTATTTCGTTTGTTGAATGCAATAAAAGTAATTTTATCTCGTAATCTGAAATTTCTTAATTCGGTTATTTTTTTTTATTATATTTATTACCTCGTAACGTCGTCAGTTATAAACCAAATTGGAGAATTATTTTTATTTCTGAAAGGATATACTTACAGATTTGTTCCATTACAATTTTATCGAAATCAATTAAGTAGTTTAATTTTTTAAATAAAAATAACTGATCGTGCCACAATTGAAATCGGTTTTTTGTGGAAAACAATTTTATATTCATTTTTTATTTATTTATTTACTTGCTCTGTTTTGCATCACTTAAAGAAAAATTTTGGTTTTAGCATTGCATTTAATCTATGATTCTGCCCGTCACCGAGAAATACAAATCGTTCTTTAGAGTAATTAGGAATATTCATGAATGGAGTGTGAGTTAAACGTGTAAATTAAAACACGCGTCAGATCAAGGTTTTTTATCAGATTAAAAATTATCTGTATATAAGTGACTGACTATATTCGAATGGCAAACAAGCTGACGGCCCACCTGATGGAATGTGGTAACCGTCACCTATAGACATGAGCAATACCATGGACATAACAGAGTATACTGTTCCGCCCATGATATCCCCCATACGTTGCCATTCCTGAGGACTCAGGTGTTATTCCTCTGTACCCTGTAAATTCACTGCCATATCCCACCCTTTAAACCGAAACATAGTCATGCAAACACAACTGCTTCACGGTAGAAACATGAAAACGACTTTTGTACAAAGTCTCCCTCTTGTCTGCTCTCTGATATTCTTAAACAATTTACCTAGACATTAAAACGATAGTATACTTATATAAAAAAAAAAACAATCACTTTATGAGAGTAATATTTATTATAATTATAATATTTCAGATTCAAATTAGAAATAACGGTTTCATATCAATTTATTACAATCTTACTTTAGTATAATTATATTCAGATCAGCAATAGACAATTAACAGCTAATATGATTATGATGACAATTTTACTTATTAGGTCTGGATATGTGTGGATATCGCCGTGTAATCCCGTCATAGATTAGGCCATCCCTTTCTTTCCCATGGACGTCGTAAGAGGCGATTAAGGGAGAGCGAGGGATGGGCAACAGCGTCCCTGTTAGAACATCTCCGAATCCGAGACTCAAAAATGTTTCTCATTTATCAATCCCAGATCCTTAGTAAAAAGTACGTCAATTTAAACTGACAGAACAAAAATAATATCTTAAAAAGTGTACTATTAGTGTGTTGAATTATTAATTCGAACACATAGTTACAAATAAATTATTAATTCGTATTGAAACCAAAACGTATATATTTACAGACATGAACGAATGTTCAAACTGACGGCCCACCTGATAGAAAGTGGTAACCATCGCCTATATATATATGTATATATAACGTCTACAGCTAATACTCATGACCGCTATTTAATTTCTTTTTTGTATGTATCAATTCTATCTCAATTCACACATGTTGTCTAGGTATAAGTTTAACATCCAAATTACCAGGTCTCACTTGAACTTGTGCCTTCTTATATGTAATTTTGTCGCCAAGAACTTTTGATTTAACTGTAAAATTACGAAGTATGTGTACTAAACCAGTTTTCACTTGAAGTGTCGCATATCTCATACCCACACAAAGCCTATTACCTTTTCCAAAAGGCATATACAAAGTGCTACTCTGTAGAGAATCATTTTCAAACCTGGTAGGATCAAACACAGTAGGATTAGGATAATATTCAGGATCATAATGTATATCAAATACAGGAGTAATTATATTAGTGCCCTCCTTTACTGGTATATTACCCACCGGCAGTACTGTATCACGAACACATTTTCTAGTTAAAAATCCGATCGGAGGGTACATTCTCAGGGCTTCTGATAATACATTTTCTAAATATTGCATTTCCATCACTGCTTCATAAGTCAATTTACCATTGTATTTCTCAAAGATGGCGTCTATTTCATTATGAACTCGTTTAAGGTGTTCAGGATTCTTTCCCAATTCAAATAAGGCACCCAACATACCAGTGGCGCTTGGCTCAACTCCAGCATTGAAAAAAAAGAATGCTTGTGCTGCGAGCAATTCATCAGTCGGTTCCAACTCTAGTCCTGTATTACGATCTATCATTGTACCTTTCCTTTGCAAACTGACCGCTTTATCCGCAAAGTCGTGTTTCTGCATATTCTCTTGCTCTCGTTGCCGAATAAGTTTCTTTATGATACCAATAAAGAAATCCTCGTATTCTCCAAATAATTTTATACCTAATATTTTTCCTAACCATGGACTGATGTTAAAAATAGTAAACTTAACATAAGTCTTAAAATTCTGTCGAAAAAGTATTTTTGTAGTATTTAAAATTGGTGACTCAAACACAGATTCACTCGTGACTCCAAACACGGACGCACCGATAGCGACACTGCAGTATTGCGACATCAGTTCAAAAATATCCTCGTTCATTTTTTCTGGATATTTGTTTAAGTATTCGATGAAGTCCACAGCGCTCTTGTTCATTATATAGTACATATTCTTCAATTTAGCGCTCGTGAACATAGAAGTCATGTTCTGCCTCATTAGCTTCCATCTGTTTCCATTCATGAACAGTATATTGTCTGCCAGAAGATCATCTTCATTGATATCGACTCCTCTATGATTAAAGGATTGGAAATCTTGTTGTAAAACGTGTTGAACATTCGTCTTATCTATTACAAATAGGGCAGGATTAAGAGAACCACTCAAACCCACTGCTGGTTCGTTGCGATACTTTCCGTACAGTTCTGATACTAATTCAAACATGGATCTTTTACCAACTATAAATTGCCCAAAAATGCCCAATTTAAAATTATCTTGTAACTTGACTCCACGTTTCTTCCAATAGCTCTCATTATATTTCTCAATAAAATAATATAGAAGTAAAATAACAACACTTGTTAATACCAAAAATATTGGTGACATTTCGCAACCATTCACTATTAATAAGATTTAAGAATAATGAATATAAACAAATGCAATCGAGTATTTATACTGTAAATATATCTGTCTAGTCTTATCTTATTATACTAAAAAAATAATCATGATGAGTCTGTACATTTAACATTTTAATAGTCAGAATGAGTTCGTTAAAAATTATCACTGACCGCTGTGGGTTGACATAATTGTTACGTACTAAAAATATTTAAAAAGCCCCTTAAATATTTTGAGTTTAGAGCTACAAAATACTGAAGATGTAGGTGCTACAATTATAGATGTATTTAAGGGAATGGGGGATCAGGTAGATCATGAACACCCCATAACTATCTAGTATCTACCTCAAGATGCAAACGAAGCTTCAGAAGGACATGACTGAGAGCCAGAAATGTAGATAATTTTAAATACGTCCTTAATTACAGCTCAATCAAGCTTATGAAGCTTGATTGAGCCCCTCATCTCTAAAGTTTCTAAAGCAAAAATTCCAGTTATCTATATAAATTGAAATAATTACGGTTTATATATGTATACGTATAAATTACAAAAAATGACTAAACGCGAAAAAGAGAGTCCAATTTACATTATATTACATATTACAGAAAATTCCTTTTCTTTTTTCCTCAATCCTTTCCTCCATACCGCAGGAAACCACCAACAAATGCATTTGTGGGTGGTTTCCTACCTGACGTCAACCCTCTTAGGCATGCAATGCCAAAGAGGGTTGACGTCAGGCAGGTGGTCAGTCGTAAAACTAAAAAACCAAATCTTTTTGTAATATGAATAAAACCATATTATGCCGACCCCAAATAATAATTGGGGTAAGGGTAGGAAGATGATGATTACAGAAAAAGTAAAAGGTTTCTTCTATGTAGTACCGTTCTTGATAAATTATCAAAAACGTCCAAAAACAAAGTTATGCAGTTTTTAACTACAATTGTGCCCCAATATAAGAAGTTACGAATTTTATTATCTAAACTTATAATAAATCTGTAGAGAGGTCAATTCTGTACATGAAATATATTTCCAAAATAACTATCAGGGTGGTATCAAAAATGCAATCAGTAAAATTTTTGTGTCTGTCTGTATGTTTGTTATAGAAACAAAAACTAGTCAATGGATTTTAACTCCTGGGCAGGTTATATTATATTTTTCATCACGCTACGATCAATAAGAGCAGAGCAGTGAAAGGAAATGTTCGGAAAAGAGGAAAGTTACTCCGTTTTTAAGCTTCCGTCGCGTGTGCAGCCTAAATGGCCACTTTTTAAAATGTAAAAATGTCCACCCGTGCGACGCCGGGACGGGCCGCTAGTTGTTAATAATAACTGTTAGGTCTCTATTCCGTATGACGAATGCAATAAAGGTCATTTTATCTGCTATTCTGGATGTTTTTAATTCGGTTATTTTTTTATGTTTGTTGCCGCATAACTCGCTCAGTTGCAATCCGATTTGGAAAATTATTTTTTTAGGGATATACTTACATATTCGTTCCATTAAGATATTATCACAATGGGTTTATTAGTTCAGTTTTTTAATCAAAACTGGTTGTGCCACAATTAAAACCCCCATAAGTGTCGCAAGAGGCGACTAAAGAACCTTAATGATCGAGGAATGGGTAGCAGCGTCCCTCTTAAAACATCACCAAAGTTTAACTGCGGTTTCCGACTCGCATGCCAAGCGTGGCAACTGCTGGCAAAACATCCCTTTATCGGAAAGGCCTGTGTTCAGCAGTAGACAGTTCACGGCTGATGTGATAATGATGATAAAGGTAATAATACTGGCTGGGATTATAAATGTTACATTAAAAATATAGATAAACCTATTTCTACTTAAGTATAAAATCGTATATGGTAAGTATATATGCAAATGTATAATGTTATTGCTATAGAAAGATTGGTAGGCGTAACAAACATATATGTATCACGCCTGCCTCATATTGGGATGGTCAAAAACACTGGACCGATCCCAACAAACCTCTTTTGTTTCCTCCACATTCACCAATCTATTCATACACACAAGAAATGTAATAATTATGTTACCCACATTTAACTATGTTGTACGAATCTTGGACATTGCAAATATGAGTGAGTTTATATTCGATATTGTAACGTCTTTTATAAATATTTAAGTCAAATGAAGTTATTTAACTATCCACTGAGATATAGGCTTGGCCTAGTTCGGTGGTTAGTAGATGTAACTAAATGTAATTTATTATTCAATAAAGACAGATATTACCATTATTATTTGTTTTCTTTTCTTTTTTCTTAGCATTTTATTATTATTATTTTTATACATGCTTTCCAGTTATGGGTATTTTTTAGCACAGCATATGACCACATGATCCTGAGCAAACACAGAGACAATATGGTCCATGAATACGGTCAACCGAAAAGAGAATGATTTACTCACGATCACGGTTGACCGCACAATACGGGCTCATCGTCAACAACATATCAGCCTTTTACTCCTTCCCCCTGGGGGTTTTGCCAGTAATTACCACGCTCGGCAGGCGAATTGGCAACCGCAGTCAGGGCTTTAGAGATGTTTTAAGAGGGACGCTGCTGCTCATCTATCGCCCTCCTTTAGTCGTCTCTTACGACACCCACGGGATAGGAAGGGGTGGCCTATTCTATGCCAGGACCACAGGGGCATGCAGGCTTACTGAGTGCTTAATCACGCTACATTTGAAGGATCCGGGGTTATAGGATGAACACGTTGAAGACAAAGCCATTCCACATTTTTACCGTACAGTTCACGTAAAAGTTGGCAAACTTACTTGTAAGCGAACGCGGGCGGTCTACAGTGTATGTAATCGCTGGCCCATCCTCGTTGTGTGATATCGGAAAGGGAAAAGTGGAACAAGAGAATAAAGTTCTTCTGAGCACTCCCCATAGAATAAGCAGTAGAAGATACTGAGGGAGGCTACATCTCTATGTAATTTTAGACACTTTCCTTTAATTCTAAATACCTGTACTTTAGCTCTTCTTCAGCACATTGTCTATTTGGTCGACATACGTGCATCTAGGGGCCCTACCGCTATGTCCATTAATTCGTACTCAGTAAACCTATTTCGTAATTTTTCCTTCATTTATCCTGTACAAATGGTCAAACCAATGCAACGTCCCTTTTCGATCTTTGTTACTATATTGTTCTTCGGTCCAAATTTCTACCTAATCACACTATTTCTATGTACCCAAAAAAAGGAGAAATGACTTATTGTAAACACTTAAAACCTGATAGATTTACAGATTAAATTCAACTGGCTTCAATAGATACTAAAATGAAAAACAGAACAGGCCAGTTTGTAGTGATGTGAACTGAGTTTATCAAATTTTTCAAAGACTGCTATAAGTTCTCAAAAGATTTTTTTTTCTAATATGTACATTACGTAGTTTCTTTAATAACTCTAAACCAATTTTTATAATTCTTTTACAATCTGTAAGATTTAATTTTATCAAATTTAAAGAAGCTGATTTATTAATCAGCAAAACGAAATCCTTGCTTTTTAAATCAATCCGATAATAGCAGCTCTGTGGGGTTATTGAACTATTTATCAAGGTATTAAAATGATTATATACTTGTAAAAAAACAATCACTTTATGAGGGTAATATTTATTATTATTGTATTCTTTCTATACATATTACTGCCTAATATGATTAGCTGGATGCGCCATGTCCGTATAGGAAGCTCAAAAATTTTTACTACTTATCAGATCCTTAAGAATAATACTTTCATTTTACCTTTTTTTTATATAAAATTATATAATTATATAAAATTATGGTAGCAAATAAGCATACGGCCCGTCTGATGGTAAACGGCGTTACCGTAGTCTATGGACACCTGTAACACCAGGGATATCACGCGCGCTTTACCGGCCCTTAAGAAACTTTAATACACACTTTTCGAAAAATCCCATGCTGTAGTCTCTAGGGAAAGCCTCAACATGAAGATCATTTCACAACCTGAGTATTTGCGGGAGGTAGCTCCTCTGAAACTGAACAGTGCGTGACCATTCTGGTTCTGAGATGTGAAGATAGATAAATGACTAGTAGTGGTGATGATAGTGAAAGGTGGCTGTAGGCATCATATTGAAAAGTTCTTCAAACACAATCCGTTAAACAGGCAGTAGAAGTTGCAAAGAGAAGGAAAATCAAACTGATAGAACAAAAAGAATATCCTGAAAAGTATGCTAATAATTTAGATTTATCCTTGTACGAATGTTTACTTGTAAAATATTGTGATATTTCGAATACATAAATTCAAATTAATGATTAATTCGTATTGACAAACCAAAACACATGAATATTTATAGATTGATTAAGTGTAACTCAACAAGGTTATCGCCAGAATTGAACGAATGTTGTATAACGTACTAATTAATTTAATATTTACAGTGACATGTATATCTATATTACGGAGTACAAATAATCACAATTTTGAAAATTTTAATGTTTTCATCGATTTTTGGCTCTGACCGTACTTGATCAAAATTCTGACATTCCAAATAGACGTCACATCAATTAGAATGTACAAGAAAGTAGAAAACGTCTTCAGCGCATTAAACATAAGTGCATACTCGTGACCAGTATTTAATTTCTTTTTTCTATGTATCAATTCTATCTCAATTCACACATGTTGTCTGGGTATAAATTTTATATCCAAATTACCTGGCCTTACTTGAACTTGTGCTTTCTTATATATAATCTTATCATCAAGAACTTTTGATTTAACTGTAAAATTACGAAGTATGTGTACTAAACCAGTTTTCACTTGAAGTCTTGCATATCTCACACCCACACATAGCCTATTACCTTTTCCAAAAGGCATATACAAAGTACTATTCTGTAGAGAATCGTTTTCAAACCTGGTAGGATCAAATACAGTAGGATTGGGATAATATTCAGGGTCATAATGTATATCAAATATAGGAGTAATTATATTAGTACCCTCCTTTACTGGTATATTACCCACCGGTAGTACTGTATCACGAACACATTTTCTAGTTAAAAATCCAATTGGAGGATACATTCTCAGAGCTTCTGATAATACATTTTCTAAATATTCCATTTCCATCACTGCTTCATAAGTCAATTTACCATTGTATTTCTCAAAGGTGGCATCTATTTCATCTTGAACTCGTTGAAGGTGGTCAGGATTCTTTCCCAGTTCGAATAAGGCACCCAACATAGCTGTGGCACTTGGTTCAACTCCAGCATTGAAAAAAAAGAATGCTTGTGCTGCGAGCAATTCATCAGTAGGTTCCAACTCTAGTCCAGTTTCACGATCTATCATTGTACCTTTTCTTTGCAAACTGACCGCTTTATCAGCAAAGTCGTGCTTCTGCACATTCTCTTGTTCTCGTTGCCGAAGAAGTTTCTTTATGACACCAATAAAAAAGTCCTCAAATTCTCCAAATAATTTTATACCTAATATTTTTCCTAACCATGGACTGATATTAAAAATAGTAAACTTAACATTGGTCTTAAAATTCTGTCGAAAAAGTATTTTTGTAGTATTTAAGATTGGTGACTCAAACACAGATTCACTTGTGACTCCAAACACAGACGCACCGATAGCGACACTGCAGTATTGCGACATCAGTTCAAAAGTATCCTCGTCCAATTTTTCTGGATTTTTATTTAAGTATGCGATAAAATCCATAGCACTCTTGTCCATTATATAGTACATATTCTTCAATTTAGCGCTTGTGAACATAGAAGTCATGTTCTGCCTCATTAGCTTCCATCTGTTTCCATTCATGAACAGTATGTTGTCTGCCAGAAGATCACCTTCATTGATATCGATTCCTCTATGATTAAAGGATTGGAAATCTTGTTGTAAAACGTGTTGAACATTCGTCTTATCTATTACAAATAGGGCAGGATTAAAAGATGCACTTAAACCCACTGCTGGTTCTTTACGATACTTTTCGTACAGTTCTGATATTAATTCAAACATAGATCGATTACCAGCTATAAATTGTCCAAAAATGCCCAATTTAAAATGATCTTGTAACTTGACTCCACGTTTCTTCCAATAACTCTCATTGTATTTGTCGATAAAATAAGATAAAAGTAAAATAACAACACTTGTTAGTACCAAAAATATTGGTAACATTTTGCAACCATTCACTATTAACGAGATTTATGAATAATGAGTATAAACAAAATCAATCAAGTATTTATACTGTAAACATATCTGTCTAGTCTTATCTGTACTTAATTATAATAAAAATATAATAATGATAACATTTTAATAGTCAGAATGAGTTGCTAAAAAAATTATCACTGACCGCTGTGGGTTGCCATTTAAAAATAACTTTTAAGTTCAGTGCTACATGATACTGAACACGTTGATGTACTACTATATACGTATTTATGGGGATAGGGTATCGAATGGACCGTAAACACCTCAGATCTATCGGGGGGAAAGGAATTGTTAGTAAGGAGACTGAGAATCCCATTGCTAGCAATATACCCAACCAGGTCGATCTCCTCGCGGTTCTCCCTGGAAACTATCATGGTTAATTCCTGATGAATCCATCATGATGGACTAACTGGCCTGTTTTCATTGTCATCTATCACCCTTCACTGGTGCTCCGCCAGCATATCCCATTAGCGCAGGCGGGGTTACCATACAATTTTCACCCGTCAAAAAAACCTCAAATCTATCTATGTAGTATCTGTCTCTATATATGAATGAAGCTTTAGAAAGATATGTCTGAAAGTGTATGTATGTAACTTCCGAACCGATACGACAACATAACCTTCAAGAAAAGAACATATTCCTTTTTAAAAGGCCGGCAGCACAACAGCAATGCCGTTGGTGTTGTGGGTGATCGTGGGCAGCGGTAGTCACTTAACATTAGGTGAGCCGCATGCTCGTCTGCCCCCTGTGTTGTAAAAAAAATTCATATTCATAATAATAATTTTAACTCAACCAATCCCGTGAAATTTGGTATTCATGTAAGATTAAAGGACATATAACAATTTTTATCTGTCTCGGATCAATAAGTCTAAGTACAAGGACAAGGCGACAGCGTGGCTAGTAGTAGTTAAATAATTGTAAACATTTATTTTCGTCTTTGTAAAATATTGTTATCAATAATAGTATTTTTATTGTTAAAAGATTCATAAGTACATATTGTATTTTAAATACACGATCGGGACTAAACGAAAACCTTGATAATAAAAAAACCACTGTCGTGACCACGACATAATAGAACCCACGACGAAACATCGGCAATAAAGAAACAAATATGCAAATACTACTTACAACGCAAAAGTTTAAAATGAACTAGTACACATTATATTTTGTTGAGTACCATTTTAACATTAAATAACTACCAGTTTAACTTACATATAATTTGGTTGAGAAACCTAACTGTGGTAGGAGCTATGTAGTACGTAGTGCCAAAAAGTAACAAATAATCTTTGTAGATTTATGTAGGTATTAAAACGTTAAAATAAATTAAAACAATCACTTTGTAATCTTTCAATTCCAATTTATAAATATCAGTTTAAATCAATACAACTCTAACAAGTCTAACTGTGGTTGCCATTTCGCCTGCCAAGCGTGGCAACTGCTGGTATAATTTCCCTTATTGGGAAAACCTATGTTTGTCAGTGGACAGTTAACGGTTGACATAATAATAATTTACTTTTCCTGAAATATTCATTTTACATATTTGGGTATAAGTTTAACATCCAAATTACCTGGTCTCACTTGAACTTGTGCTTTCTTATATGTAATTTTGTCACCAAGAAGCTTTGATTTAACTGTAAAATTACGGAGTATATATGCCAAACCAGTTTTCACTTGAAGTCTTGCATATCTGACACCCACACATAATCTATTTCCTCTTCCAAAAGGCATATACATACTACTATTTTGTAGATTACTATCCTCAAACCTATTTGGATCAAACGCAGTAGGATTTGGATAATATTCAGGGTCATAATGAATATCAAATAGAGGAGTAATTATATTAGTGCCCTCCTTTACTGGTATATTACCCACCGGTAGTACTGTATCACGAACACATTTTCTAGTTAAAAATCCGATCGGTGGATGCATTCTCAGACTTTCAGACAATACGTTATCTAAATACTCCATTTCCATTAGTGCTTCGTAAGTCAATTTATCATTGTATTTTTCGAAAGTAGCATCTATTTCATCGTGAGCTCTTTGAAGGTGTTCAGAACTCTTTCCCAATTCAAATAATGCACCAAACATAGCTGTAGCGCTAGGTTCAACTCCCGCAATAAAGAAAAAGAATGCTTGTGCTGCGAGCGATAAAGTCTACAGCACTCTTGTCCATTATATAATACATGTTCTTTAATTTAGCACTTTTGAACAAAGAAGTCATGTTCTGTCTCATTAACTTCCATCTGTTTCCATTCATGAATAGTATATTGTCTGCCAGGAGATCACCTTCGTTGACATCGATTCCTCTATGGTTAAAATATTGGAAATCCTGTTGTAGAACATATTGAATGTTTGTGGAATCTATTACAAATAGAGAAGAATTAAGAGAAGCACTTAAGCCCACTGCTGGCTCTTTGCGATACTTTTCGTACAGCTCTGATATTAATTCGAACATAGATCGTTTACCAGTCACAAAATGTCCAAAAACACCCCATTTAAAATGGTCTTGCAGTTTGACTCCGCGCTTCATCCAATAATTCTCATTGTATTTATCAACGAAATAAATTAAAAGTGGGACAATAACGATTATTAACACTAAAAATATCGGTAACATATTAACACGGTTCACTTTTTTGCAGAATATTTAGAAAATTTGTCAAAACAGAAGACAATCGAGTATTTATACTATATCTGTCTAGTCTTATCTATAAATCCAAAATATATATAATACAAATGTGATAGTGTGTTTGTTTGTTTATTACTTAATGCTTTATTGACTTTACTAATCATTATAAAATTTAGTATACATATATTTTATTGGATGATAAATGACGTAGGCTATTTTTAGGTTCTTCAAAACCACTGACCATTATTGTCAGTGGTCAACTATAAATTTTTAGCGTTAAGTGTTATGGGCTTAGAAAATTTACCTCCTGAAACTGTTTTGTTTTTTTAGTATAAATCAAATTGGTCACAAATTTATCTCATAATATCATAGATAATAATAGTTTTATAAATGTTAATAAAACCTGAACAAATATAAGTTTAACGTTACATAACACAGATCTTTACTCGTATTTTACCTCAAATAAAAATGTATCGGAAGTTAATTCTTAATGTCGAGTACATCTTCAAAGATATATCTGTTACCGATCAATATGTAAGCCTTACTAAACCTTACTAACATTATAAATGTGAAAATGAGTTTCTTTGTTTAATTGTTACCTTATAGCGTCTTAACCGCTTAATCAATTATGAAATTTGGTATAGAAGTGCTATATTAGATGAAAGACAGTCACACGGATAAAGCCGCAAACTAAAGCTACTTATATATAACACGTGAAAGTAAGAGAATTTGTATGCTTTTGATGGCTTTACGACTTAGTAAATCTTCATCATAGGAAAAGAGGAAGACAAATTTTTATCCAAGATTAAATAACATAAGGTTACATATACAAAGTCGCGGTGTTAACTGGTACGTATATAAACATAGGTATTCCTAGTAGTCTTCAAAAACATTGTTATCTATAATTATCAGGAGACACTTATCGTTATCGTCTTGTCTATGTTTTGCTTTATCTATAACTGAGATAAAAATCAGTTTACCTCTTTATTTCTCTTTGATTCTGTTCATCATCATCGTCATATCAGCCGTTAACTTAACTAACCTTCTTTTTCATTCTCACTTATCATCCCTCACTGGTGCCTGGGCAGTTCTAATTATAATTCCCTTCTATCACGTTAACGCTGCCTGCGGTTTATCATTCCATTATCATCCATTAAAAGAAAACTGCCCACCGCTGAATCTGTCTCTCCTATAAAGGGGATTATGGCAGTATTTAGTACAAATTTTCGATACCAATTTATAAACAGTTTTATATCATTACACTACAACTTAACAACAACGATTCAATGTGTCTAAGATTCATGTAAAAATATTGCAATAGATTTGATTTGATTCATTTATAAATAAAAAAATTTACCAAATTTATACCGTTCTAAAAAAAATATCAGTCCAGTAATTAGAATTTATACAAAAATATAACACCTGGTAAAAGCATCAAGCACTTTGTTATAAAATATTACATATCTGGATATAAAGTCATCCAAATTACATGGTCTTACTTCAACTAATGCTTTCCGGTATGTAATCTTATCATCAATAATTTCTTATTTAACTGTAAAATTACGGAGTACAGTGAAAACTACTTTGGGATACCAAAGTAGTTTTCATCGAAGTCGTGCATATCTAACACCCACACATAAGCCAGTATCTTTTTTAAAAGGTACATACAAATTACTATTGTGTAAATTATCCCATTCAAATCTAGCTGGATCGAATACAGTAGAATTGATATAATATTCAAGATCATAATATACATCAATTATACAAATAATTACATTAGTGCCATCATTTACAGCAACCTTTCCCAAAGGGGGCGGTAACGCCCCCTTGTGGGCGCTGCAGGCCTAAAGGAGGGCGGTAAGAAACCCAGTGATTTGTTGATCTTGAAGTAATAATGGTTTTTAAATAGATGAAAAAATGGGGGCGCTAAAAAATAATTTATTCTCAAAGTGGGCAGTAGACAAAATAAGTTTGGGAACCCCTGATTTACAGATACCTTTTACCCATTAGTCGTGGAATCTTATGCATATTGTCTAGTTAAAAATCCGACTAGACGATGTATTCTCAGATTGTCAGGCAATACATTTTCTAAAAACTCCATTTCCATCACTGCTTCATAAGTCAATTTACCGTTGTATTTTTCAAAAGTGGCATCTATTTTATCATGAACTCGTTGAAAGTGTTCAGGACTCTTTCTTAATATAATAATAATAAATTATTTGCTCGAAATGTGGCGTGTACAAATGATCTTAACTGATAACAGAGCTACACATTTAGTCTTATCTAAAGGCATGCGAATTGTGTCACAGTAAATGTTAGTAGTTTTAGTGGCTTACATTTTTAAAATAAAAAATCAATTTTATTTTAAAAATGTAAGCCATTTTTAAAATAAAAATGAGCTACATTTTTACGCAAAGTATTACGTAGCTGTCTGTCATATACAAATTTATTAATTTTAGTACATAACATATTTGTATGGAGCTTCCAATTACTATTTTCATCCAATATGATATATCGGATAGGTATTTTACTACTTTATCTTAGGAGATTAATTTGTTTCCATATTTTACTGTTAGGTTTTTTTTTATAGAATTGTAATTAGAAAACTAGACATATTTTTTGTTTATATTTTCTGTGTATTTATACATGTTTTAATTGGCGCTAACTCTTTTAAATTCAATTCTAAATAACTACTCTTGTTAAATAATCCAGCAATGTTTTTGGTATAGTATGTTTATCTTACAATAATCATAACTAGTATTATTATCGAAAAAGGGGGTAGTTTGATTACAAGATAAAATAGTGAGATAAAAAGGCTACAGCCAAAGGGCGCAAAAAAAAACAAAAAATATTTCTGTACTAAATTTAATTAAGTAAAAATACAATTAAAATATTAATTATAACGTATAACATATTTTAATGTTTCAAATGATCGATATGTGTACCAAGAGTGGCGACAACGGCCGTTGGTTCTTTCCATGAATATTGCGAATCCCACGTTTCCGCAGATTCGACATCACGTGTCGATGGAAGGTATGATGCGCTGTATCCAGGCCACTGCTTAAGCAGCGGTTTCCGTGAATTATAGTATCGTAACGGGTATCATTAACACAGCGCTTATCTATCGTATCATGGCTAGATGGTCTTTTTGGGATTTTAGAGAAATAATAAGGAATTGTTCCTTTTACTGGTGGCGTTGCAGTGTTTGTGATATGTGGTAAAGTTTTGGTGTATAGTTGCTTTTACTTAAAATATTCCGTCGGAAGTAGAAAGGTATTGTACCCTTTTTTTCTATTTTTCTTTTTATATACCAGAGGGAGACTTTGTACAAAAGTCGATTGCTTGGCTACCTCTGTCCTATTCGTGTTTCAACCGTGAAGCAGTTGTGTTTGTATAGCTGTGTTTCGGTTTGAAGGGTGGGATATGGCGTGAATTTACTGGGTACAGAGGAATGACACCTGAGTCCTCAGGAACGGCAACGCATGGGAGGTATCATGGGCGAAACAGTATACTCTGTTATATCCCTGGTACTGCTCATGTCTATAGGCGACGGTTACCACTTTTCATCAGGTGGGCCGTCAGCTTGTTTGCTATTCTAAGATGTATAAAAAAAAATACTTTGTTTAGAATTTTTTTTTTCAAATTATGAATTTCCTGTCATAGTCATTACAGTCAATTGTAAAGTTTATTCTTTGAAATATTACAGATAGATAATTAATATTAGAATAACAATTTGTTAAGTCAAGAAAAATACAATTATTAAAGTATTGACTAGTATTTTTAAACATATAATTCAATCGACGTTCGTCAAGATATTTATTATAATTAACACTTAATGTTCTAATATTTATGTTTTTGAATTTATTTAATATTGGCATTAATTCTATTTGCAACTTCGTGGGATCGCTATTCTTTTCACTCAAGCAAAGGATAAGATAGTTATCTGAGGAATCCATGATAGTATTACAATCTTGGAGAATTCCTTCTATAGGTGCAAGAGATTGTGTCAATGAAGTTATTTTGTATTGCTTACATTGGGTATTTTGTCTAGAATAAATTAAACGTAATATTGACAGTAAATTTTTAATAAATAAATCTTTATTTCACTCTTTGTTACAATATAATGTGAAGTCCCTAACTCCCGAGGTAGGTATGAAAACACCTGTGTTTCAGGAGTTAACGCCCTCTTCCATATGTTGTTGTATTACATTTTTAGTAAGACAAATAATATGAAACAGAATAGTACTAAATACACAAACAAAAATTACAAGAGAGCCCACAGTTTTGGAGAAACAATAATTTATAGAAATTTATGCATTTATGCAAATTGTAATTAAACTAAAAAAAATAAAAGGTGATCACATTAACGTGAAATATGCATCTGTTTTGTGTTAACCAATTTCTCCAATCGCAGATTCTATGAAAATAAATAAAAATATACTAATTTCATATTTGTAATACAATAAAATTCATACAGGTTAAAAAACGGCGTAGGGTAGGGAATCACAAAATATGATTAAATACTAAGTAAGATGTGTCTTGAAAAAATTTGTAAAACACTATGCTATGAAAAAGAACATAGGCTAATTCCAAAACAAGGTTCATTTTAAAAACAATGATAAAATAATTAGTTGTTTTACTTTTAATACTAAATCACTTAACATATAATGATAAATAATGAGATACAACTAACAGCTGAAGAGATGCTTTCAAATCCATCTTATACGCAAACAGAGACATTGAAAACGATGCAGTAAATGCAGTTTAAATTTTAACTTTACCTAATTAACTCTATGCAATCAACACAATATAAAATAATATTAACATTAATTTTATTCGAAATTTAAGATTGATATGAAAAAATCAAATACTTCTTGCATTATTTTTTTTTAATTTTATTTACAGTTATCTACTTTTCACATTTTTGTCCAAACTTTCATCAAATGTTTTATTTGTGATCATTTTTTTGAAAGCACTTTCTGTAGAAGTATAATTATGTATTATTTTATATGATTCAATCGAAATATTTGGATCTGTTTTTGTTTTTATATTCATGCCTATAAATTGTTTCATTATTTCTAAACTTGTATTGTTTTGTTTTTCAATTTGTTTAGATAGAGAAGCTATCATATCACTGAATTTGTTTTTGTAGTTTTTTTCCCTAAATACATTTGTGTTATTAACATATTTACTTTCTTCCAATTCATTGGTGTAGTTGCTTACATTTGCATCAATAGTTTCATTTCTCAATTCAATTGTATTATTTTTCAGTATTACTTCAGTAGAATTTAGTAAATCAACATTTTTATCGTAGTGTATTGGATTATTTAGTTCTACATTCAAATCAAATTCAGTCTTATTTGTTACTTCTACGTTACTTTCTATCAAATTATTAATTAAGCTTTCCAGCGAAAAATTATTATTATTTGCATTGGAATCTTGTTTTTCTATTACATATAGAGTATTCATATTCATGCCGTCGTCGTCGTTTTTCTTTTTTATATCTCTTTTAAAATACTTTGTAGAATAAAAAGGTTTGGTTCCAAAATCAGAATGTGCTAGAATTTTATTTCTCTGCCTTTCTCCAAATTTATCTCCAAACTTCTTTTCATAATAGTATTTTTGTGTATTACCGTTGATATGTTTATTTAGAGGCCATCTTGTTTTTGTTACATCTATTGCTTCCACCTTATATATATTTGATTTCATATTATTCACTTGTTTTCTAAGGTCATATCTAAAATCTAATTTAGGTACTTTTCTGTTATTATAAAACATTTTATATCTTTTGTCAAAAGAATCTAAATGTAGATCTTTTATAAGTGTCTTATCTTTAGGTACTGTAAAAAATATAGAAAAAGTAGTTATATTAGAATAGATAGATAACAAAAATAAATAATATTTTAGTTTTTTATCTTTGTATTATTTATTTAATTACCTATTTATATATTTTTCTTATACTTATAACATTTTACATGGCAAAATAAATAAATATAATGGTAAATAATATTATAAATGTGAAAGTGAGTTTGTTCGTTAGTTATAGCGCTTAACCAATCACTATGAAATATATCATGGTATATATGGGATAAAGGAGGATATATGTAGGCTACTTTTTACTTTACTCCCCGGTCAGTAAACATTTTCCGGTCACGCTGATGACGTCTCAGATATGATCATCATCATCATTTCAGCCATTATCTTTCCACTGCTGAACGAAGGCCTCCCCCATAGACCACAAGAAACGGTCCTAAACCACTTTATCCACTAACTCCCTCTAATTGATAACTTAAGGTCATCACGCCATCTAGTGGAGGTCCTCTTACAGTGCGTTTGCCTGTATGCGATCGCAACTTAAGAACCTGTCGTCACGTCGTTTTCTGCAAATCACAAATAAAAGCTAGTTAATATATAAAATGTAATATAATACCCACCTAAGTTCTTTTCCATATATTTTTCTGACAGATACTGCGTTTTCGGATCATATTTATCAACTAGAAACATAACCGGCCTATTATTTTCAATCTGCGTTTCTTGGTATGGCTGATTGAGTGATCGGTCATTATTAACATTTTTCCTGTCTGCCTTTTTCAAACATCCGTTTGGGTAACAATACGTGGGTTGATCAATACACATTTGCACGCACACACAAACTGGCGGCGCCTGGTGGAATTCCGTGAAAATTATATTGAAGAAATGTTCCACTAATGCTGTTTTATTATTGTCGCAAGATACAGCATTTGAGACTAGCTTCCTGTTCACACTGATGTATTGGGCTGTAAATTTAAATGTATTAATAGTAAACAATTGATGAATTTAAATTTTACCATGTGGTCCCTGCATAGAATAGACCATATCCATACCGTTCCGTTCCCGTGGGTGTCGTAAAAAGCGAGTAAGGGAATTTAATGCTCGAGGAATGTGAAGGAATTCGTCATAAAAGATCACCAAAGCCTGCTAACTCACCTGCCAAGCAACTATAGGCAAAACCCCCTTATATGGGATGGAACTTAATGATAGAGGCAACAGTATCCCTCTTAAAACATCTTCAAAACGTAACTGCGATTTTCAATCCGCCTGCCAAGCATGCCAACTACTGGCAGTTAAAGGGTGATATAATGAAATAAAATTAAAAAAATCAAAAAAAGATTTATATTTAATCAATAGGTACTTACATTTAATAACTGTTGATAATAAACACGCTACTATAGCGACTAGCTTAGTCATCGTGACTTGTCTGTCAAATAAGTTATTTTCTTATCACAAAGTCTGAAATACATAACGTTTTCATTAGGTTTTGCTCGCAATTTAGAATGTGTTAGAATTTTGGAAATAGGCAACCAATTCTCTCTGATCTTCAACCAATTTTGATAATTGTGTAGTGCTAATTCCAAAAAAAAGTTGAAAGAAAAGCACAAACTTTTCGCTAAAGATGATCTACTAAACAGCGAAATAAAAAAAATTGATAACTGTATATTTAATGCAATGTAAAATGAAAAATAATCCAATAGCCCACCTGAGGGATCATGTTAACCGTCGCCTATAGATATAAATTACTCTATCACACAATACTACATCACAGAACACAATAATACATTCACATAAAAATCACAGAATACTCTGTAATGCCCACGGTAACGCTCAAGTGTTCCTTTTTTTATAACGAATTTGACAAGCATACAGCCCGTCTAATGGTAAACGGTCACTATACCCTATGAATGCCTTCAACACCAGTGGTATCACATGCACGTTGCCAACCCTGAAGAAACCTTAATACATCCTTTTTAAAGAACCCCATTCTCTTGTAACATTTAGGAAAACCTCGTTAGTGAGCTGCCTGAGCATTCACGAGAGGAAACTCCTTCAAAACCACACTGTACGCGACCATTTAGATTCGAACGTGTGAGGTTGAACTACCTGTCGATAGCGAGCGGAGAGATGATTAAAGGTGGCTGTGGGCATCATTTTGAAAATCTTCCAGAACACAATATGTTATACAAATGGATTGAATCTTTTGCTATTCCTGAAGGCTTTAGTATACTGTAACTTATCCTATTTTTAATATTATATATTATATACACTATACTCATAGGAAGTCTTTTTTTACCTTTTACCTGAGTAGTTACTATTTTTCTACGCACGTTGGTAAGGCATGAAGTCTCTGATGAAAATGGTGTTACTGAAACGAACCAAGCACCTCGGTATTTGGATAATAAAAATGCGGCAAATTCGAATCTAACACGAATACCGAGGGTTCCGTTTGTTTTTCTGTTTATACATATAATATGTGAATGTTTGCAAGGATGTCGGAAAAACCTCTATCCAACAACGAGGCGAGGGAGACATTTCATCCCTATGCAGTAAATACTCGTATTCCACTTATCCACATAAAGCGCATTACTTTTTTGTTTCTTAGACGTATCGACCTTTGAACATTGAAAGTCGTTCAGCGAGCTACGGAAAAAGCTATGTTTGGAGTTTCTCTTAGGTATCGAATCCGAGTAGAAACCGAGTAACCAAAATTACCGACATACATCAAAGAATTTGCAATCAGAAGTGCCAGTGAACTAGTCATATCTGTCGTAAACCGATGACCATTAGAGTAGACGTGTTTTAGAGTGGAGATCGCAAATCGACAAGAATAATGTGAAACGAGCTGCGGCTATGGACGAGCCGAGACGAGATGCGGCGGTGGAGCGACGAAACACGTAGGGCTACAAGTAATAACTGGCAGTGAAGAGCAGAAGATTGTGCTCATTGGCGTGCCTTATCAGGGGCCTATGTCCATCGGTAGACTGCAGTATTCTACTATTGTGAAGATGATTATTTGTGAATTAATGTGAATTTACAGGGTACAGAGGAATAACACCTGAGTCCTCAGGAATGGCAACGAATGGGAGGTATCATGGGCGAAACAGTATACTCTGTTATGTCCATGGTACTGCTCATGTCTATAGGCGACGGTTACCACTTTCCATCAGGTGGGCCGTCAGCTTGTTTGCCATTCTAAGTTGTATAAAAAAATACATCTATCTATCTAATTTTTCTTCTTAATATTACCCTTCAAGCAGGAACTGAATGAGGGAAAGAGATTGCTAGCAATAGAGATTAGCTGTATTGCCAGTAATGTTTCCTATTAGATCGACCTTCACGTGGTTCCACTTAGAAACCATCATGATTAATTCTTGTCGAATTTCTCACGATGGATAAATTGATCTACCTTCATCCTCACCTATCGCCTCTCACTGACAACCCGCCAGCGTATACCGATAGCGTAAACAGAGTTATCGTGCCATTTACACACATAAAAAAGTAGGTACTGAATGTATAAACGAACGCCTTATCATATCAATAAATAATTAAATCAACACTTAAGTTTACTAAGTTGTTAATAACAGATATATAGAACACAGTTATTAAATGCGTAACGAACTCTAAAAACGATCTGACAATGGAGGAATTACTGTAAACAAAATACCCATCCTGTTGCTAAAAAGTGTAGACATCAACATGTTTCATACAAACAACTTATGACTTGTGTATACGAATACATACATATGTGACTCTCCTGTCTCCCAATGGGGTAGGCAGAAACAATTGAACGCCAAATGCTTCGATTCAAACAAGCCTCGTGTATACGAATACTTTATATAATTGTTTGCAACTCTCGGCCGTTGTTCTTTGTACGCACCCCAACGCTGCATGCGATTGCGTGCTTGTCGATTACTATCGGCACCGCCGGTTCGCACATGTACTGCTCAGTTTGCTCCCACTTATCAGGCTATTTCTCTGCTCAATTCTCTGAATGCTCAGCAGCCGGATGCTGATATATTTAATGACAAAATATATATATATTTTTAAAATGTTGTTCAAAATTTTTAAATTTGTAAAATAAACCTATGGCTCAATACACGTTTTGGGACACTGTAAGTGTGGTGAGAGTACCTGATAATAGATGGACGTTTCAATGTACGAAATAGACAGGATCACGAGGTAAAAGAAATGTTGGTAGACCAATAAGACAATGGACTGATGATATAACAGAACATACAGGACAAGACTGGTTTATGATAGGCAGAAACAGAGAAAGATGGAGGAGGCCTTCACCTAAAGAGGGGTCTATATCCAAGAATCGAAGAAAGAATTACACTAACAATTAGTTATTAAGAAAAAATATAAAATAGATTAGATACTAACAATACTGTAAATATATTAGGAATATAGAAATAAATAAAAGGATTTATTATTTATTATTGTGGTGAGTAATTTATTTAAATAAATAAATACTTTGCTAAAAATCTCTTCAATATTATGTTATACAGAATAAATTATAAATAATAATTTCTTATTCATTTAATGAAACTGTACATTTTACTGTAAAAATATCTTAAAAAATTTTGAAACGGATTGAGCTAATCCAGCTGTACACACGTATAATAAAAGTAGGTAATATTTTTCTTTCATTGCATAACATACGGGTGCCTACACATAACGTGCAGAAAAATAGATAATCCTTTCGGAAGTCGTTTAATAATAAGTTTATTAGATGTTTAATGTTTAAATCACGGTCACGTTTAGTTTTTTTTATGACTGTCTTTTTTTTATACATAAAACGATGAATATTAGAGACGTGCTAATTCCATATAGCACTGTTTATTTTTCTATACAAATAAGAATGCCAAACAAGTGTTTTTTTAATGGATGAAAATGGAACGGTAACCCCACTCGCGCTATCGGTATACACTGGCGGGGAACCAGTGAAGGATGATACGATAGGTGACCATGAAGCAGGTCAATTAGCCTATCGTGGCGAATTCAACAAGAATTGTTCGCGATGGTTTCCAGGGGGAACCACGTGGAGGTCGACCTAATAGGGTATATTACTAGCAACGGGGCTGTCAAACACTATTGCTAACAATCCCTTTCGCCCCTACCAAACAAGTTGATGTTCCACCTAATACCTGTAACTGTTATTTTATCATCATCATCAGCATCATATCAGCCGTTAACTGTCCACTGCTGGGCCTCCCGCTTAAAGGGGTTTTGCCAGTAATTGGCACGTTTGGAAAGCGGATTAGCAATTGTAGGTAGGCTTTTGCGTTATTTTAAAAGGAACGCTACTGTTCATCCCTACATTATTAGTTCCCTTAGTCTCTATTTTGACTGCCACGGAAAAGCAAGGGATGGCCTATTCTATGCCGGAATAACATGATTATTATTTCGCTAAGTGCTATAAGTTTGCGGTCTAAAAATTCGATATTTTTATTTTTAATTCTTATAAAAAAAAATTACCTATATTTACATTATATTTTGAATAAATTATTGATTGGTTCAAACAGAAGAAGATACTTTTAAGCAATATGTGACATCTAGTCCAATTCTACACCAATTTTGACAATTATTTTGCATTAGATTAAATTTACTACCACGTCATAGAATTCTTACTATCCTGGTCTATATACCCTTATAATAATAATAAAGAGAAAAAAATTGATTTTTGTTTGTTTGTTATGAATAAACTTAAAAACTACTCCAATTAATTTTAAAAATTCTTTCACATATAGAAAGCTACATTATCAGCGATTAACATATACTATTTTTAGAAATTCTACCCGTGCGAAGCCGAGCCAAATCGTTAGTAACATTATAAATATGAAAGTGAGTTTGTTTGTTAGTTCTTAGAGCCTGAACGGCTTAACCAATCGATCTTTAGGCGACGGTTATCACTTTCCATCACGTGGGCCATCAGCTTGTTTGCCATTCTAAGTTGCATAAAAAAAAACTTTAAAAAAATATTAATTAGAATAATATACTGCACATCTCTAATAGTTAACAATTACTTTGTGAGTGTTTGTGACTAAAGTATATAAAAAGATATTTACATTATTATGACATTTGTTAAACATTCATCTACGTAGATATGTTCGTCGTAATTACATTACTAATTGTTCTAACAATTATAATTTATATAAATTTCATTGGAAAATACAATGAAAAGTATTGGAAGAAACGTGGAGTCAAACTTTACGAAGATAACAAAATTTTAGGGATTTATTGGAAATTGTTGACCAAGAATCGTGCTTTGTTTCTACAATTGAGTGATATCTACAAACAATATGCAGGTGATCCAGCTGTAGGTGTCGCCTCTCTGTTTACACCAACTTTGTACGTAATAGATCCTGAAAATGTTCATCATGTTATGCATACAGATTTTCCAGCATTTAACCATAGAGGTTTCATAGTAAATGAAGACGATCCCTTATCTGATAGTATTCTGCAAATGAATGGAGTTAGGTGGAAGCTAATGAGACAAAACATGACTCCATTGTTCACTAGTGCTAAGCTTAAGAACATGTTCTACATAATAGAAAAAAGCAGTCGAGACTTCGTTGAATATTTAAAACAAAACCCAGATAAATTAAAAGGTGATACTTACAACACGCTAACAATTTTTTGTTGCAAAGCGATAGGAGCAACTGTTTTTGGTATTGACACAAAACCTGAAATTATTTCACCCTTTTTTAAAGCAATCAGAGATTCTTTTCGTCCGTCCTTATGGAATAGCACTAGATACACTATTATGATGGCAAGCCCGCGACTTTTTACACTTTTACGCCTAAAGCAATTAGCAACATTTAAAACATTCTTTATTAACGCCATCAAACAAATACTACGACGGAGGGAACAAGAGAATTCAAGGAAATACGATTTCGCTGACATATGTGTTAGTATACAACAAAGAGGTATGATGACAGATCAAGATACAGGATACGAGTTAGTACCTACTGATGAGTTATTAGCTGCTCAAGGTTTCTTCTTCTTCTCTGCTGGCGTTGAACCAATAGCCACAGCTATATTTAGCGTTCTTATTCAATTAGGAAAGCATTTAGATATATTGCAACGTGTCCAATTAGAAATTGATGAGATTTACAGAAAATACGATGGACAGATAAGTTATGATGCAATTATAGAGACTGAGTATTTGGACAAAGTGATTAATGAATCTTTAAGGCTACATACTCCAATAAATTTTATAATCAGACATTGCGAAAGAGAATCAGTATTGCCAGTGGGAAATATTAAGGTCGAGAAAGGAACTAAATTGTATCTGCCGATACGCGATTTTCATTTAGACCCGAAGTATTTTCCAAATCCACACACGTTTGATCCAGAGAGGAATTTAATACAACATGGAAGTGAAACGGTTTATATACCCTTCGGAAAGGGTCCTAGAGGATGTATAGGAGTTAGGTATGCCCGGCTACAAATGAAAACCGCTTTGGTACATTTGTTGCAACATTTTAATGTTAAAACTATTACGAATGAAAAACAACCCAGCTTTATATGCGATATCTTTCAATTAAGGTTCAAAAATATTGATGTGAAATTATCTGCACGGATTTGAATATCACAATACATGCTGCAAATTATAAGCTGAATAATTAAGTATAATAATTAAGTACAATTTCAATGAAGATATTATGCGAATCAATTTTAGAGCTATAAAAATTATATGTAATATATAAAAATTAAATAAAATACTTTTAATATTTGTATCAATTTTCATTGCTACTTTATTAGTTAGCTGAATTTTTTTGTTTGTTTTTTTTGTTTTGTTTTTGTTTTTTTAATCAATACTAGATCATATTTTAGAATTTTGCTTTCCAATGAATATTCCTAATGAATATATATATAATAATTCGAATACCCCTTTTGAATCCCCTAAAAAGTAACTATTTCAAAAACTATTTCAAATTTTAAATCGATAGCATTAGTAGTAACAGCGATGTAGTGCTACGACAGACTGGCGAACGAACGGACAGACGAATAAAATCGCTCCATACGAGTTCCTTTATACCCGTTTTGGTACGGGATCCTAAAAATAGTAAAAAAGGTACAGGTAGATATTTCACTGTAGAATTAAAAGACGAGTAAAACTACAAAGACGGCCATCATACAAATTCTTAGAATAATTATTATTTTCTATTATCCTAACTAAATAACTCTTATCGTTAAAGAATAAAGAGATGTCATATTGCAAAGATTTCGTATGCAAATACGTTGTACACTTACATATACGATAACAACATTAAAACGATAATTTGTAGACAAATGTATAATTTGAAACAATTTGTTATTTTTTTATGCAACTTAAAATGGCAAACAAGCTGACGGCCCACCTGATGGAATGTGGTAACCGTCGCTTACAAACTTGAATATGGATGTAATAATATATACTGTGTCACTCATAATACCGATTATGTGTTATATAATCGTTCAATTAGTGATCTTCTAGTGTACATTACACACCGCTGGAGTCTTAGTCGCATACAATACGATTTAAGAGAAGTTTCCTCCTGCGAATGCTCAGGCAGTGAAATGAGCTTTTTGCTGAGCTTTTTTTTAGATACTACAATATAAATTTCTTCAAAAAGAGTGTATTAAGGTTTCTTAATACACTCTTTTTGAAGAACTTCAACTAAGAACCCAAACTAAGATAAGGGTCAACAATGCGAACGTCACATCCCTAGTGTTGCAGGCGTCCATAGCTTGCAGTAATCGTTTGTCATCAGAAGAGCTATATGCTTGTTTGCCAATTGCTTCGTCTTAAAAAATATAATATTACAGTAAAGATTCATTATTTATATGACTTAAATTTATTGCAATATTATAGGAATTTATTGCATTATACTTATTGAATAATAGATAGTACATTCTGATATCTCTATTACACACAACATTAATAAAGTCGACCTGTTTTTGGCAAAGCATTAACACAGTCTATCTATTTAAAGATATATTATGACGTATTTATTACTCATCATTCTAGTATTATGACTGTATAGTATAATTTTGGTGCCAAGATAAGCATAGATATTGCTTATCATTCCTTAGTTGAACACTGCTATGAGAGAGACGTGAATAAAACTAATTATAATAGTGATTTTGTGATATTTGTATATTTAACTGTAAGTACCCTATATATTATCATCAATATAAAAGGCCTGGGCTCTGATTATGTGATAAAGAAGATGAAGAAATAATATGAAATATCACTACTTTAAATCTTGTAGTAAAATTAAAAGAATCTCAGAAGAATACTTTATACCCAATATCTCTGAAGAAATAAAGCCAAATATGTTAGTGTAATAAAAAGAAAATACAAAATAAAATATATCAAGGTATCAACATGAAGTGAAAGTACCAGGGACATAGAAATTAAAGGCAGCAATTACTTGTCATGCCAATTCTAATTGGGTGGAATCTCTCCCTTTGGTACTGCTTGGGATTAGGAATGCATACAAGGAGGATCTTCATGCTTCATCAGCCGAACTTACACACGGAGAAACACTTAGGCTACCAGGAGATTTCTTCCAATACGAGGAAAGAACCATCCCAGATGTAACTGATTATTTGTCACGAATACGTTCATTCGCTAAAAGGTTACAGCCCACAGCCACATCGTGTCATGGCAAAAGATCTGTTTTTGTGTATAAAGACCTCAAAACAGCCACACACGTATTTCTTCGGGACGATACTTGTCGCAGACCTCTAACACCTGCTTACACTGGGCCACACGAAGTATTAGAAAGGACAGACAAAGTCTTCAAAATACTTTTACGTAATAACCCTGTCACAGTATCTATAGACCGAATAAAGCCAGCTTACATATTGCATGACATTAACACATACAAGAGTACAACCACACCAGACACACACACATCTAGTAATCAATCATCAAGCAATCACACACAAAACAATCATAACACAACACACAATACAAACACTTCTTCCACAAATTCGCCACAACACACTACGACAAACAAAACTGGAAGAAATGATATCCGCAAGACGAGATCAGGTCGTACTGTTCACTTCCCTAAATATTATCGCCCGTGAGACGGTCTCTGGAGGGGGTGATGTAGCATACTTATAAAATTATATATTTTATTTATTTTGTAAAAACACGCAGACAAGCGTAAATATTTTATATATATATATGTAATACGGTCGGTCGCGCACGCAGCTTGTTTGATGTACCTATGCGCGCGCAGGACGCGCAGGCGCTCGGCGACTACGGGTTGCGCGCGCAGGCCGCGCATGCGTATATCAAAAGAATTTTGTTGTTGGCGCCACGACACACATATCGTCTTAATATTATACCTTTTTTATATTTTCTATTGTTCTCCTTCTTTACAATTATATTACTATTATTACTGTATTAATAAACGTTTACATTCTACAAATATCATTCTCTTAATTTCATCCGCTTTAAACATATTATTGTAGGCTATTCTTCTCATAAGACAACAAACCCAGGCTCAACAATGAGTAAAAGTAGTATCCCAGAATTCTACTTTACTACTGGATGCAACATATGTCTTCATGCCAAATCTCTAACAGAGTACACATGGAAAAATGAGTATCAATAAATCTTTTGGCTCATCCGCTTTCGCCTTATTCGATATACCATATATACAACACTTTAACAATACTGAGCTTTTCATACTTCCTTGTTGTATTTGATAAGATTTTTGTATTCCCATATTGTTCTCACATAAAATTTATCACGACTAAAGTCACTGGTTTTTTTTTCTAATTTATCTAGAAATATAATTTTAATGGCTTGCAAGCTGATAGTCTGCCTTAAAAAAAGTGGTGCCCTTCACTTATAAGCGCATAGATTAAAGAGAAAGGCAGGCAATACACCTGCAATTTCTCCAATGTTGCGTGTGCTCATGGGCGACAGAAGTCACTTATCTCTATTTATACTCTTCATTTAAGCTGCATGCTCGTTTCCTCCCTGTGTTATATTACAAAAAATATACCACGACGTACATAATACTCCACTCAAATTGGCATCATACTATGTTTATCAAATAAACAGTTTTTTTACAATCCGTGATTCTTGATCAAAGAACAATATTACCAGATGGGGGATATAAGGTAAATCTTTCTCATTGTCTTCTTTCAGAGCAATGCCGTTCACGAGGCACTTGGACGCGTCGTTCCCCCGCGTATGGGACCGTTGGGAGGCAGACGGCACTAGCTGGACCATAGAGGACCTGCCTCCTGGTGACGAGGACGAGGCGCTAGATATACTGCTGAAGTATCAATGTCCGGAAGAAATTCTGTTGGTGTTAAATAGTCAGTTTATTCGATATCTATATAATAAAAAAGCTGATCCAACAGATGTCATTGGACTAGTTTATATGGGTATAAGAAACAGGGATTTATTATATTTTAGTCTACAATCATTCCATTTAGTCTCTTTATAAGAACCATCCTTGAATTTTTCAATATGATGCCTTCAATATGACGGCACCTTCTACCATCGACAAAGAGTTGACCCCCATACCTTAGTACCTAGCTGATCACCTACAGCACGATTTCCAAGATGTTTTCTCCCACAAACGCTCAGGTTATGGAGTGAACTCACTATCAAGATTTTTCTAAGAGACTCCAGCATGAGGTCCTTCAAAAAAGGGATAATGAGGTTCCTTCAGGGTCGACAACTCGCGCGTAATTTGTCTTTTTTATGATTTACATTAGAATGGCAAACAAGCTGACGCCTCTTCTGATGGAATGTAGTAATCGTCGCCTATAGACATGAGCAGCACCATTGCTGTATAAGCATCACAGAATATAATATTATAACTATGGTACCCCTCATGCATTGTCATTCCTAAGAACTAAGGTTTTAACCCCCGCACCATATAAATTCACTACCATATCCCACCCTTCAAACTGAAACACAACCAAACACAGCTGCTTCATGGCAGAAATACGAGTGGGATCAAAGTAACCATTGCGTACCAATACATACCAATTTACCACGTGATTCCAGCTTAGAACGGGCCACCCCTGCTTCTCCAGTGCGTGTCGAAAATGGCGACTAAGGTAACTTAGTCGAGATGGGGAGAAAGAGATTGTTAGTAATGAAGACTGAGAATCCTATTGCTAGCAATATACCCAACCAGGTCGACCTCCTCGCGGTTTTCCCTGGAAACTATCATAGTTAATTCCTAATGAATTCATCATGATGGGTTAACTGGCCTGTTTTCATTCTCTTCTATCACCCTTCACTGGTGCTCCGCCAGCGTATCCCGTTAGCGGTGGGGTTACCATACCATATTCACCCATCAAAAAAAACTTAATCGAGAGATGAGCAGCAGCGTCCCTCTTAAGACATCACCAATACTCAATTGCGGTTGCCAAACCGCCTGTCAAGAGTGTCAACTGCTGGCAAACCCCCCTTTTTGGAACAGACCTATGATCAACAGTGAACAGTTAAAGCTGATATGATAATGACAATAAATACATACCTACTTGAATGGGCCACCGTTTCCTTTCTCATGGTTATCTTTAGAGGCGACTATGGAAACTCAAAAGCCGCGGGATGGGCAGTAACGTCCCTTTTAAAATATCACTAAAGTCGAACTGCGGCTGCCAACCCGTCTGCAAAACGTAGCAACTACTGGCAAAACCTCCTTATGAGGAAGGCCTATGTTCACCAATGAACAGTTCACGGCGGATATGATGATGATGAATGACTACTTGGTGTATACATAGCTTTGTCATCCAGATATGCTTGGCGATCCAGTAAGCTTAGAAACATTATGCCAAGTATTTCGGTATTTCTTCCAACAACGTCTCACCCTCGCTTGCTACGCACAGTCGGGCGGTGATAAGAAACTAGTAGCGCTCAATGTGTGCGGGGTGAAGATCAAAGGAGAAGAACTAAATTTTGAGGTTAGCAATTGTTGAATATATATTATTTAAACTTTAATATTAGCAGTATTGTAGCTAGATTAATTATTGTTTTTTGTAAACTGTAAGAGTATATATTAATGTTTTGTCTTCTTGTGGCATTGATTTAGTGTTGAAACTTAAATTGTAATTTTATTTATATTGATTTTAATTTAACATACACATGTATGACTTTTCTATCATTCTTATTTATCTTATAATAGCTTTGTTGACTACCTATAATGCATGACCCAAAGTGTGCACTTGGTGCCAGTAATGATTATTGTGTAAAGTTAAAATTATATAATGTAATAAGTAGTTAAAATTTAACAAGTATATGTAAATTCAATGATTAATATTTGCATGCCATTTGATATGACGAAACATAATAGACATCATGTAAACTTGACAAATGCAACATCTTATCTTTTTTTTTATACAACTTAGAATGGCAAACAAGCTGACGGCCCACATGATGGAAAGTGGTAACCGTCGCCTATAGACATGAGCAGTACCATGGACATAACAGAGTATACTGTTTCGCTCATGATACCCCCCATGCGTTGCCATTCCTGAGGACTCGGGTGTTATTCCTCTGTACCCAGTAAATATCTACAATGTTTCTGGCAAATAACTTTCATTTTATTTAGACTATATCTGTTTATAAAAGAAATGTTCACAATTGTATTCCTGAAGATCTCGCCGTATGTGCTCCGGTATAGAATGGACAACCCATTCCCGTAGGTGTCGTAAAAGGCAACTAAGGAAGGGCGAGGGATGAGCAAACACGTCCCTCTTAAAACATCTCTAAAAGCCTAACTGCTAACCCAACCCGCCTGCCAAGCATGGCAACTACTGGCAAAACTCCCCTTATGGGTAAATCTTATTTCCAACAGTGGACAGTTAACGGCTGAAATAACAATTACATCTTTATGTTTCCAGTCTAAAGCAGATAACTTCATAAACCTATTACAAACATCATTGTATCTTGACGCAAAAGCAAATAGTTTGGAGTATTTGGATATAGATAAGGCTCTAATTGCTGTGGGACTTGTTGTGCGGAAAGAGTACAGAGGAGCTGGGCTTGGATGCAAACTTCTGGCTGCGAGGTATTTACTGCCTTACATAGAAATTCCATTAAAAATAACATTGCTAAGTGGCAATAGGCTGGTCACATAGCTCGAAGAACTGACAACCGATAGAGAAGAAAGCTTCTTGAGTGGCGAGCCTATACGGGCAAATAATATAGGACGATATCCGATTAGATGAAGTGACGACCTCTAATACATTGTAGGGAATCAGTGAATGCAGGTGGCTCAGGACTTCAAATGCAATCTTCCTTATGGCAATGTATGGGAGAGACCTATGTCCAGCAGTGGACGGATAATGGTTGAAATGATGATGATCATGATATAAATTCCATTATATGAAAATAGATGTTTTTTTCAATTGGTGATAATAGAATCTTTGGCCCTTCTGTACTAAAGATACACGCTGGCGACCAATGAGAAAGGATAGGCGAGGATGAAAAAACAGGTCAGTAGGCCATCGTAACAAATTCACTTGAAATTAAACACGATAGTTTCCAGAAGGGAATACGAAGAGTCCTAATATAGTGTATTGCTAGAAATAGGACTACAAACTTTCATTACTAACAATCTTTTAACCCCGTTATGCTTTCGTTTGCGAATACTTACCTTATAAACTAAACCTATGATTCTAATTCTAGTTTTAGCTATTTAGACTTAGTGGTATTAACTTTGTATTGACAGTCAATGAGGACAAACGTTTTTATTAGTATAATTAGGATTGGGTCCACAAAAAAACTTCATTTGGGGCATAATCTGTTATTTTGATTTAAAAATTAAACTACCAAACTGATTTTGATAAAACTTCTATGGAACCAATTTATAAGTATGTCCTTTCAGATAAAAAAATAGTTTTCCAAATCGGTTTAGAATTGACGGAGTTATGAGGTAAGAAACTTAAAATAATATAATAAAAACAGGGTACATAGGAATAACAACTGAGTCCTCAGGAATGGCAACGCATGAGGGGTATCATGGGCGAAATAGTACACTCTGTTACGTCCATGGTACTGCTCATGTCTATAGGCGACTGTTACCACTTTCCATCAGGTGGGCCGTCAGCTTGTTTGCCATTCTAAGTTGTATAAAAAAATAAAATAAAAAAAATAAAAATATACAACCGAATTGAGAACCTTTTGTTTGAAGTCGTTTGATAAATATATATTTATTTACAGAATGCCTCTATGCAGATTTCTCGGTATTAAAGGTACTGCCACTACGTTCACCAGCATACCGGCACAGAAATCTGCAGCGCGCTGTGGCTTCACAACTATATTGGAGTTGACCATCAGGGAACTAAGCGAAGCAGGATTCAATTATCCGAAAGACGATAATAGAATACTCAAAGTTATGGTGAATAAATATGAATGACGCTAAATTATTAATGTTATTCTATTGTATTGTAATTTTTTTATTGTATATACTTCACATTAGATATATTAAAAAGATTTAATAAACAATGAAGCTAAAAGAAAACTAAAAAAAACTCTATCATTCAATAGAAGACAAAAATTTTACAATTAAAATGAAACGTACCATTCCATAGCTATGTATATTACAAATTACAATAATAAATAACTAAATACACCTACATATATAAATATAAACTTACACTGAACATTTCTTGAAATAGTTTGTATCTATTTATAACAAGTTTACTACTATAATCTTTTGGAGGATACAATAAAGAGTATCTGTCTATTTACACACACACTCACGAACACACACACACACACACACACACACACGTGCGCACACACGCACGCACGCATGCACACGCACGCACGCTTCACACATGCACACATGATATTAAAGGAAATAGTAATAGATTAATACTACCATTATGAAATATGTTTCCAACAGATAATTTTATGGAAATCTCAAGTTGAAAGTGATTTATTTTATTTCTAACTAGCTTTAGCCGCAACGTTGTAAGCGTAGAATAACTCTTAAAATCATAAAAACTGAAACGTTCTATAGGTCTATTTTAACTATTACAGTATTTTGTCACTCTTTCAAATTGAGAAATTAGTGCGAAAGAAAAGGACAAAACAGTTCAATAGTTAAAATAGGTTTTTGAGAAATTTGACGTTTTCATGAATAAGAGGGTAGATGAATAAAAAGAAAACCAAGGAAATAGTTGCTTTTTTCATTGATTCTCCTAATTATTCACGACTACATGACGTATCATCATAAAATATACTCCAGGTTTTAAACCAGACCTTTAGAAATACAATTTTATAACCACGGCCAATTTGCATAGGTGTTGTTAGAGGAGGGGCCAAGTGGGCCTTATTCACCACCGAATCATCTAGTGCCCACCTTAGGATCCGTGCGAATATTCAAAAAGACATATGCGCTAATTTTAGGGACTAGTCTACAGTATGAGTTCTTCAAAAAGGATATATTAAGTTTATTACTAGGAAACAATAAAGAGTACCTATCTATCTATTTAAGGTCCATGTTTTGCCACGAATCTCAAAACGGACGACAGAAAGAAAACCGCTTTTTTTAATGTTCCTACTTTTAGCTTCCATGTCTTATACCTTCTTCTGTTTCTACCTTCATTCATATATTTACCTCTAAACCGTTAACAAGTAACAAAATTGCCAAAAATGTTTTCCAAAGTTCTTCATAGCCATTTTACTTTTCTCAAAAAAGTTCACCAAGAATTTCTTTTCTACTAAACGCCGCGAACAGAAAAAAAAATTACCCAAGATTGCGAAAACGATATCAAATTTGGCAACACTGTCTTTAGACATCCTAGATATAGAGGAATTATTTTCTTACCCCCTTATTCATGAGAATGACAAACGACTTAGAAATGACTCTCATAATCCAATTTTAGCTATAATCAATAGCTGTACTTTGTCTCTTTCTTTTACACAAAATTCCCAATTTGAAGGAAAGTGACAAAACGGTGTAATAGTTAAAGTAGGTTTGTAGAAAATTTTAGTTTGTATAAATAAGTTTTTATAATATGTCACCAGATGGAACTAGTAGTCAGTACAGAAATTAATTTTATTACTATAAATAAAGTTATTAAAACTACAGTAACAAAGTGTGATTTATTTAATCTTTTATTAGATAGCAATCCAAGATAAATTTCTCTTAAACATCACCCATTTAAAAAAACTTGTCAGAGGCTCTTGAGATAAAATTCGGTTGTATTTTTAAGGAATTCCAAAATAGTCGAATACTGTAAACAGCTGAATTGGCACGTCACTAGTGCCTGCTACTTACTCGCAACAATTAGTAAGATTCAGATGGGATATAGACTTTTTCCATCTCATTTACATAAAATTAAACTGAGCACTTCATCAAACTGCTTTTTGCGCCACAGAAAAAGCATATTCACAACATATAATTATGTAATACCCGGATTTGCTTTACAAAGACTTGCTCTGATAGATGACTTAATAAGTCTATGTAGGGGGGAAGGGATTGTTAGTAATGCAGATTATCAATCCCATTGCTAACAAGATAACATAACAGGGCGACCTTCCCATGGTCCCCCCTGCAAACCATCGTGCTGAATTCCAAGTGTATATCATCACGATGGGCTAACTGACCTGCCTTTCATCCTCACCTATCATTCCTCACTGGTGCCCCGCCAGCGTATACCGTTAGTGTAGGCGGGGTTACCATTCCGTTATTATCTATTAAAAAAAAGTTTATGTAAAAATAGAGAGATAACCCGCCTCCTGCCATCTATCGTTCAGAACACTGATACTTATCCAAATATCAATTAATTTATCCTTCACATTATTTAAACACTGTAATTACATCAATATGGATTCAATTGTATAAATTATTCAAGAAAAATATTCGCTACAATAAAAGTAATAAATATTAAAGATAGGCTAAAATGGAAACATCCAAAGCCGAAAAGCTATCATAAAAAAAAATATTCGCCGAGCAAACAGTTTGAATATAGTTCGTTAACAAAATTGTTTAATAAATATAAAACTTGTGCAGAGACGAAATAATACGTAGTGAAATATTGTGTAAGTTCTTTTAATTACTACAAAATAAGGTAGAATTATTTTTCATACGCTATGGGGACTTAACGCGAATAAACTGCACGGGCTGCCAGAGGACACCGCTTAGTTCAATCCTATCGTGACCACGACGTGATGCCACCCACGTCGAAACATCGACAATAAAAATTAAGTATGTAGGTACTATTTACCTGCAATCGCGTCGCGTAAAGTCCCGATAGTGTATTTAAAATATATAACAACAACGCGAAAGTTTAATATTAACTAAGGTAAAGTTTACATATGTATTTATTTATTTATTTTGTAATACTTTATTGTAAAGTCTTAAATTATAGAATATTGTAAATTGATGGAGACAAAATAAATATTAGCTAATTAATTTATATTATTATATGTATCACGTCTCCCATATTTAGAACTAACAAAATTTTTCATCGTGCCTCCCACCAAACTGTTTATAATTACTCCTCTCCATCCAAAGGTTGCCTGGAAGAGATCGCTCTTAGCGATAAGGTCGCCCATTGTTTTCTCATTGTGATTATTTCTTGTAATTATTTATATTTATAATAAGTTTACTATTGTAATCTTTTGGAGAAAACAATAAAGAGTATCTATCTATCTGTCTAAGAAAAAAATAGAAAAAACATTAGGTGCTACAATTACAACACGAGCAAATTGATACAGGACTGCTAATACATCTAAATGTATTATATGTGTACACATAACTTAAAATAGTATGTTATGTTAGTTTTGTTTAGCACATTAAATTATAGTGATATAATAATTATTTTAATAAATATACTATAATACCACAATATTGTAATATACAATTTTTTTATATTACATTAAATGACAATCTAATTGGCCACCTAGTGGTAAATACCAATTGTCATCTATTTAAAAAAAACTTTACAGAATATACGCACTGACCCTCAATGTGCTTCCATTATAAACTAAGGTATTATGCCTTTTTCCCAATAATTTTACTGCTATATTCCCACTCTTCAAATTTAAACACAGCCATGCAATAGTTTTTTTTAACGGCAGAAATACTTCAAGACTTTTATGTTAAACTACCCTCAATTGTGATGTTTTGTGGGTATATGTAACTTAAACACTAATAGATTCTTATGCTTAAAAAATTTATACGTTTCGTACGTAATATACTCGTTCTTTTTGTCATTACATAGTTTATAGTATTAGCTATTATACAAGTATACATATACCTTAGATTAGATAGTATCTCCATAGAAATGTTTCGAGAAAAACGGATCAACTTGTTCATACAATTTTACGTGATAATAGCTATGAGTAATTCCTTTATAGCGTCTATATTTAATTTGTCTTATAATTTCTGCATCTTCTTAATGTGTATAAACTCATTTTATTTATTAAATAATTCGTCAAGATACATTTAATACGTAAGTGTATAGAACACTGACAAAAGAAACGAGTCGGCTAATTTGACAATTAGCTGACAAAAAGTTGACCCGTTTTTCTCCCGAGGCTCGATGCTCATCTATATAATCTGAGATATATACATACTTAAATATAACAATTCAAGGTTATATATATATATATATATATATATATATATATATATATATATATATATAGAAATTTTTTTCCATATTATATTAAGTTGTTATTACTTTTAACCTTTTTTTTATACAACTTAGAATGGCAAACAAGCTGACGGCCCACCTGATGGACGGAGCGGTAACCGTCGCCTATAGACATAAGCAGTACCATGGACATAACAGAGTATACTGTTTCGCCCATGATACCCCCCATGCGTTGTCATTCCTGAGGACTCAGGTGTTATTCCTCTGTACCCACTAAATTCACGCTTAGTGTATGTAAGAGTTATAAATCATTGAAATAAATAAATAAATAAAATACAGTTTGCAATAACAAATGCAAAATTTCTGATGCGTAACATTCAAATCAATATGACGGTCATGTTTACATTTACAAAAATTGTAAGTAAATGTTAAGTTACTATATTACTAGTATTACTAATCTATTAAAAAAACTCTAACTACACTATGTCTGTAGAAGAATATTTAAGAAAAATTTATATAAGAGGTATTTCAAACAATCTAAACTGACCAGAAATGCCCCTCCATTTTCTATTCCTGTCGTTTCAACAAACTATAGACAAAACAGTTATATGCAGCAAGCAATGAACGAGTTTAATAAATTAAATAGACAGTTTATTTATTCATTAATTAATTTTTTTTTATACAACTTAGAATGGCAAAGAAGCTGACGGTCCACCTGATGTAAAGTGGTAACCGTCGCCTATAGACATGAGCAGTAGCATGGACATAACAGAGTATACTGTTTCGGCCATGATACCCCCCATGCGTTGCCATTCCTGAGGACTCAGGTGTTATTCCTCTGTACCCAGTACATTCACGCCATATCCCACCCTTCAAACCGAAACACAGACTTGCAAACACAACTGCTTCATGGTAGAAACACGAATGGGACAGAGGTACCCAAGCAATCTACTTCTGTACAAAGTCTCCCTCTGGTACTGGTTATTTATTACTCACATGGAATATACATGAGTATATTGGACCCCGCACTAGGTGAACCTGTATCGAGAGAGTCTATAAAGGGATTAGCAACACATGGGGGGTATCATGGGCGAAACAGTATACTCTGTTATGTCCATACTACTGCTCATGTCTATAGGCGACGGTTGTCACTTTTCATCAGGTGGACCGTCAGCTTGTTTGACATTCTAAATAGCATAAAAAATATTTTAAAAAATCAGAATAATTAATATACTATTATTTTTTATTTTAGTAAGATAGTATAATGTGTACAAGCAGATGAACCTTCCTGAAAGTATTCTAAAGGTGCTCATGCTCTTAATGGATCTTCCAGAGCGATGCCGTTCAAGAGGCACCTGGACGAGTCGTTCCCCCGTGTGTGGGACCGCTGGGAGACGGACGGCAATACTTGGACCATAGAGGACTTGCCTCCTGGCGATGAGGACGAGGCGATAGATATAATGCTCAAACATCTATGTCCCGACGAACCGTTGTATATATTAAACAGTTAGTTCACTTAGCTACTACATCACCTATATATATATATATATATATATATATATATATATATATATATATATATATATATATATATATATATATCCGATCCGATCCGCCCCAGCTTCGCACGGATACGCATTGCATCACATCGCATTAGAAACCTCTAAAATTAACAATGTTTCTCTACTATATTATGCATGTATTATACATATAAACCTTCCTCTTGAATCTCTCTATCAATAAAAAAAACCGCATCAAAATCCGTTTCGTAGTTTTAAAGGTCTAAGCATACATAGGGACAGACAGACGGGAAGCGACTTTGTTTTATACTATGTTGTAATTATTTTAATTCTCTCCTCAGAGTTACTGGACGACCCAGAAAGTGTACAAGAAATGTGCAAAACTTGGCGACTCTGCTTCAAACAGCGCATTAGCCTCGCTTGCTACGTGGAGTCTGGAAGTGAAAGGACACTGGTAGCACTTAACGTGTGTACAGTAAAGATGAAAGGGGATCGAACAAACACAGAGGTATGTTTTTGAATTGGTGATAATGGAATGGTAACCCTACCTGCGCTACCGGTATATGCTGGAGGGCTACCAGTGATAGATAGATGAGGTTGAAAGCAGATCAGTTGGCCCATCGTGAAGAATTTAACAAGAATTAATTACGATGGTTTCCAGGGAGAATGGAGGATCTATTAGAACCCATTACTCACAATCTTCCCCCCCCCCCCCACCCCACCCCAACACAGAGGTTAGCAACTATCAATATAGTTGACAATTTTTTTATGAAACATTTCTATATTAAACATATCCATGTCTAATCACCAGCTTGTTGCTATTCTTGGCAACAAGCTGTTGATTAGACATGGATATATCAGTGCCACTCCGATATCTATATATTGGATACCTCTAAACATTGATGGCAGAAATAATTAGATAGATAGATAGATAGATATATCGTTTATTTGTTTGTTACTAATCACACACAACATGTTCATAAGAATAGATAATACATAAAACAACATAAGATTTATAAAATTGTGTTATTATGTGTGATTAATTAAGATTGTATTCCATAAAAAAAATCACTTCAATTATAGCAATACCAGTTATTTTTTATTTTAAAATAAACTACGATACCGATTTTGTTAAAATGTCTATGAATGAATGAATGAATGAATGAATGAATGGTTTATTTTCTCTTCACAAAAGGTAGAATAAAGTGACAACTTGAGGTACAATTTGATATGAAGACCCATTTTGTGAGAGACTGGTGCTTGCGGTAGGTTTAGAAGAACCTGTGTTACAAGTCACCAAGTCTATGGGACTAATCTATTTAAAAAACGAACAGAGTTTCGTGCCTCCAGTCAAACTGTTTATAATCACTCTTCTTATAATTATTCAAAGGCTTTTACTGCGACAACAATTCATGAAAATATATAACATCAATAAAGGAAATAACAGTAATGGAATGATAAGACAAAAGTGAAGAATTTATCCGTCCACTGCTAGAAATAGGCCTCCCCCATAAACTGCCATAGGGAACGGTCCTGAGCCAAGAAACTACGAGAATAAAATCAGATCAGTTGACCGATCGTGGCAAATTCACTAAAAATTAATCACAATGGTTTCCAGAAGGAACTACGTGGAGTTCGTCCTGATAGTGTATATTACTGCCAATGGGAACCAAAACCCTAATTAATAATGGGAACCAAAACCCTAATTAATAATCCGTTCTCCTTTATTTTATCAGGTACGAGGTGAAAACTACAAAAATGCTCAGCAAACACGTTTATACCTGGAGTCAAAATTAGATATTCTAGAACATTTGAATGTGGACAAGGCTCTCATTGCTATGGGATTGGTTGTACGAAAAGAGTACAGAGGAGCTCGGCTTGGAAGCAGACTTCTGGCTGCAAGGTAAAATACCTAAAATAGAAAAACCTCCATAGAACTAACGTACAAATATCCTACACAGGGGGAGAAAGGGATTGTTAGCAAAGAAATTCGACATTGCTAGCAATATGCCCTATCAGGTCGACCTACACGTGGTCCCCCTGGAAACCATCGTGAACAATTCTTGTTGAATTCGTCACAATGGGCTAACTGACCTGCTTCATCCTCATCTATCATCCCTTACTGGTGCCCCGCCGGTGTCTACCAATAGCGCGGGTAGGGTTACCATTTCATTATCACCCATTAAAAAAAATATCCTACACATTCTCATACAAAAACTATAATTAAAACTGCTCCAAATTATATTTTCTAAAGATAAAAAAAATCTAGAAATCCTTATCATTATATCAGCATTTAACTGTCCACTGCTGAACATAAGTCTGCCCTTGGGGGGTTTTGCCAGTAGTGGCAACGCTTGGCAGACGGGTTGGCAACCGCAGTTAGACGTTATTGATGTTTTAAGAGGGACGCTGCTGCCCATCCCTCGCCCTCCCTTAGTCGCCTCTTACGACACCCACGTGAAAGAAACAGAAGGTCCTTTCTATGCGGGGACAACACGGCATGTTTCTATCTATATTTAGCTATAATATAATAAAACGGAAGTTTTTATAAGCAATTTAGAATGGCAAAGAAGCTGATGGCCCACCTGATGGAAAGTGGTAACCGTCGCCTATAAACATGAGCAGTACCATGGATATAACAGAGCATACTGTTCCGCCCATGATACCCTGCATGCGTAGCGACTCCTGAGAACTAGCGGAATAACGGAGTTATTCCTCTGTACCCTGTAAATTCACTGCCATATCCCAATCCAACGTCAATACAACTGTATTGACTTAATCTATTTGTTTACAGAGAGCCTCTATGTCGATATCTTGGCATTAAAGCTACCGTATCTACCTTTACCAGCATAATTGCCCAAAAGGTTGCAGTGCGAAGTGGCTTCACAACCATTCTAGAAGTATCCATCAAAGAACTGAGCGAAGCAGGATTGAAATATCCCAAGGAAGATAATAGGATAATCAAAATAATGATGAAGAAATATGAATGACGTCAGAACAAAAGATCCTGAAAAAAAATATTACATATATTTTATGCTTAAAACGAAATGACAATTTTATATAATTTAAAATTGGACACCACAAAAAAAGAAGATTTCAATTGTGGCAAAAAAATATTTTAGAATAAATTAATGAATTGAATGTGAAATTGAGTTTGTTTGTTTTGTAATAGTATCTTAACGGCTTAAGAAGTTACTATAAAATTTGTTATATAGGATGGATATAGAATACTTTACCACGAACACTCAGGTTGTGGAATGAGCTCCCTGCCGATGTTTTCCCAGGAGATTACAGCATGGGGTTCTTCAAAAGGGGGGTAAAGAGGTTTCTTCAGGGTCGGCAACGCCCGCGTAATACCTCTGGTATTGCAGGTGTTCATAGGCTACGGTAACCACTTACCATCAGGTGGGCCGTATGCTTGTTTGCCACCACAGTGGTATAAAAAAAAATCTTTTATCCCGGTCAGTGAACATATCCCGGTCACGCGGAAAAAGTCGCGGGTAAAAGCTAGTAAACGTATAAATCATTCGTTCACCTGTAAATATAAGACACCGGGAGAAAAGGGATTGTTAGTAATGGAGACTGAGAATCCCATTGCTAGCAATATACCCAACCAGGTCGACCTCCTCGCGGGTCTCCCTGGAAACTATCATGGTTAATTCCTGATGAATTCATCATGATGGACTAACTGGCCTGTTTTCATTCTCATCTATCACCCTTCACTGGTGCTCCACCAGCGTATCCTGTTAGCGCAGGCGGGATTACCATTTCATTTTCACCCATATAAAAAAAAAATATAACACACCAAGAGTCCTAAGATACACGGTTGTAACACATTTTTAAATCTTTTTCTCTCTCTTTCTCTCTCTTTTCGTTTGGCTTTTTGTTTGTACTTTTTGCTTCAGTAGGTATTTTCCTGTCTTATTTTCTTTTATCTTCTATTCTGATTTATCATCATTAGAATTAAGAATAATAATAAAATTATCTATTCAGCTACAAAACATAACAATATTAATGACAACTTTAAAATAATAATTCTGTGGCAATAACTGAAATGGTCACCACTCAGCTTAAGCTGCAGCGTGGTGTTACAGCGCTGTTTTTCAGTGGGGCCACCACTCGATAGGTAGCACTCGAGAAACAGGATTAAGTCTATAATATACTTTATACATGATATCAATATTATATATAAATATAATTATATATTATTTATTGTATAAGGTATACGATACAGCAAGATATAATGAAGATAAATAGAATAATTATGTATTCAAATAATTATAATGCAAATTATGTTATTATATTTGTGTAGCTAAGTATACACTGTGATTTGAAAAAACACAAAAGCTTTTATTAGAAATATTTTAAAGTATAACATTTTACAGTTGCGTTTGATTTTTAATGTTAGGAATAAAATTATTTCACTGCATAAATAATTTCGTGGAAACCTGATGGCTTTTTCACGGAACCCACTTTAGGAATCGATGAAATAAAATAAAGAATAACTGAGTAGAAAATTCCTACATTATAAAGTCACTTAAAATAATATCTTTTTTTAGTGTTTGGAAAATTGAGTTGTGGCGCATAAAATGTGTTGTGAATCTGGTTAACAATATATGTACGTCGAACAAAATTAGCCACTAATTATGTATCATTATCATTTATTACTTTATAAATGGTTGTGCCGTAGCATACAGATCTGTAATGTTTTACAACAAAAATTTGTTGTGTCCATTTAGATAAAAATAATATGCAAGATATATATTTATTTTTTTATACAACTTAGAATGACAAACGAGCTGACGGTCCACCTGATGGAAACTAATAACCGTTGCCTATAGACATGAGCAGTACCATGGACATAACAGAGTATTATGTTTCGCCCATGATACCCTCCGTGCGTTGCCATTCCTGAGGACTCAGGTGTTATAACTCTGTACCCAGTAAATTCACGCTATATTCACCCACCCTTCAAACCGAAACACAGCAATGCAAACACAACTGCTTCACGGTTGAAACACGAATGGGACAGAGGTGCCCAAGCAATCGACTATTGTACAAAGTCTCCCTCTGGTACATAGACTAGATTTTGTATTTCTAGTATATTGTCTTGCATAAGAGCGCTGATATTGATATTTTCTATGATTCAATAGATGTAATATTAAGGAAACTCACAAAGGCAGATCATGCTAGCTTTAATAAAACACAGCAATCATGAATAAACTTGTTGTTTAACAATTAACGTACATATATACATAACATGATTTGGCAGGAGTAATGCAAAACTGATTCTTGCTAGATTATGATTTTTCTTCTCTTCTTTTTTTTTTTTTTTGCTTCAATCTATTTTTCTTATGTAACGCACATTTATTGGATTTTTGCTATGTCTTGATTATTGTTAGTAATAAAAGTACGTCAATTAAATTCTGTATATTACGTTCGTTTTTTATCAGTACTTGTATCAGATCTAATTTTGTATTTTTTTTTATTTTGTAATCTTATATAGATAGAGGATCTCCATAGAAATGCTTCGAGAAAAACGGATCAACTTTTTCATACAATTTTGCGTGATAAATAATTATTAGTGGATTCCTTTATAACGTCTATATTTTTTTTAATGGATGATAATGGAATGGTAACCCCACCCGCGCTATCGGTATACACCGGCGGGGCACCAGTGAAGGATGATAGGTGAGGATGAAGCAGGTCAGTTAGCCCATCGTGATGAATTCAACAAGAATTGTTCACGATGGTTTCCAGGGGGAACCACGTGGAGCTCGACCTAATAAGGTATATTGCTGGCAATGGGGCTGTCAAACTCCATTACTAACAATCCCTTTCCCCCCCATAACGTCTATATTTATTTTGTCTTATAATTTCTGCATATTTTTTTATGCGTAAACACTCATTTTATTGATAATATAATATATAATAAATAAAATATATAATACGCCAAGATGCATTTTATGCATAAATATATAGAATACAAAAATAAATATAATAAAAAAGACGAGTCAGCCAATTTGATAATTATTATAAGGCTTTGAAGATGTTTTAAGAGGGACGCTGCTGCCCATCCCTCGCTTTCCCTTAGTGGCCTCTTAGGACACACACGGAAAAGGTGGCCTATTCTATGTAGACCACACAGCAATACTTTCAAATTGGTCCTATAGAAATTTCATCAAAACCGGTTCAGTAGTTTGAGTTTAATTCAAAATAACTGTTATTGCCTCGACTGTAGTCACTTTGTACAAAAGTCGATTGCTTGGGTACCTCTGTCCCATTCGTGTTTCAACCGTGAAGCAGTTGTGTTTGCATGGCTGTGTTTCGATTTGAAGGGTGAGATATGGCGTGAATATACTGGGTACAAAGGATAACACCTGAGTCCTCAGGAATGGCAACGCATGGGAGGTATCATGGGCGAAACAGTATACTCTGTCATGTCCATGGTACTACTTTTGTCTATAGGCGACGGTTACCACTTACCATCAGGTGGGCCGTCAGCTTGTTTGCCATTCTAAGTTATATAAAAAAAAACTTATTTTTGTGACAAAAAATCTACTTCTGTTATTTAAGTTCCGGATGACATCAAACTTATCATTCGTAAGGGAATTTAAATTCTATTTCTTACTTAAAACACACATTCATTTACCATCGATACATTGTAAGTAACCTATAATTCGCCGATATGTAGCTCTGTCCTAGTTCTGACAGTACACAGTCATTGTACAAGGTGAAACAAGTAATGAATGTACTATTATACAATTCAACACTGCAATCATTCGTGTGTACGACATCACTGTGGTCACCACTCGGCTATCTTATCAATACTTTTTTTGCATTTATTATATATATAATAAATGGAAATTATATTATTTATATAAATATTGTAGTAGTATCTTCATCAGTGTCGAGGTTACATATGTAAGTACATATAATTTTAATTATTTGTATTCATGTAATCGCTTTACCATACCAGCCGTTAACCCTCATACCCGGGGGGAAAAGGATTGTTAGTAATAGGGTCTAATTGACCCATTGCTATACACCCAATCAGGTCGACCTCCACGCGGTTCCCCCTGGAAACCATCGTGGTTAATTCTAGTGGAATTCGTCACGATGGACTAACTGACCTGCTTCATCCTTATCTATCATCCCTCACTGGTGCTCCGCCAGCGTATCCCGACAGTACAGGCGGGGTTACCATTCCATTATCACTCATTAAAAAAAAAACCTCATACCCTACAGCCTAAATGGTCGCGTACAACGCGGTTTCAGAGATGTTTTCTCCCACGAACACTCAGGTTGCGGAATGAGCTCCCTGCCGAGGTTTTTCCAAGAGACTACAGCATGGGGTTCTTCAAAAAGAGGTTTCTTCAGGGTCGGCAACGCGCGCGTAATACCTCTGATATTGCAGGCGTTCATAGGCTACGGTAACCGCTTACTATCAGGTGGGCCGTATGCTTGTTTGCCAAATCAGTGGTATAAAAAAAAAAAAGAAAATTACACTGCTGAACATTTGCCCCCACCATAAGGAGGGCTTTGTCAATAGTAGCTACAATTGGCAGGCGGGTTGGCAACCGCAGTTAGTCTTTGGTTATGTTTTAAGAGGAAGGCTACTGTCCATCCTTCGACCGTAGTGATTTATCATAACTCACTTTGAATGACTATTAATAAAATTCATATACAGCCAATTCGATGACCGGTCTAATAAATCATTTCAAATTTCGTTTTCACAAAAAAATCTATTTTTTATACGACTAAATTATTTATTTATTTAGTTTATTTAGGATAAATTAAATACATATTACATATTTACTAAATGCTAGCCAATTATATTTATCCCCTAATGTGGAAGTAAATCCTATTAATTGCAAAAAGAATTATCAAAATCGGAAAAGAATTGGCGATATAATAAGTAAAAACATACGTATACAAATAAAAAGGGTTCAATTGAAATACTCTTTTTGAATTGAAATTATCATTATAATTAAAGATTGTGGCCCAGAAAAAAAAACGACTCAATTGATCTAAAAACTAAATGACTGAAACAATTTTGATAAAATTTCAATGGGACCAATTTTAGAGTATAAAAATTCTTTGGTATATGAAATCAAAAAAAAATTTTAAATTAGTTCACAACTGACTAAATTTTACCAGAGGGAGATTTTGTACAAAAGTTGCTTGCTTGGGCACCTCTGTCCCATTCGTGTTTCTACCGTGAAGCAGTCGTATTTGCATGGTTGTATTTCGGTTTGAAGGGTGGGATATGGCAGTGAATTTACAGGGTACAGAGAAATAACACCTGAGTCCTCAGGAATGGCAACGCATGGGGTGTATCATGGGAGAAACATTATACTCTGTTATGTCCATGGTACTGCTCATGTCTATAGACGACGATTACCACCAGGTCGGCCGTCAGTTTGTTTGCCATTCTAAGTTGTATAAAAATAAATTTAAACTAAGTTTCATTCAAAATATTTGTATATGCAGAATTCTGCGGTGGGATCTATGTTATGTAAGTAAATTATACAAGTGTCTATAGGCGACGGTTACCACTTTCCATCAGGTGGGCCGTCAGCTTGTTTGCCATTCTAAGTGGAATAAAAAAAAAACATAAAATAACTACAACCGAATGGCGAAACTCCTTATTTTTGAAGTCAATTGAAAATAAATTATTTGAACTACTAATATTATAAATGTAAAAGTGAGTTTGTTTTCATTTGTCTGTTTCCTATTAATATCTTAACGACTGAAACAATCATCATAAAATTTTGATGATGCCATGTACCATTTGGGTCACTGCGACACACTTGTTGAAAACATATTTACATACTTCATTTTTTGTTTTATATTTAAAAAAATGTAAATAATCTGATTGTATAAACTCATTTGTTAATTTACGTGTGTCATAAATGGCTCAAATAAAGTGTTTATCTATCTATCTACCATTACGAATCGGAAAATGTATTTTTTTTTTTTTTATACAACTTAGAATGGCAAACAAGCTGACGGCCCACCTGGTGGAAAGTGTTAACCATTAACATACGTTATATTTTTTACATCCTGGTCGTGTGGACAGAGTCGTAGTTTAAAACTAATTAATTAAATATAATATCTAGATGTGTAATTTATAAAATTAAATTCGAATTGTATAAATACAAGGGTCGATCCTAAGGCGTCATTTCCCTAAACCTATCTCTAATTGAAATTTCAATTTGATATTCCAGCGAAATCTTTATTCTAAAAAGCGATATAAGCTAACTTTATAATAGATTTAAGTCAAAATTATCATAAATTTAGTTCATAATGGTCCATAAAATAGTAACTTCGCGAAATAATCAAATTAAAATATTAGATTAAAAGTTAGGTATAGAGAAATGGTGCGTCAGAATCGATTGCACAAGGTACATAAATAGAAGTTAATGCAGTTAAGTAACTTAATTAATTAAAGTAACTAAATAAACTAATTAATTAATTTCCCATGTATATATAGATATCCAAATCAATTTAAATATATTAATATATATATATATATATATATATATATATATATTAAAATTAATTTAAATAAATAAGTATATTTAAATATGTGACAAACAAGTAGGTATATTGCACCGCAAGAGACAAGCGACTTCTTCAATATGCACCGATAAACAACAAGATATTTCGTAAATTATTAGACTACCCTCTTATTCATAAAATCTAAAATGTGTTACAAACCTATTTGAACTGTTGGAATGTGTTGTCACTGTCTTTCATATTGAGAAATGAACGTAAAAGTAAAGGACAAAACAAGTCAAAAGCTAAAATAGGTTTATCAGAGGTTTGACGTTGTTTATAAATAAGGGAATAGTACTTAGTAGACATTGTAAATATTGCGTGTTTGCATTGAAATGTAGCTTTATAAAAGTCAATGTTTTACTTCACAGAGCATAATGTCAGTGGTCACAAAATTGCTATCAGTCCAACACAAGAGCAAGAGTATCTTTTTTTATATAGTTTTATCTTTTATATATTTATATAACATTTTAAGTATTTCTTTTTTATATTATGTGTTTGCTTTTAATGAATTACTCAAGCTGTGCACATAATGTAATTTGATTATAACCTAGCCGAATCACAAATGTAATTATTACTTAAGTTTTTTATGGTTGTAATCTGTTTTAGGTGCCAATAAAATAAAAAAAAAAACCCTAACAATTTTTAAAAAAGAATTACGTTTATTTTGCTAAGACTACTATTAGAAAGCAAACTGCGCACACTATTCATCGCTCTATCTATACTCAAATAATATTGTCTATAAACGTCTCATAATTTATCAAAGATAATTTTACTTTTAAGTATTATATAGGTACTTGTTTTGGGTCTAATAGTAGATCTATTTCATCCACAGCAATGCCGTTCATGAGGCACTTGGACGCGTCGTTCCCCCACGTGTGGGACCGTTGGGAGGCAAACGGTACCAAGTGGACTATACAGGATCTCCCTCCCAGTGACGAGGACGAGGCGCTAGATATACTGCTCAAGCACCTATGTCCTGATGAAGTATTGTGTGCACTAAGTGGTTGGTTATTTATTTATAAGTCATTTGTTCTGTCCCACTTGTTTCTGCTGCGAAACAGCTTTGTTTTCAAGGGTATGTTTCGGTGTATTTATTTATTTAGGTTTACCAACAATTGTTTCCATAAAATAATGTAAATATACAATTATGGAGCTTAGAACTAAGTGTAACAATTTTTAATAGGCAAACACAGCATATATTGATACATGTATAACAATAAGTACGGAGAAATATATATATATATATATATATATATATATATATATATATATATATATATATATATATATATATATATATATATATACAACTATTATTAAATGCTTAACAACTAACAACTAAAGCCATTATATCCATAAGCAGATCCAGCAGCACGTCTCTTTTTATATATTTATAGATATTTCGTACAAAAACAATTGGAGTATCAAAATTAATATCGACCTGGTCACTGCAGCTATTTATAATTTTACAGAACCTAAAGTAAGTAGTGTAAAAGGGAATATGGCAGTGAAACCACAAAATACTTGTCATAATACTATCATAATCATTATTAGCTGTTAAGTGTCCACTGCTGAACTTAGAGCTTTCCCATAAGAGGGTTCGCCAGTAATAACCATGCTTGGAAGGTGGGTTGACCACTGCAGTTAGGCTTTTGGTGTTGTTTTAAGAGAATTGCTGCTGTCCAACCCTCTACCATTGAAAGGGAAGAAATTGTTAATTATGCGCACTACCAGTCCCAACGCTAGCAATATACCCTGTCAGGTCGACCTCCTCGTGGACCTGGAAACCATCATGACTGATTTATTGTTCAATTTTTAATGACTTATCGTCACTGGTGCCCCGCTGGTGTATACCGATAGCGCAGACGGGGTTACCATTCCAAAAAACCTTTTTATTCCCACTAAATCCATTAATAAAAGCCTTCTACCATTAAATTCCCTTAATCACCTCTTACGTTACCCACTGCAATGGAAGAGGTGGCCCATTCTATAACGAGACCGCTCAAAAACTGAGTCCTGAGGACTTAGGTGTTATTCCTCTGTATCCTGTAAATTCACTGCCATATCCCATCCTTCAAACCGAAACACAGTCATGCAAACAACTGCTTCACGGTAGAAACACGAATGGGACAGAGGTATCCAAGCAAACGACTTTTGTACAAAGTCTCTAAATATTATCTAATATTATTCTATTATAACCTCCTACTAGATATAATCAACGATCCAGTCAGTGTGCAGTGCATATCCAAAGTATGGAGGTATTACTTCCAGCAGCGCACTACACTTGCATGCTATGCGGAGTCGGCAGGCGAGAGGAAACTGGTAGCACTAAACGTATGCGCAGTAAAAGAGAAAGGGGAGGAGCTGAGTATGGAAGTTAGTTACTCTAATTATTGTGCACCATGCATGGACGTAACAAGGGGCAGCGGTAGGGGGGCTAGTGGGTATTGAAAGGCAATGCCTAACCTTAAAAGGCCCAATGCCCTACCTTAAAATGAAAGAAAATTAAACAGATTCACTTTTTCGAAGTCACTTAATTATGGCTTTTGCCCTATCAAAAAGTTGTTTTGGCCTACCTTAAACTTGGATTTAGCTACGGCCCTAACACCATGAAAGTCACTGTATATTCTGAGGGGTACTCACTATCGATGTTAGTAATGCGGACTACCAGACCCATTGCTAGCAATTTACCCTGTCAGGGCCTTCACGTGGTCCCACCTGGAAGCCATCGTGTTGAATTCCACTTGTTATTCATCACGATGGGCTAACTAACCTGCCTTTTCACCTGTCATCCCTCACTGGTGCCCCGCCAGCGTATACTGTTAACGCAGGCGAGATTACCATTCCATTATCATCCAATAACTTATTTTGGGTGGTAGGGGGTTAGAAGGGATTAATAATCAGAAATTAGTAGACCTATAGCTGGCAATGCATCTTATTAGGTCGACCTCCTCGCAGTTCCCCTTGGAAACCATCGTATTTAATTCCAAGTGAATTCATCACGATGAACTTAATGACCTGCCTTTTCATTCTCACCTATCATCCCTCACTGGTGCCAGTTGAATTTTTTATGTTCATTGCCTCATGACTCCGTCATTTAAACCGATTTCAATAATTCTTTTTTTACCTGAAAAGATATCACATCATCATAACAACCTTTAACTGTCCACTGCTGAATATAAGCCTCCCTTTTGGGGCATTTTTCCAGTAGTTGCCACGCCTGGCAGGCGGGTTGGCAACCGCAGTTAGACTTTTGATGCTGTTGTAAGAAGAACGCTTCTGCCCGTCCGTCAAACATAAGTTATCTTAGTCACCTGTTACAACACCCGCGGGAAGGAAGGGGTGGTCCATTCTATGCCGGGACCGACAAGGAAAAAAGGATATACCTATACCCAGTTTATTTCCATAGACATTTCATCAAAGTCGGTTAAGTAGTTCGGTTTTTAAATCAAAATAAACTGTTTAATTCCATTAAAGTCCAATTTTTGTGGAATAAATTCTATTATCGGATTTACATACACTCACATATTAGTAACAATGCGTGAATCATACACAATCACACTTTGGAATCCACTTCTAGCAGTAGCACTTCCAAATACGACATCGTAACCTTCAACAAAAGGGCATATTCCTTTTTAAAAAGTCCGGCAGCACACTGCTATTACTCCAGTGTTACGGGTACTCACGGTTGCGGGCGACGGTATTTCCTTACCATCAAATAAACCACGTAGTCATTTACCCCGTGTGTTATAAAAAAAAACATCAATGTATTGACCACAGGTTGTAGGCAAGAAATGGGAAAACGTCTATAAAGTATTAGAATACATGGAATCAAAAGTGGACTGCCTGGAGTACATGGGTCTGGACAAGGCGCTCACTGCTCTGGGCCTCGTAGTCCGGAAAGAGTATAGGGGAGCGAAACTCGGGGCCAGAGTTTTGGCTGCAAGGTGAGTTGATATTTTGTTTCATGGTAAAATTATTAAACTAAAATTGCTCTCACATATTTATTTGTACCTCGTGCTGTTACTTGTACTACCTTTTGTAAAGAGATAAATCAGTCATTCATTAACATTCTTTTAAATTAAGTAGAACACTTAATTATTCGACCGAGTGAACTGAACCGAGTGAGTGAACTCTTTTCCCAAAGAAAAAAAAAGCTAAATATTTTGAGCCACCTATTATTATAAATTAAAATGGACAATTTCATATTTATAACGGCAGTAAATATATATATATATATATATATATATATATATATATATATATATATATATATATATATATATATATATATATATATATATATATATATATATATATATCTTATATATAAAATTCTCGTGTCACGGTGTTTGTTACCAAACTCCTCCGAAACGGCTTTACCGACTTATGAAATTTTGTGTGCATATTGGATAGGTCTGAGAATCGGCCAACATCTATTTTTCATACCCCCCAATGATAAGGATGGTGTAATTTTTCCATTTTTACTTTATAATCATTTAGCATTGAAAAATACACACAACTTTAAATTTTCATCGTTTTACGATCAACCCCTGTCTTTTAATCGCGATTTTTATATTTAAAAAAAAATGGAAATTAAAATATTCTGTGTTCTATACTCGTATTGTTTGAGAATCACGCCACAACGATTGAACCAAATTAGATGCGGTTTTCTCAGATTTATTCATGAACTTCTAACTTAAAATCGGGTTTATGTTTTACCTTGATACGCTATCTTAAAGTGATGACCTACTTCAAAAATCTAAGCATACGAAGACTCGGGCAAAAGCTAGTTAGTAATAATATGTTTCATAAATTCCTTATAGGGAGCCTTTATGTCAGCATCTCGGTATAAAAGGCACGTTAACAATATTCACCGGGATAGCTTCACAGAAATCGGCGGTTAGCTGTGGCTTCACATCAGTACTGGAGGTGTCCATCAGAGAATTGGCCGAAATAGGATTGGACTATCCGAAGGATGATAATAGACTAATTAAATTAATGGTGAAGAAGTACGAATGAAAGTGATTTACGAAATTTACTAGCTTTTTATTTCTTTTTCTATTCTTTCCCCATTTGTTTATTTCACATATATATATATATATATATATATATATATATATATATATATATATATATATATATATATATATATATATATATATATATATATATAAAGATTATATAAAATTCTAAATAAAAAGACGATGTAATATTTGTATATTGGAGAAAAATTTATTACGTGTATTTACATTATATTTTCTTTGCCTTCCTTCCTTACGTTTGAAAAATATTTCAATAGTTAAATGTATCGACTTTATGATGTAACTTTTAAATAAAATTAGTTAAAGATAAAATAAAATGAAAAAAAAAATATAAATAAAAAATTGTGATAAATTATGTTTATCGCTGTTTTGTTTATTTTTATATCTTATCTTTATGGTTTTGTCAATTTATGTAACTAAGATTGGGTCAGAATTCGCCAAATTAAATAAAATAGTATTAAAATTATCGGATATAAAAAGTATTTAGCGATTATTACATTACCGTTTGATTATCAGTCGTCTCTTACGACACCCACGGAAAAAGAACGGGTGGCCTATTCTATTCTGAGACCACATGGCAACATATATGTATGTATGTATAGTTAAATAAATGAATTTATTTACCAGAGGGAGACTACAAGTCGTTTGCTTGGGCACCTCTGTCCCTGTTTCTACCGTGAAGCAGTTGTGTTTGCATGACTGTGTTTCGGTTTAAAGGGTGGAATATGGCAGTGAATTTACTGGGTACAGAGGACTAACACCTTAGTCCTCAGAAATGACAACGCATGGGGAGGTATCATGGGCGAAACAGTATACTCTGTTATGTCCATGATACTGCTCATGTCTATGTACATAGGCGACGGTTACCACTTTCAATCAGGTGGGCCGTCAGCTCGTTTGCCATTCTAAGAGGTATAAAAACAATGAAACAAACCATAAATAATATACAATTTTCATTAACCTTATTTACAATAGCAGTCGCTACTTGTAACAACAACGCCATACAAAAAAATTATCATAATAATATACAATTATTAAATTATAATTTTAAAAATATCTGGAATAAACACAAAGATTTTTGACGCCTAACACATGGTGTGATATACATCACACCCTGTGTTCAGATACCTGAACGACAAGTGTATACAGGGTGTAATGGACAGGTTGGTCAAAACGAAAACAGCTGATTCAGATGAACGGTCTGAACGGTCAGATGGCGGATTACTTTCCCACCGCAAATGCACCACAGCCATATAATTAACGATTCTCAGTTTTGACGCCGCGCAATGTATTTGAAATTTTACGACGTACTGAAGTGCACGCGACCCGAGATACCTACACAGCGCGCACTAAATATTTCCCAACTTGCTCACACATTCGTGTTTCTTATAATAGTGTCTCGTTTTGATTATTATTGTCATTGAACATCAAATTTACTAACCCTTAAATACCTGAAGTTTCAAATTTGATACCGGCGTTTGCATTGTTTCGTTGTTAAATAAATTTAAATATTTGAGATTACCGTAATGCCTAAAACATCAAAAATGATACCAAGTGTTTTTTTTTTCAAAATTAATATTATATATAAAAATATCGTTTTGATTTTTTTTACTATATTTCCCCATTAGTAAACACAGTAAAGGGTACACTTGTATATTTTTTAATTTGATTTAAAAATCAGGCTTTTAAGGGTTAATACCATCATTACCTTTATCAGCATCATTTTATTAGGTGTACATATGTTAATATATAGCAATATCTATATATTTTAGTTACAATATACTATATACTAGTCCAATAACGAATAAATTAAAAGTCTCTTATTCAAAAAACAGTATTGCATAACAGATTTGTAACATATTAAAAAATAGATATCCGACCGATATAGACGATATCGAAATGGGTGATAGATAGATAGATAGATACTCTTTATTGTTTCCTCCAAAAGATTACAACAGTAAACCTATTATAAATATAAACAATTACAAGAAATAATCACAAAAAGAAAAACAATGAGCGACCTTATCGCTAAAAGCGATCTCTTCCAAGCAACCTTTGGATGGAAAGGAGTAATTATAAACTGTTTGATTGGAGGCACGATGAAGATCCTATTATTACTAAATATGGAGATATAATACATGTAATAATGTAAATATATATCCCTACTGTGACCCTTTCTTCCGCCATCAATGTCAGAGGAACCCAATATATAGATATCGGATCGATATGCATATTACCCATGCCTAGCATATATATATATATATATATATATATATGTATATATATATATACATATATATATATATATATATATATATATATATATATATATATATATATATATATATATATATATATATATATATATATATATATATATATATATATATATATATATATATATATATATATATATATATATATATATATATATATATATATATATATATATACATATATATATATATATATATATATATATATAATCTATGACGGAGAGTATTGGCACAATTTTGATATTACTGAACGTCACTCAATGGATAGTATAATACATACATAATGTATGGGACAATATCATTTACCGCTGACACTGGTCAGTGTGGCACATCTTCGCATATCAACACTTATGAATGCGTACATAGCTTTATATTTGTCGCATTGTAAACATGTGATCAGTGTTTTTTTTTTGATCTTTTTCATGACGCGACCCCCTTATTATGTAAAAATATCTTGCGACCCCCTAACCTCCACGGTTTCATATGTGTATTGTGTGTTACCTTTTTATTACTCTATGGGAACAAAGGGTCTACCATGAAATTAAATTCCGAATTTTCGAACTCCATTTCGTGTTATTTTGCATAGCGAAATCGGTGCAATAAATGGAACAAGTCATTAGTCATAAATCCTACCATGATAATCCAAAGAAGCATAATTTTAACATTTTTAAAAGATATGTATTATGTAATTTTAATATAAAAAAATTGTGTTACGTTCGACCCCGAAATTTCTGAAAATTTGACTGACTGACTAAATACGGGCGCATTCACGGTATATGTATAATTGCTACATTTAATACTTACTATCATTTTGTTAAATTATTTTTAATTATAACAGTTATAACACCTGTGATAAATGATAGGAGCGATTTTCACTCGTTATGACCTTTGATTATAATTGAAAGTGATTTATTAGTTTTATGATAATCAGCCTTTACGACCCAGTCGGCCATCTACAACGAATTTTATTTTACTATTAAGCGAGCCCAGCCGAAGAATCGCGAACAAATCCGAATTCAGTGACCATCTGTGATTTTATTTAGCGTTACTTTGTAGCAGTCAATATGAAGCGACTTAGCTATAGTGATGTATGATTTCGCGTATCTTATGATGTATTTCTTTTTTTACAAGGGAGTGGCAATCTACTATATATCATACATAATCTATAGCAGTACTATATGTAAGCCTTCGAATGTTTAAAGGAAACTCGTTCGTATCATTTATCACTTTAGGTCCAAATTCCAGTATACAGGGTACACACTGTACCTACTGTGAAACGCACGGATTACTGCATGATTGCACGGGATATCGACCAAGCAACATCATTTTAAGTTCTTTATCTTTAAATATGTTCGTTTTACAAGGCAGTGATGTATTCTGTTAACTTAATATTCTGTGATAGTACTGTACATAAACCGTCAGATATATGTACAAATAAAATTCATACATATCACTTAGCTTTTAGGTCTAAATTCCGGTAAACAGTGTTCATGCGGATCAGGCGGCGGGTCATCGGTAAGGTACGAACTTAAAAGTACGGGCGCACATACTGGAATCCCACGGGATACCAGCCAAGCGGCGTCCCGGGCCGATAAGGGATACCGCTTCAAGTCCGCGAAGCACACTGTGATATCCTCGTCGCTGTACGGGGGCCTGGAGAATGATAAAATAAAAATTATGTTCACGACTGTAATGTAAAATGTGGCAGTCAGAGGGATTAATAATTGTAATTCTTCAGCTGGTTTCAAAAGCTTGTGTAAAAATATAGAAGTGTCGTTGTATGCTATTACAGTATAGTGTAAATAATGTATTACATTTGTTGATCCTTCGAGCCGGATTATTTAATATTGGTCTAGCGATAAATTTTGTACCTTTATGTATATATTTCAATCTGTATTTATGTTACTGTATTTTGCTTGCATTACTCAATTGTCATTGTATATTTTTGTTTCTGGTACAATAAAGAGTTAAATAATAATAAAGTCAAAAAGCTAATATCACAATAATTTTATGGTAACTGAATGCCTCTATTTGCCATTTACTCTGCGCCGTGCTCCAGCAGCTGTGTAGCGTATTGTATAGTAGTGTAATGTGGTAAAGGGCTTTTTTTATTGATAATGGAATGGTAACCCCACCCGTGCTATTAGTATACACCAGCGAGGCACCAGTGAAGGATGATAGGTGACGATGAAAGCAGGTCAGCCCATTCTGACGAATTCAACTAGAATTAATCACAACGGCTTCCAGGGGAAACCACGTGGAGGTCAACCTGAGAGGGTATATAGCTAGCAATGGGACTGATAATCCGCACTACTAACAATCTCTTCTCGCCTGTGGTGCGGCGGTGAGGGTAGGGAGGTGAGTACTAACGAGTGGTCGGGCGCGGCGCCGCCGGCGACGGTGACGAGGCGCGCGAGCAGGCGGCGGCGCGCGGGCGGCACGTGCAGCAGCGCGCGCACGCCGGCCAGCGGTGCGGCGGTGCGGCGGTGCGGCGGTGCGGCGGTGCGGCGGTGCGGCGGTGAGGGTAGGGAGGTGAGTACTAACGAGTGGTCGGGCGCGGCGCCGCCGGCGACGGTGACGAGGCGCGCGAGCAGGCGGCGGCGCGCGGGCGGCACGTGCAGCAGCGCGCGCACGCCGGCCAGCGGTGCGGCGGTGCGGCGGTGCGGCGGTGCGGCGGTGCGGCGGTGCGGCGGTGCGGCGGTGCGGCGGTGAGGGTAGGGAGGTGAGTACTAACGAGTGGTCGGGCGCGGCGCCGCCGGCGACGGTGACGAGGCGCGCGAGCAGGCGGCGGCGCGCGGGCGGCACGTGCAGCAGCGCGCGCACGCCGGCCAGCGGTGCGGCGGTGCGGCGGTGCGGCGGTGCGGCGGTGCGGCGGTGCGGCGGTGAGGGTAGGGAGGTGAGTACTAACGAGTGGTCGGGCGCGGCGCCGCCGGCGACGGTGACGAGGCGCGCGAGCAGGCGGCGGCGCGCGGGCGGCACGTGCAGCAGCGCGCGCACGCCGGCCAGCGGTGCGGCGGTGCGGCGGTGCGGCGGTGCGGCGGTGCGGCGGTGCGGCGGTGAGGGTAGGGAGGTGAGTACTAACGAGTGGTCGGGCGCGGCGCCGCCGGCGACGGTGACGAGGCGCGCGAGCAGGCGGCGGCGCGCGGGCGGCACGTGCAGCAGCGCGCGCACGCCGGCCAGCGGTGCGGCGGTGCGGCGGTGCGGCGGTGCGGCGGTGCGGCGGTGCGGCGGTGCGGCGGTGAGGGTAGGGAGGTGAGTACTAACGAGTGGTCGGGCGCGGCGCCGCCGGCGACGGTGACGAGGCGCGCGAGCAGGCGGCGGCGCGCGGGCGGCACGTGCAGCAGCGCGCGCACGCCGGCCAGCGGTGCGGCGGTGCGGCGGTGCGGCGGTGCGGCGGTGCGGCGGTGCGGCGGTGCGGCGGTGCGGCGGTGCGGCGGTGCGGCGGTGAGGGTAGGGAGGTGAGTACTAACGAGTGGTCGGGCGCGGCGCCGCCGGCGACGGTGACGAGGCGCGCGAGCAGGCGGCGGCGCGCGGGCGGCACGTGCAGCAGCGCGCGCACGCCGGCCAGCGGTGCGGCGGTGCGGCGGTGCGGCGGTGCGGCGGTGCGGCGGTGCGGCGGTGCGGCGGTGAGGGTAGGGAGGTGAGTACTAACGAGTGGTCGGGCGCGGCGCCGCCGGCGACGGTGACGAGGCGCGCGAGCAGGCGGCGGCGCGCGGGCGGCACGTGCAGCAGCGCGCGCACGCCGGCCAGCGGTGCGGCGGTGGCGGCGGTGCGGCGGTGCGGCGGTGCGGCGGTGCGGCGGTGCGGCGGTGCGGCGGTGAGGGTAGGGAGGTGAGTACTAACGAGTGGTCGGGCGCGGCGCCGCCGGCGACGGTGACGAGGCGCGCGAGCAGGCGGCGGCGCGCGGGCGGCACGTGCAGCAGCGCGCGCACGCCGGCCAGCGGTGCGGCGGTGCGGCGGTGCGGCGGTGCGGCGGTGCGGCGGTGCGGCGGTGCGGCGGTGCGGCGGTGAGGGTAGGGAGGTGAGTACTAACGAGTGGTCGGGCGCGGCGCCGCCGGCGACGGTGACGAGGCGCGCGAGCAGGCGGCGGCGCGCGGGCGGCACGTGCAGCAGCGCGCGCACGCCGGCCAGCGGTGCGGCGGTGCGGCGGTGCGGCGGTGCGGCGGTGCGGCGGTGCGGCGGTGAGGGTAGGGAGGTGAGTACTAACGAGTGGTCGGGCGCGGCGCCGCCGGCGACGGTGACGAGGCGCGCGAGCAGGCGGCGGCGCGCGGGCGGCACGTGCAGCAGCGCGCGCACGCCGGCCAGCGGTGCGGCGGTGCGGCGGTGCGGCGGTGCGGCGGTGCGGCGGTGAGGGTAGGGAGGTGAGTACTAACGAGTGGTCGGGCGCGGCGCCGCCGGCGACGGTGACGAGGCGCGCGAGCAGGCGGCGGCGCGCGGGCGGCACGTGCAGCAGCGCGCGCACGCCGGCCAGCGGTGCGGCGGTGCGGCGGTGCGGCGGTGCGGCGGTGCGGCGGTGAGGGTAGGGAGGTGAGTACTAACGAGTGGTCGGGCGCGGCGCCGCCGGCGACGGTGACGAGGCGCGCGAGCAGGCGGCGGCGCGCGGGCGGCACGTGCAGCAGCGCGCGCACGCCGGCCAGCGGTGCGGCGGTGCGGCGGTGCGGCGGTGCGGCGGTGCGGCGGTGAGGGTAGGGAGGTGAGTACTAACGAGTGGTCGGGCGCGGCGCCGCCGGCGACGGTGACGAGGCGCGCGAGCAGGCGGCGGCGCGCGGGCGGCACGTGCAGCAGCGCGCGCACGCCGGCCAGCGGTGCGGCGGTGCGGCGGTGCGGCGGTGCGGCGGTGCGGCGGTGAGGGTAGGGAGGTGAGTACTAACGAGTGGTCGGGCGCGGCGCCGCCGGCGACGGTGACGAGGCGCGCGAGCAGGCGGCGGCGCGCGGGCGGCACGTGCAGCAGCGCGCGCACGCCGGCCAGCGGTGCGGCGGTGCGGCGGTGCGGCGGTGCGGCGGTGCGGCGGTGCGGCGGTGCGGCGGTGCGGCGGTGAGGGTAGGGAGGTGAGTACTAACGAGTGGTCGGGCGCGGCGCCGCCGGCGACGGTGACGAGGCGCGCGAGCAGGCGGCGGCGCGCGGGCGGCACGTGCAGCAGCGCGCGCACGCCGGCCAGCGGTGCGGCGGTGCGGCGGTGCGGCGGTGCGGCGGTGCGGCGGTGCGGCGGTGCGGCGGTGCGGCGGTGAGGGTAGGGAGGTGAGTACTAACGAGTGGTCGGGCGCGGCGCCGCCGGCGACGGTGACGAGGCGCGCGAGCAGGCGGCGGCGCGCGGGCGGCACGTGCAGCAGCGCGCGCACGCCGGCCAGCGGTGCGGCGGTGCGGCGGTGCGGCGGTGCGGCGGTGCGGCGGTGCGGCGGTGAGGGTAGGGAGGTGAGTACTAACGAGTGGTCGGGCGCGGCGCCGCCGGCGACGGTGACGAGGCGCGCGAGCAGGCGGCGGCGCGCGGGCGGCACGTGCAGCAGCGCGCGCACGCCGGCCAGCGGTGCGGCGGTGCGGCGGTGCGGCGGTGCGGCGGTGCGGCGGTGAGGGTAGGGAGGTGAGTACTAACGAGTGGTCGGGCGCGGCGCCGCCGGCGACGGTGACGAGGCGCGCGAGCAGGCGGCGGCGCGCGGGCGGCACGTGCAGCAGCGCGCGCACGCCGGCCAGCGGTGCGGCGGTGCGGCGGTGCGGCGGTGCGGCGGTGCGGCGGTGAGGGTAGGGAGGTGAGTACTAACGAGTGGTCGGGCGCGGCGCCGCCGGCGACGGTGACGAGGCGCGCGAGCAGGCGGCGGCGCGCGGGCGGCACGTGCAGCAGCGCGCGCACGCCGGCCAGCGGTGCGGCGGTGCGGCGGTGCGGCGGTGCGGCGGTGCGGCGGTGAGGGTAGGGAGGTGAGTACTAACGAGTGGTCGGGCGCGGCGCCGCCGGCGACGGTGACGAGGCGCGCGAGCAGGCGGCGGCGCGCGGGCGGCACGTGCAGCAGCGCGCGCACGCCGGCCAGCGGTGCGGCGGTGCGGCGGTGCGGCGGTGCGGCGGTGCGGCGGTGAGGGTAGGGAGGTGAGTACTAACGAGTGGTCGGGCGCGGCGCCGCCGGCGACGGTGACGAGGCGCGCGAGCAGGCGGCGGCGCGCGGGCGGCACGTGCAGCAGCGCGCGCACGCCGGCCAGCGGTGCGGCGGTGCGGCGGTGCGGCGGTGCGGCGGTGCGGCGGTGAGGGTAGGGAGGTGAGTACTAACGAGTGGTCGGGCGCGGCGCCGCCGGCGACGGTGACGAGGCGCGCGCGCTGGCGGCGGCGCGCGGGCGGCACGTGCAGCAGCGCGCGCACGCCGGCCAGCGCGCCCGCGCCGCCCGCGCCGCGCGCGCGCCGCCAGCGGTGCGCCGCCCGCGCCAGCGCCAGCTCCGCGCCGCTCACCGCCGGCAGGCTCGTCGCCGCCGGGTTGCCCCACTCGAACTCCTCCTCCTGCACATGGAAAAGGAAGTAAAGGAATTATTAGCAATGGAGTTTGACAGCCTCCTTGCTAGCAATATGCCCTATTGAAGGAAGCGGATTATTAGTAATGGCGTCTAACTGACCTATTGCTAGCAATATACCCTACCAGATCGACCTTCACGTGGTTCCCCCTAGAAATCATCGTAACTAATTTATCGTTGAATTCGTCACAATAGACTAACTGACCTGCTTCATCCTCACTTATCATCCTTCACTGATGCCTTACCAGTGTATACCGATAGTGCACGCGAGGTTACCATTCCATTATCACCCATTAAAAAAAAGCATGAACAAAATAAATGAAAGACAAGTTAAGTATAGACATGAACAGTATCATGGATATAACAGAGTAATAACAATAATAAATTTGCTAAGATTAGCTTATTTGAATCCCTAAACCGAAAGTGACACAGTAGAATGTTCCCGGACCGGAAGGAAACGTCCGGCGGCGCGGCTGCGCGGCACGTAGGCGGGGTGCAGCACCCAGCGGCCGGCCGCCACCGAGCCGAGCATCTTCTCGCTGCGGCCCGGCGCCGCGCACAGCAGGTGCGTCGCTGCCTCGTCCAGTTCCGAGCCCTCCGACACTTCGCCGCCCAGGCACCGGATCATCTCCACGATCTCTTCGCGGTTCTGGTTACAATTCATACTCAATTAATAAAATATAATCCCCACCTTAGATTATATAAATAGAGTGTCTCCATACAAATGCTTCGAGAAAAGCGGATCAACTTTTTCATACAATTTCGCATGATAAATAGTTACCAATGCTTCCTTTATAACATCTATATTTATTTTGTTTTATAATTTATACATATTTTTAATGTATAAAAATTAATTTTATTTATTAAATAATTAAATATGGATACGTCAAGATATAAAGTATCTTTAAAAGTACGCAAGTATATAGAACACTGACAAAAAACGAGTCAGCTAATTTGACAATTAGCTAACTAAAAGTTGACCCGTTTTTGGGATTCGATACTCTATCTATATAACCTAAATATACCCCACGGAGGGAATGGGATTGTTAGTAATGGAGACTAAAAATCCCATTGTTACCAACCAGGTCGACCTCCTCGCGGTTTTCCCTGAAAACTATCATGTTTAATTCCTGATGAAATCTAGTGGAATTCGTCACGATGGGCTAACTGACCTCATCCTCGCCTGTCATCCTTTACTAGTGATAGCGCGGGTAGGGTTACCATTCCATTATCACTCATAAAAAAAATCCCGCTCCCCCAGCGTACGATACGTATCAGCTCTTCCCCCAAACTATTGCAGAATGCCACCGTCTTCATCAATTCATCATCATATCAGCCTTTAACTATCCACTACTGAACATAAGCCCACCCTTGGAGGGCTTGCCAGTAGTTGCCACGCTTGGCAGGCGGATTGGCACCACAGTCAGGATTTAGAGATGTTTTAAGAAGGACGCTGCTGCCCATACCTCGCCCTCCCTTAGTCCATTCTTACGACATCCGCGAGAAAGGAAGGGGTGGCCTATTCTATGCCGGGACCCACACGGCCAAACTAAATATTATTACAACAGAAATGAGTCGTTCTTAGAGTGAGCTCGTATCAGTTAATTTTAAACTTTCGCGTTGTTTACACATATTTTAAATACACACTAGGGACTTGAAGGGTGCCCGAAGAGACTATGCGATCTGCCTGATAAAGACTCCGCTCATTTCAGTACTGTTGTGACCACGACGCAGTAAAATCCACGTCGAAACATCGGCAATAAAGAACAGACATGTAGGTACTATTTACCTCCGTCGGAGATGTGGTGAGTGCGAAAGCGAACCCATGTCTCCGACATATGGCACCTCGAGGGTATATCGTCTGGTTTTTGGTGGGTACACTCCCACCTTACGGGAGATTCCCACAGTACCCATTCACCTCCCACGAGGTGTATAGGTCTGCATAAAGCATTTTCCAGACAAAAAAAAAGGTACTATTTACCTGTTTTTTATCTTTTATATCGTGTTGTTAAGTCCCGATTGCGTATTTAAAATATGAGCTCGTATCGCTAACTTTCAACTAAAAATCGACTGTAAAAACCCATTTTTCTATAATACATTGAATAATAAACTTACATCAACATTGGAAGACAGCATGAATTTTTTGATTTTCGGAACAGGCGGTCCTTGCTGTGGTGGGGCGGAGTTAGGTGCGGACGCGGGGCCAGAGGCGGCGGTGGGCGTGGTGTCGTCCCAGCCCACCGTGTTGGGTTGCGACTCGGGACCTGCTTCCGGCTCTGGCGCTGAAAATGAACGAGTATGTATCACTCAATTTGCTATTTATACCTGACTAGGCCACATTATCTTTTTACTTGGGTTTTTAAACAATAGGTAGAGTGGCGTCCACTGAAACATTGTTACATTAACTTACATTACGTTCTTACAACAACTTTGTACAAAAGTCGATTGCTTGGGTACCTCTGTCCCATTCATGTTTCCACCGTGAAGCAGTTGTGTTTGCATGGCTGTGTTTCGGTTTGAAGGGCGTGATATGGCGTGAATTTACTGGGTACAGAGGAATAACACCTGAGTCCTCAGGAATGGCAACGCATGAGGGGTATCATGAGCGAAACAATATACTCTGTTATGTCCATGATACTGCTCATGTCTATAGGCGACGGTTACCACTTTACATCAGGTGGGCCGTCAGCTTGTTTGCCATTCTAAGTTGCATAAAAAAAATCACATAACAATCAGTTACAAGTGGATATACATTAGTAAGCAAAGGCAAGACAATTATGGACACTAAGACAGAAAGAAAAGAAAAAAATTTATAATAATAATTAAAGAATAAAGATTTTAGAAAGTTGGATGCATTAATGTTTTTAATTTTATCATAGTTAAGCTTCTGAAGCCACTCTGCAACTCTATTTTTTACACATACATAAAGATGCCGTCTTTAAAAAAAAAACGTTCACGCTCACTTTTTTACTTTATCCGAGCAGTAAGTACTTTATATTATTCTCAATTTCGTGTATAATATAGTATATGTCATATATGTGTAAGTATATTTGTTATTTATATATATTTATTCATTTATATATGTAATTTTAGTATGTATGTATATCAATAATTACTAGTACCGCATTCGAGTATTCTGACACTTTCCTATAGTTGACTGGGAGAGAATGCTTTTAGCATTAAGTCCGCCATGTACACATATTTGTACTAATAAATAAATAAACAAAAAATGCCTCGTTTAGAGGTGAAACACGTGTTCTAAAACGTGCGTGAACAAAACGTCTAATATATAAGGTCGTGGAACTTCTGGTAGTAATAGTGGTGGTCAATCTTCGAATGTTGGCAGTCACACACATACTAATGGTAGCGAAATTAAACAAAATAATTCTAATCAAATAACCAGTGATAAGGACTTCCGCAAGATAAAACCCAGTTCAGTAAAATAATGATAATAAATTATGCACACATTTTTTTTTCATCTGTTATAATTTCAGTTTTTTTTTTTTAGTGAGAGAAGTATTGTAACACACCTGGCGCTAGTGAGACCGAGTCTCTAGTGCGGCGCGATCGCTGCGAACTCAGTTTGTTGGCGAGTGCTGCATTCAACCGCTGCAACTGAGCATCCACCGCGGCAGGCAGCGCGCTAGAAGCACTCGTGGTGCTGGTCGCACTCGCTGCGCTTGCAGCGCTTTTTTCGCTGACATCCTGATCGTTGTTGACACCACTGCCAGCGCTCTAAGAGAATACGTTAATTATTTTTTTTTTATACAACTTAGAATGGCAAACAATCTGACAGCCCACCTGATGGAAAGTGGTAACCGTCACCTATAGACATGAGCAGTACTATGGACATAACAGATTATACTGTTTCGCCCATGATACACCCCATGCGTTGCCATTACTGAGGACTCAGGTGTTATTCCTTTGTACCCAGTAAATTCACGCCATATCCTACTCTTCAAACCGAAACACAGAATGCAAACACAGCTGCTTCACGGTTGTAACACGAATGGGACAGAGGCACCCAAGCAATCGACTTTTGTACAAAGTCTCCCTCTGGTATTATTATTGTATTATTGGAGGGAATTAATATTAAATACATTTCTGTAAATAACAAATGTATTTGTAGAAAGCTATAGGTATATTAATGTAATTTTATTTTTTATATATTGTTCATTTATTTATTAATTTAATTAGATAAATATATTATTGATACGTAATTTATTTGCATCACTTACAACACACAAGTAACATCAGCTATTGGTGCACCAGAGGGAGAATTTGTACAAAAGTCGGGTGCTTGGGTACCTCTGTCCCATTCGTGTTTCAACCGTGAAGCAGTTGTGTTTGCATGGCTGTGTTTCGGTTTAAAGGGTGGGATATGGCGTGAATTTACTGGATACAGAGGAATAACACCTGAGTCCTCAGGAATGGCAACGCATGGGGGTATCACGGGCGAAACAGTATACTCTGTTATGTCCATGGTACTGCTCATGTCTATAGGCGACGGTTACCACTTTCCATCAGGTGGGTCGTCAGCTCGTTCGCCATTCTAAGTTGTATAAAAAAATGTTTAAAGAAATAAAACAAAAAGTATACAAGAAAATTAAAAAACAAAACGAAATAACATAAAAGAGATTACACAATTTCTCGTGAATGATCCAAAATAACACAAAATGGTCACAACTCAGTTTATTGCTTTGCCCTCAAAAGAGCAAAACACATTAAATAAATTAATTAATTAGAAATTATCTTGTGATTTTCCGAAAGCGACTTCGCACATAAATTCAATCATTTAAAACCCAAAATAATATTGTTACGTAAATGAAGAAGGACAAGCTTACTTGATCCAGTGACAGTTTTGCCATTTTTGCTGGAGGTGTCTCTGCATTTTCCTGTAATGAAAAAAATGGAATACTTTCAATTATCATTCATACAAGCCGTTAACTGTCCACTGCTGAACATATGCCTCCCCCATAAGTACTAAAATCGCCTATATCTGAATAAACCCTATTAACTGCAAAAGTAATTGTGAGAATCTATTTATGTATGTAAAAATGTAACCAAACTGTACTGGAATCAATATCAATAGGAGCGCCCAGTAATTACGTGCGAGCACGTAGACGGCAATTATTCGATGTTCCATTACGAAGAACAGAGTTGGCTAAGCAAGCTCCCCTATCTCTTGCATTGAAACTACGCAATGATATTTTGAGCCAGTATCCGCAATTGGATGTATTTGCCTCCAACTTGCTGGAGTTTCGTCGAGTGACCACAGAGTATTTGTGTTCAGACGTTTTTTGTTTGAGTTAAATCTTTTTATATTATTTTTGTTATTTTTATGTAATATTCATTTTTATATGTTATTGTACTCATGCTTTCCTGGGTGAGCGTATTGGAAGACTGTAAGGCTCACCCAGTGGATGTAATAAATAAATAAATAATGGGTATATGGTAAATATAAAAAAAAAATCTAAAATCAATTGAAAATGTCAAATGGCTAAATAATTATGTATTTAATTATTTTAACAAATTGTTAATCTTTACAATCTGTATCATTCTTTGAAGAAAACAACAAAGAGTTTTAATTCATCGATAAAAAAAATTAAAAATGTACAATCTATCTTCTTAGATCTTTTTTTTCAGTAATTAACAACTGACTTCAAAAAATGAGGTTCTCAATTCAGTTGTATTTTGGCGCCTGATAAGGTATATTGCTAGCAATGGGACTGGTAGTCTGCATTACTAACAATCCCATCCTCCCCCCTCAATATTTATTTTATTTACACATACACTAAACAAACTTTTCGTTTAAATAATATCATTAATTAGATACAATGTCTCTTTAAGAAAAATAATATAAATTATACATGTTAAATATAACAAAACAACATAATAATTATTACTATTTTTTTTATCTTCTACTATTAATTATTGTTTTTTTTTTATTTTTATTTTTGGATTGCGTAATTTCAGTGGAATGTATTTTGTTTAATTATTTAAACACATATCGGTTGGGAGCCTGGTGATCTGTACTACAGGTTTTAACCTATTACAGACACCAGCTCCTCACAGCAGAGTTCCATATTAATTTTACTGTATCCTAAATACCTATGTGTAAATTTGTTTGTGAGGAGACATAAATAAATATATTATTTTTTAAATTTTACAAAAATTCTCATCTCCCCTCTTAAGGAGAGAAGATGGCAACTAACCCCCGGCAGCACAGTCGGCCGGGGTTCAGGGCCCCAGGGAGAGAAACCGGCGTACAATGCGGGCAGTATCTAAGAGCACCGCCTTCTGCATCTTTCCCGGGAGTGAGCCGCCTCGGAATCCCAACCGTCTGAGATGTTGTTCCAGACTGGTCGGGATAAGACCATTCACCGACAAAACGATTGCAATGATTTCGGTGGACACCACCCCCCACATTTCGGTCACCTCGTGAACCAGGTCGAGATATTTTCTCTTTTTCTCAGTTTCGGCTTTCACGAGGTTCTCGTCATTATTATTATTATTAATAATGAAGATTACACAATTATATAATAACATTACTATTTCACTTTAAAATTAGAAATAAAAAAAAACATAAAAAAAAAACAAAACGAATGTAGCAGTGTTTGTGCAAAGGACCTAACTAAGCATATGTCGCAGTTCCATATCTGAAGCTACGACACTGATTTTCAGTAGGCCCTAAATACGTGACTAAATAATATAACCAGTGTCTCATAGTTTGTACCTGTTGTTGCAGCTGCAGCTTGCGGGGGTGCGCGGTGTCGGCGGGCGCGGCGGGGGGAGTGGCGGTTGTGCCGCAGAACTGCTGCAGGTAACGGTTGCGGATCTCCGACAGCGGCTGAACACCAAACGGGATTAAGTAACAGCTGGCCAAGTGGGTGAGGTATTGTTAGTAATGACGACGCTAGGTCGACCATATGAGAGTGGTCTCTGCTGACAATGACGTAGAGCGATGTAAGAGTGGTCAAATAGTACGACAATAATTTGCCGATATTTTTTTTTATACAACTTAGAATGGCAAACAATCTGACGGCCCACCTGATGTATTCCTCTGTTACCACTTTCCATTAGGTGGGCCGTCAGCTTGTTGGCCATTCTAAGTCGTATAAAAAAAATAGTTTATCCATGTGAGAGTAATCTACCCATAGGATTCGCCTGTACTAGTGATCCGCTGATGTAAGACTTGTACTTTTATAATATAGCAACTCACGGTGTGTTGTTCGTGTTCGCGGTGAGCGGTCGCAGCGGGCAGCGCGTGCACGACGGCCCAGAGCCGCTTGCGGGCGGCGGGCGACAGCCCCGAGCCGGGCCGCAGCGCCGCGCCGAACGAGCTGTCCGGCGTCTGCGGCTGCGCAGCGACTGCACACCGCAACCGAACAAGGGGGAGACAGTTAGTAACTTAAAATAATTAAGCATTAATTAATTAATTAATAATTAATAAGTTATTAATTAATTAGATAATATTTAATTATTTACCAATTATTCAGATATCAATTAATTAGTTTAATTTATTGATTGATTAGTCGATAATTAAAGAGTCATTAATTAATTGGTTATTAATTAATAAATCTATATATATAGTCCTTAAAACCCTAATTAATATCATCTGCAGCGTTTTCTAAAGTGGGTTCCGCGAAACCTAGGGATTCCGTAAAAAAGTCACCAGGGCTCCGCGAAATTATTTATACAGTGAAACAAGCTCATTTTTCACTTTAAAAATTAAAAAAGACTATAAAATGTTTTATATTTTTAAAATATTTCTAATAAAAGCTTATGTTCTTATTTAAATTACAGTGTTTTTGATTTGTAATCATTTGATATGGGGTCCCATAAAATAAAAGGTATTTGGTGGCTTAACAATTTAGATAACACCTGATCTAATTAATTTATCACTATTGACCAGCTCACTTCTCGCACACACAAACAACCTACTTTTCCTCACTGGTGACCTGCTAGCGTGAATTCCAAAACGCAGTCGTAGTTACTAACAAGTAATACTTATATCTGATAACCCAATATAAAAGACTAAATGTTCGTAAAATAACTTTATTTAAAAAGCAGGATCATATTTCTTAACATAATCATCACCGTAATCAAGATAAAATTAATTTAAGTAAATATTGTCTATAACGATACGACGTGAGCTCCCTGCCGAAGTTTTTCCAAGAGACTACAGCATGGGGTTTTTCGGGGGGGGGGGGGGGGGGGGGGGATAAAGTGGTTCTGGTATTGCAGGCGTTCATAGGCTACGGTAACCGTTTACCATCAGGTGGGCCGTATGCTTGTTTGCCACCTCAGAGGTATAAAAAAAAGATACCAAAATTGACAAAGATATTACATAACATAATAAGAAAAAATATCTTTTGTAATTGTCTGAATAAAATATATACAACTTTTAACCAGACTCATACAAGCTGGTTGTTAAAAAAAAAAAAACAAGAATGTCACTCACATGGATCAACTGGGGTCCGTATGGGGTCGGAGGGCATCTCCCCGCGACGGACGGCCTGCAGGCGGCGGCGCGTGGTGGGACTGAGCGCTTGCAGGTTGGGCGTCGACAGCGCCTCGTCCAGCGGCGGCGTGCGGACCGCGCACTCACCATCTAAATATATGCAAACACGTTTAGAACTACCACCACATAAAGACACACATAAAGACATGGTATAACAAGGTTGCGGATGATCGGCAACTAAAGTGTCACCGATCATCCGCAACGGTACGCTATATATGTATATCAAATTCCATACTATTTGCTACTCTCGATCACACTACACGAAACAATGGTGGTATAAATGACCATTGTTTATTATATTATTTTATATTATTATTTATTATATATAATATATTGTATGTTTGTATATTCATGTGTATGTTGATGAGATTTCAGCAGAAGGTACGCTGAAAGATAGTAACTAAACTCAACGTATTGATGGTATACTAACCATTAGCAGCTAGATCCTTCAGTTCGTGCGGCTGCTTGGGTGTGTCCTGTGTGTCGCCGCCCAGCAGGCCCTGCCGCGCCATCGCAATGTACCGCGACGCCGGGGACAGATCGTCTGGGAACACAACAAGCTGGCTATATCTACCGGAGGAAGACTTTGTACAAAAGTCACCTGCTTGGGCAAGTACAACTTGTCCCGCTCCTATTTCGGTTCGGTTCGATCTACAAGTGCAAAATTAGGCCGAATCGCTATTAAACAATATAAGCCTTTAACTGTTCACTGCTGAACTTAGTCTCCCACTAGAGGAGTTTTCCCAGTAATTTGCCACGCTTGGCAGGCGGATTGGTAACCGCAGTTAGGCTTTGGAGATGTTTTAAGAGGGACACTGCTGCCTATCTCTCGCCCTCCCTTAGTCGCCTCTTACGAGAGTCACGGGAAAGGAAGGGGTGGCCTATTCTATGCCAAGAACACACAGTATACAGTAAAGAATGTAAAATAAACAAGTGACGTGCCAAAAAAGAGTCAATTTAAAACACAAGACCAAGTAAAAAACATCTATTTCAATTGGAGCATTTGGGATGCCATATCTTCTACCTATCCCAATGGGAGACGGGAGTGACGTATATGCATGTATACTGACCCACAGGAACCTTCGTTTTGGGAGTATCCTCTTTACTGAGGAGCGAGACCCGCCGCGGCGCCGCTGCAACTGGTGGCTGCATTACGTTCTCTTTGTCAACGACGGCGGGTTCCTCTCGAGTTGTCTCCGCCGCTGGCTGCTCTTTTGGTTTCTCTGGTGAGGGTGGAGCTGAATCAACAATAGTAAACCTTTATTATGGCACGTTAATGTATAGAATAGAGGTAAGTAATATATAGCAAACACCTGAGTCCTCCGGAATGGCAATGCATGGGGAGTATCATGGGCAAAACAGTATACTCTGTTATGTCCGTGGTACTGCTCATGTCTATAGGCGACGGTTACCACATTCCATCAGGTGGGGCGTCAGCTTGTTTGCCATTCTAAGTTGTATAAAAAATTGCCTTCTTCATAGTAAGTAGTATATGTATAGCAAATTTTATATTGATCGGTTAAGCCGTTATAAGGTAACAAACAAACTCACCTTCGCATTTATAATATGAGTAAAATTGGTTTGTCAGCTAACCTACCTTTTGTCTCACCAACGAGATGGTCCCTCTCGCTGACCCTCCGTCCGAGTTCAGCGCAGGTCAGCAGCCAACTGGCCTTCACAGCCGGCAGTCCCCACTTCACCGCCCCCAAGTATTTGTCCCCAGTGGGGGTGGGACAAATTAGGTGGGTAGACGCTAACGCGTTTGCGGTATTACGCCGACAGAAACGCAGTTGGGTTCTAGTAAATATAAACATACATTTTTGACAAACTTTTCCTTATAACGCAGAGGGCAACCGAGCATGCAGCTGACCTGGTGGTAACTACCGCCACCCACGAACACCCGCAACACCGGAAAAATTGCGGGTATGCTGCCGGCCTGTTAATTTAGACTATTATCTTGAAGGTTACGACATCGTATCAATTCGGAGAAATTGATTCCAAAACGTCGTTATGCGTGGAAGAAAGTAGCTTGACAAATGCACGGTAGAAGACTGCCACTCATCCAGATAGTTAGGATGAAACTTTGGTCCATGGCGGGTTTTTTTTTGATGGGTGTAAATGGATTGGTAACCCCGCCTGCGCTAACGGGATACGCTGGTGGAGCACCAGTGAAGGGTAATAGATGAGAATGAAAACAGGCCAGTTAGCCCATCATGATGAATTCATCAGGAATTAACCATGATAGTTTCCAAGGAGAACCGCGTGGAGGTCGACCTGGTTGGGTATATTGCTAGCAATGGGATTCTCAGTCTCCATAACTAACAATCCCTTTCCCCCCTGATCCATGGCGGGTTGTACGGTAGTGAAATTCAGCAGCAGGTATCCGAACAATTCCTCAGAACAGACAACAATCATCATCATCATATCAACCTTTAACCGTTCACTGCTGAACATAAGCCTCCTCCATGGGGGGTTTTGCCAATAGTTGCCACGCTTGGCAGACGGATTGGTAACCGCAGTCAAGCTTTAAAGATGTTTTGAGAGGGACGCTGATGCCCGTCCATCGCCCTGCCTCAGTCGTCTCTTACATCACCCACGGGAAAGGAAGGGGTGGCCTATTCTATGCCAGGACCACACGGTCAAACTTAATAGTATAGGGGTTTAACTAATAATAATTCATTTAATTTTCTTTTTTAATTTTTAAACCCTTCCTTGCATAATGGTGGAAACGTCCATCATAACATTGAATGACCAAAATTATATAAAAGAACAATTTCACTTTAAGTTGATCGTGTCTGGATACCTTTTTAATGTCCATTGCAGAAAAAAAAACATAGCTGTCAAATTTATTATTTTAACCATTTTTCCTTTAATTTTGAACATGAATTATATCACCTTGATTTATTTCATCAATAAAAAAAATCATACAAAGAAGGGTTAAGTTACTAAACTATTACTGATACCAGTAAGAAATTTTTTATGCAACACAGAAAAACAAACGAGCAGTAGCTATCTGAAGGAAAGTAGTGACCATTTAATACACATGAACAGCACAATAGTTGTCTATGGTGACAATTATGGGTTACCATTCCTAAGTACTAAAATGTGCTCAGAATTCCCTCAATTTACAAATCGTTCGACTAATAAAAAACAACTTACGTAGCACCGAGCAATTTGGCCAGTTCGTCAAGGAATGCCCTCTCCACCCCGCTGTAAGTGCTGAGGCTGGCCACCACTCCCTGTAAAGGAGGCGGTCCCGACCACTGCGGCAACTTCACGGGCCGGTGGTAGTACTGTATAGGCAGTAACTCTTGCTGGGAGAGGCAGTCTTTCTGTAAATAATATGTTGATATTTTTATCCTTAGAAATGGATGAATTTTGAACACTATTTAATATAATATGAGTACATTGTTAAGAGCGTCAAACACTAGATGAAAATTTGTTTTTTTATCCGTATCTGTCAAAGTTGACATTAATTAAAAAGTTTATGTGGAAGACAAGGCGCAATTTAATTTTTCGGCACAGCATCAGCTGAGCCGGTTTTTTTGCCTAATATGGGATACTTTTTGTATATGTTTTCTATATTTTATATTGTAATTGTATGTTTACTGGCATTAATGTTACTATTCTAAAAAAAAATCAAGTGTTGATAATAGAAGCTATACACGATTCCATTATTGTATGTACTCAATTCCTTTGCCTAAATAAATGTCCACATGGCCAGTATTTTTTTTTTGCTGGGTGGAAATGGTATGGTAACCTCGCCTGCGCTAACGGGATACGCTGACGGAGCACCAGTGAAGGGTGATAGATAAGAATGAAAACAGGCCAGTTAGCCCATCATGATGGATTCATCAGGAATTACCCATGATAGTTTACAGGGAGAATCACGAGGACGTCGACCTGGTTGGGTATATTGCTAGCAATAGGATTCTCAGTCTCCATTACTAACAATCCCTTTCCCCCCAACATGGCCAGTATTTAAACAGTACTCACGATCCAGAAGACGGTGACAGGCTCGGCGGTGCGTGTAAGCAGGTCGTTATCATCGAAGTCGAGCGGCACCAGCGTGTACGATCCACCCGCGCCCGCCGCACACAGCACACCGCCCGCCGCGGCCACCTCCGCGCCAACCTCGCTGATTGCCTCCTCGTCTAGCGCTTGCACTTCTATCTTTATACCTAGCCAGCAACAAATTCATTACATTATATATATATTTTTTTTTTTATACAACTTAGAGTGGCAAATAAGCTGACGGTCCACCTGATGGAAAGTGGTAACCGTCGCCTATAGACATGAGCAGTACCATGGACATAACAGAGTATATATATATGGCCGTGTGGTCCTGGCATAGAATAAGCCACCCCTAGGGAGGACCCTCTCCCTCTTAAACCATTTCTAAAGTCTGACTGCGGCCGCCTGCCAAGCGTGGAAACTACTCTACAAATTCACTGCTTCGGGGGGGAAGGGATTGTTAGTGTGTTAATTATGCAGACTACCAGTCCCATTGCTAACAATATACCCTACCAGGTCGACCTCCACGTGGTCCCCCCTGGAAACTATCGTGCTGAATTCCAGGTGTATTCATCACGATGGGCTAAATGACTTGCTCTTTCATCCTCACTTATCACCCCTCACTGGTGCCCCGCCAGTATATACCGTTAGCGCAGGCGGGGTTGAACACGAATGGGACAGAGTCTCCCTCTGGTGATTATATAGAAATATAAAAAATTCTATTGTAACCATGGCAAATATAAAAGCAAAAGAAAGAAAAAGGACGAAAGCCTTCTGTTGTGTGTTACATCAAAATAATCGTGTGTGTGTATGTGTATATATATATAATATCTTACCAGCAAATATCTGTTCTATCTCCTCTGTAGGATCCTCTGTCGCATCTTCAGTGATGTCCGGCTGTTCAGCACCTTCAGCGACTACTGGTGCTGGCTCAGGAGTTTTCTGCCGCGGGGGCTCCGGTTGCACGTTTTCTATTACAATAAACAAGTTTATAAAAATCATAACTATCCTTTTTGCTTCATCGTAGTCGGGTAAATAACATAATTTGTTTCTTAAAAAAAAAGTTTTTGATTAAAAACCCAAATTCAATAGTGACAAAACAAGTTATTTTTATTTAAAAAGTAAACTATGTATATATCTGTAAGTATATCTTTCCGCCGTGTCGGTCCCGGCATAGAATAGACCACCCCTTCCTTTCCCGTGGGTGTCGTAAGAGGCGACTAAGGGACCTTATGATGAAGGGGTGGGGAGCAGCATGCCTCTTAAAACATCTGCGAAAGTCTGATTGTAGTTGCCCATCTACATGCCAAATGTGGCAACTGCTGGCAAAACTTCCCTTATGGGGACTTATGTTCAGAAATAGACAGAATAGACAGTGGACAATAAAATAATAATAATAATATCCTTTCAGAGAAAAAAAGATTTTCCAAATTAGTTTATAGCTGACGAAATTATAAGGAAGAAAACATAAAAAAATACAGACATACAAATACAGGCGGGCCGTATGCTTGTTTGTGGCAAATGGCAAGCTATCGCAATAAACAAATGCTCACGGCTCAAATAGTGGTTGACGAGTTCATCTTCTGGTTGTGGATCGGGCGTAGGCTCGGGTCCCGGCAGGTGCAGCGCGGGCCGCCGCAGCAGCTGCAGGTTGCGCCGGGACATTGGCGATTCCGGCTCGGCGGCTGGTTTACTTGACTTCACCGGGGTAGTTGCTTCTGGATTTAATCGGTACTGAGGAGGAAATACGTGAGATTTTATAAGAAATTCGCTTAGATAAAACATTTCATAGGTATCACGACTAATGCGGTAGTCGTCATCGTATCACAATACGTTATTTGACTGATTTCTGGATAAGATCTCAGATTATTTAGTGGTATTTATAGATCCCCAAACCCAAAAAGTGATTATTTTTAATTCAAACAAACATTTTTTTAAAAAGCAGCAAATAAAAAAGTACAACTTAAATAGACCGCCAAAACGCAACTTTTTAGCAATATGGCGTCAGTGACGTCACAAGGAAGTAAACAAACATCTAGTGTGATACACGAGTTTTTATTTTTGTTAATCTTTACTGTTTCTCCAAAAAGAAAATGAATAAATATTTTGTACACTATAGTGTACACAAATATTATAAAGATTGGAAAAATGTTCTTTAGTGTGCCAAAAAATTCGATAACACGCAAAAAGTGGTTGCAACTTGTTTATAGAAAGCCTAATGTTATAGTGAATGATTAAAATGTATTCTTTTGCTAAGATCATTTTGATGTAAGTACATAATAAACAATTCGCTTGGAACCAACATTTTTTATTACATTAATATCAAACATTGATCATTTAAGATTATTTTCTAGGGTGAACCTCCCTAAAAAACCCTCAGAATATGTTTTCTCAGTGTATACGCCTTTAGTAATAAAGGACAAAGATTTAATAATAAAACAGTGGATAAATCAGTGTTGCCGTTCGATGAAGTTCAATCACTCATAAATACCTCTGTGCATAGCTAAAAGCTCTGTTCACGTTCGGGGGTAGATACCGACAATTCTGTAGTAAGTACAGCCTACTCTTAAACTTAAGGAACCTTATACATATACATGTACATAACGTAACACGGACACTTGCATAGTGACTGTAATTATACAGTTACATACCGGCGCCTCGTCAAGCGGACGGCCGGCACGCAGGCTGTGCAGCAGCCAGAGCGGTGACAGCAGCGCGGCGGCGGGCGCGGCGGCGGCGGCAGCGGCGGCGGCGCGCCGCGGCGCCAGTACGTGCGTCACTCGGCGCGCCGGCGCCGCCAGCCGCACGCCGCCGCCACGCGCCACGCATGCAGCCACGCGTTCACCGCACGCGCCTTCTAGCCCCGTCACCCAGAACTGATAATCAAACAAATCAATAAATAAATCTATTATTTATTTCACTCCAATTTTTTTTTATACAACTTAGAATAACAATCAAACTGACGGCCCACCTGATGGAAAGTGGTAACCGTCGCCTACAGACATGAGCAGTACCATGGACATAACAGTACACACACATACTGTTTCACCCATGATACCCCCCATGCGTTGCCATTCCTGAGGACTCAGGTGTTATTTCTCTGTACACTTTAAATTAACGCCATATCCCACCCTTCAAACTGAAACACAGCCATGCAAAAACAACTGCTTCACGGTTGAAACACGAATGGGACAGAGGTACCCACGCAAACGACTTTTGTACAAAGTCTCCCTCTGGTCTATTTATTTATACTTGTACAAAGTTGTAGCACTGGGATATGGCAGTGAATTTGCAGGATATAGAGGAATAACACCTGAGTCCTCAAGAATGGCAACGCATGGAAGGTATCATGGGCGAAACAGAATACTCTGTTATGTCCATAGTACTGCTCATGTCTCTAGGCGACGGTTACCACTTTACATCAGGTGGACCGTCAGCTTGTTTACATTTTATTGCCATACAGTCATGTCAAAATTACAGAGAGAAGGTGGAATCAAATAATACTTACACAAAATCCATCAAAAATGGGTCCAACCTTCTTTAATATACTCATATCGAAGTTTTCAAACTCTGTCTCTATCTCTTTATCTAGATCTGGCTCATCGCTTGCCCTTTTTAGATCTTGAGACAGCTGAAAGACAATTTTCAAATATTAGAGAACATCCTTTCATGTACATAATACCTATACAAATAATAATTAAAAATTCCATAAAAAAAAACACACCAACTTCGATCGCAGCAAAACCGCAACAAAAATTTCTATGGGACCATTTTAAAAGTATATTCTTTCAGATAAAAAAAAAAAGAATTTTCCAAATTTATAAATTTCAAAATTACGAGGTTACCTTATAAACATAAAAAAATCAACCGAATTGGGAATTTTCTTGTCTTTGTAAATCAATTTAAAGCTGGGAAAGTCGTGAATAATTTCATTTACCTTAATTTTCCCAGATAAACTGGTAACATCGGTAGCTCTCGATTCGTCGACAAAATTACTCGGCGGCCTCAAATTTGTGATACGTGAAAAGTTTAAACCTGTGAACAATTGGAGTTATATTTAAAGAGAGAAATATAAGGAGCCTTGGCCCAGGAAATGTACACTATGTACGAAAAAGCTAATTTGAAAGCTGTTCAATATTAATATTTTTTTTTATACAACTTAGAATGGCAAACAAGCTGACGGCCCACCTGATGGAAAGTGGTAACCGTCGCCTATAGACATGAGCAGTACCATGGACATAACAGAGTATACTGTTTCGCCCATGATACCCCCCATGCGTTGCCATTTCTGAGGACTCAGGTGTTATTCCTCTGTACCCAGTAAATTCACGCCATATCCCACCCTTCAAACCGAAACACAGCCATGCAAACACAACTGCTTCACGGTTGAAACACGAGTGGGACAGAGGTACCCAAGCAATCGACTTTTGTACAAAGTCTCCCTCTGGTATGTTTTCATGTTTTCTAAAAAATATAACTTTGTTTCTTGACACAACATAACTCAAAAATTTTGTAATTTTGATTAACCAATGTCTATATAGATATATAACGGGAAATTAACAAACTCTCTGTATATATAGACATAGGATTAAAAAAAACGTAAAAATAGTTTTAGTAATTTTGAATGACTGAATGAGAGGGAGACTTTGTACAAAAGTCAATTGCTTGGGTACCTCTGTCCCATTCGTGTTTCAACCGTGAAGCAGCTGTGCTTACATGGCTGTGTTTCGGTTTGAAGGGTGGGCATATGGCGTGAATTCTGTGAACATGAATTCTGAATGGCGTGAACAAAGTCTCAAAAATGAAATGGTATCCTAGCTTATACTATTGATATACATTGGCAGGCCACCAGTGAGGGATGATAGGTGAGGATAAAAAGTCAGTTGGAGTATTATCACTCACTCATGTCAGGCAGACGGTGCTCGGCGAGAGGTGAGGACGTGGAGGCGCCAGCCACCTTGTAGTTGACAACGGGCAGGGCCACCCCCCGCATCGCGGAGTCCTTCACCCACGACGGAAGCACACACGCCTTGCCATACTCTAGGGCAGCTTTATACTTCTCACTGCCTACCCCTTCCCTGTATAACAACCATATTATTACAACCTATTCTATTTTTTTTTTGTTTTTCCAAAAGTATACAGCATGGAGTTCTTCAAAAAAGGGGTTTTATTTTTTGATGGGTGAAAATGTTATGGTAACCCCGCCTGCACTAACGGGATACGCCGGCGGAGCACCAGTGAAGGGTGAAAGATGAGAATGAAAACAGGTCAGTTAGCCCATCATGATGAATTCATCAGGAATTAACTATGATAGTTTCCAGGGAGAACAGCGAGGAGGTCGACCTGGTTGGATATTTTGTTAGCAATGGGATCCTCAGTCTCCATTACTACCAATCCCTTTCCCCCTCAAAAAAGGGGTAAAGAGGTTTCTTCAGGATTGACAATGCGCGTATAATGCCCCTGGTATTAAACGTTAATAGGTTGCGGTAACCACTTACCATCAGATAGGTCGTACGCTTCTTTGCCACCTCAGTGTCATAAAAAAAACTTATTAAACTTCCATTACTCAGTACGACTTATTGCCCATTAAAGGAAGTTATTAATCAACTATTTTAATTTTTAATGTCAAAAATTAAAAGATTCCTAATTTAATAAATAAATTAGGAATCTTTTATTATTATATTTTAATGTAATAACTACCGATTTAACTTACAGAGTATACTGTTTCGCCCATGAAACCCCTCATGCGTTGCCATTCCTGAGGACTCAGTTATTCCTTTGTACCCTCTAAATTCACTGACATATCCCACTCTTCAAACCGAAACACAGCCATGCAAACACAACTGCCTCACGGTAGAAACACGAATGGGACAGAGGTGCCCAAGCAAACGACTTTTGTACAAAATATCCCCTCTGATAAAATTAAAAAATTATATACATTTTAATATTCCGTTGCGTATAATCGGCGGCCGAAGATCAACCTAATGTATGAAATAAGTATAAAATATTAAGTTCAAATAAAAAATCAATCTATTAAATTACTCACTTGGTCAATACAACTACATCTGTAGTCTCACTTTGAAAAGCTCCAGAGAATGTTCCACCGTAGTCGTTGACAAGCTTCATGATCATCAGTTTGTCCCGTTTAGTGATGCCGGAGGTGGTGACCTGCAGGTTGGCGAACGGCGGCAGTCGGTGGTGGTCGAAATCTGATGAGGAGCCGGAGATATTGGCGCTGAGGGACGCCTCCCAGACACCCTGAACCCAGCTCTCTGACATTATCGGTATGCCTTTCTCCACTGATTTCTGTAGTATGTAAATTTATTATTATTATTTCAGCCGTTAACTTTCCACTGCTGGACATAAGCCTTCCCCATAAGGGGAGTTTTGCAAGTAGTTGCCACACTTGGGAGGTGCATTGGCAACCGCAGTTAGACCTTTAGAGACGTTTTAAGAGGGACGCTGCTGCCCATTCCTCGCCTTCCCTTAATCGCCTCTTACGACACCCACGGGAAAGGAAAGCGTGGCTCGTTCTAGGCCGGGGCACACACGGCGAGTATGTAAATTAAATTATTGATGAATTATTAAACTAACTAAATACGAGTCAAGTTTGAGAGTTAAGAAAACCATTGTCCTTACTAACATTAGAAACATGAAAGTGAGTTTGTTTCCTCTTAGCATTGTAATGGCTCAAAAAATAGTCTGAGAAATTTTGTACACATGTACATAATAGTAGAGTTAGAAAAGGAGATAGACTATTTTTTATAATGGGCAATCAACACAATTCTGGTCACGCAGATAGAGTCGTAGCTAAAAGTTAGTTTCGGAGACCACTTTTGCATTCATGAACCTCAGTGGGTTCATGAAAAAGTACTTATAATAGATGAGCTTGTGTGAGTACAAGCTTGCCAGTTACATGTAACTTTTTAAACTAGGCCTAATTATGTAAACGTAAATTATTATATATCTATTTTAGTAAAGAGTGTATAAGATTTTTATATTCTCATATAAACCGTTAACTCCACTGCTGAACTTAGACCTCTCAGATGAAGAGACTTTTACCATTAGTAGTAATTTCAGTTTGAAGGGTGGAATATGGCAGTGAATTTACAGGGTACAGAAGCATTACATTATACTTTAGTCCTCAGGAACAGCAATGCATGGGTGATATAGTATAGTACGTTATATCCATGGTACTGCTCATGTCTAAAGGCGACGGTTACCACTTTCCATCAGGTGGGCCATCAGCTTGTTTGCCATTCTAAGTTGCATAAAAAAAAAGTGACAGGCGTGTTGGTAACCGCAGTTATGCTTTAGCGTATTTTAAGAGGAACGCTGCTGCCCGTACCTCAACCGTTAAGTTCCCTTAGTCGCCTCTTACGACACCCACTGGAAAGAAACAGATGACCTATTCTATGCCGGGACCACACGGCGAAGGTAGAAAGGGATTGTAAGTAATGCAAACTACCCATCCCATACCATTGCTAGCAATATACCTTCTCAGCTCGACCTCCATATGGTCCGCCTGGAAACCATCGTGCTGAATTCGTTAGCCCATCGTGATGTATTCATCACGATGGGCTAACTAACCTGCCTTTTCATTTTCACCTATCATCTCTTACTGATGCCCCGTCAGCATATACGGTTAATGCAGGCGGGGTTGCCATTTCATTATCATTTATTAAAATAAACCACATAGGGAAAAATTTAATAATACTCACAATGTATTTATCAGACAGTACTGTGTCCGATACGAGATGTGTGGTATCATCAGTTAATACTGTATTATAAATTCCTCCCATCCAGTGTACCTTCTTTTTTATAGTTTCCTGAAATAAAATTTGATATGTCAAATATTATTTATTTATAGCCATTTTACAGATTGGACATTTTTAAAAGTTGTATAAAAAAAAATTTTTAAAACAAAAATAAAAAAAAATTCTTTGAGTCTCTCCTATCATACTGCTACAGTATGTCTAGATGTTATCACCATCATATCAGCCTTGAACCATTCACTGCTGAACGTAAGCTTCTCCCTTGGGAGGTAACATCAGTAGTTGCCATGCTTGGCAGGCGGATTGGCAACCGCAGTTTTGGCTTTGGAGATGTTCTAAGAAGGATGCTGCTGCCTATCCCTCGACCTGCCTTAGTCGCCTCTTACGACACCCTCGGAAAAGGAAGAGTTGGCCTGTTCTATGCCGGGACCACACAGAGGTGTGTTATATACTAGATATTAGAAAACATATAAATAAGAATAGCTATAGCTATAGCTTCTATGTATGGCAATTAATTTCTATTCCGCAGTGTATAACAGAAAAGCAATATCTTATACCTTTTGTTGTTTAGACAGTCCACTAGCGGTCACAACCAAGCCTCTCATAGCCACGGTGAAAACTGGCTCGGGTCCAGACGGTATTGGTGCCCCTTCTGTTAAGCAGCATGATAAGCACCTTGGACCCACTAACCTAAAAAATCAGTTTTTTTTTAAACAATAAGCTATTTTACTAAATTAGGAATGTTATTTTGTGGAAGTCCACATCACAGGTTAAAATTAATTTGTTTAATTCTACTATTTTTATTATAATTTTGTTTATATCCAGTTTTATGACTAATGTGTCATAAAGGATCAATTGTGTCATCACGCAAATGTGAAAATGATTCATGGCTAAACATAGATATAAATTTGATTATGTATTGACTGTAATTCAGTTGTATGTTTTCCAAAAAATAAATAAATGTGCCATAATAATTTATATTGATTTGTAGAACTTCTACTAATGGTAATAGTATTCACTAATCATTTGTTGGCAGTCCCACGCATACTAAAGATAGCAGAATTAAACAAAAGAATCCTAATCTACTAAACAATGAGTTATTCCTGTGAAGGAAACCATTAATCCAGAATATTCATTCTGTACAAACATAGGCAAGTTTCTGGTTAATTCTTCTCAACTGGATCTATTCCATAAAGTAAATGGTAGAGTAAAAAAATTGTGGCACAATTGAGAAAAAAAATCCTACACAGAGATATTACCTTTTGACTGCCCTGATTAGATTTCTCTGACAAAATATGTTATGTCAACATATCAATTTACAAATTTAATTTTAAATTTGTAAATGTTATTTATTTTTAAATTTGTTAATTAAAAAGTTATATATTATATTAGTTTAAAATATATATTTTTAATTTAAGCCAAACGTATAAGACGTGCCTTGTTGTCTTGATCAGCCTTGTCATGATCAACGTCTATCACTATTATGTTAACATTAAATGATCTACATCTCTTAATGTTGTTATAACACTAATATTAAATTTATAAAAACATAAAATAGTTAAAAAATTAACATCCTATCACCGGGCTTTGGTGTGTCTAAAAGAAGGGCTTCAGCTTTCATAAGTTACCATGTTGAAATGCTATGTATCCTAATAATAGTTAAAAAAAAATTATACATTGAATTGAATATACAGTAATCCCCCCTATTAGACAATACCCTTATAACGCGTTTTCATTTTACGCGATTTCAATCCTTCGTATGACACCGATATTCCCCCATATAACGCGGGGATGAACCCGCGTTCTATGGATAGTTTCCAGGGGAAACCGCAAGGAGGTCGACCTGGTTGAGTATATTGCTAGCAATGGGACTCCCCCCCTTTCCCCGTTCCCCCCCCCCCCCCCCCGTACAATCGCATTATACGAGAATACCCCTACAACGCATTTAATGCGGAAGGAATTTACCATGTATATAGGGGGGGGATTAATATAATCCTACCATATGTTCTTATTCATAGACAATTAAAATACTTACAAACATTTTGTCATCCTCAGCCTATCATACAAATCGCCATCAAACTGAGATAACACAAACACATCCTTTTTTGTTAAGCCTTCAAATTTATTCCACTTGGTTTCATGCACCCATTGTGCTTGCAGACCACCACCACAATGCTGCTGGCAAACCTGTAATAAATATTTATACTTATTAGCTGATCTAATAGCTAAAATATCCCTTCATGGGATAAGTCTATTTTGTATTATAACACAGGTGAACTATGTGAGTTAAATAATAAGGCCACCTTTGAATTTTGCCATTAGCAAATTTTTAGGGTTCCGTGCCTCTAAAGGAAAAAAACCGAATCCTTATAGGATCACTACAGATGGACAAGCCGACAACTGGTCGGCTTATCCAGCTGTCAAGACTCTTTTTCTTAGATACATGTGGAGGTATCAAATTAAAATAATATGATATATTCAGATCTGCAATCTCTTAAAGCAGTAAAAAAAAAATCAAGATTCTAAATTGATACAATTTGTAGTTGAAATTTGATGATCTTGTACAGAACCCTGGAACCCTCATTGTGCAAGTCCCACTTGCTCTTGACTGGTGTTTTTATAACCTAATATTTGTGTGAAACTTTAATGTACAATAAAACAGACAAACATTGTTTAGCATCCATATATTTTTTCTTATCACAATAAAAACTTGTCTCAAATTGGAGCATCAATACAAATACTTACAAAATTTCATTAAAATTGGTTAGACTAGAAATTAGCATGAACAGACATCATTACAATTTTTTAATATATTAACTATTTTATATATTAACCATCGGGCTCATACACATTGTTACTAAAAGTGCCACACACGAATCAGTTGTTGTTTAGCGCACTATAGAAAAATTATTAAAATTGGATAATTTTTGGAGGAGATACAGTTTTTTTGTAAATGACATCAATAGAACAAAGATTTCTTTGGTTTGGTAATCCTAGTACCGACACCAATCTCTCACAAAGATTGTTTTTAAATTGCAACCTATATAGCTGTAAATTTTATTATGTTGTCATTTTGTGAGAGAAATAAATAAATAAAAAAATTTGCAAGCCAGTTTGAAATTTAAAATTCGGCACTTTTAAGTAGATATAAGTAAAAATCAATGACACTAAAACAGTTAATATGATAGAAATGGGATAAAGCCCAATGAGATAGCTAGAGAAGGCCATATGAGGTAGATACATATGTGTAATTGCTTATCTACAACAATTTTGAAATCTTTCACTGCATAATTAAATTTCTGTGCTGCTAAAGGTTGACTGGGAGAGAATGCTATATAGTATTAAGTCCATCTTTTGTACTATTTTTTTGTAAAATGATGAATAAAAAATAAAAAAAATAAACACCCATTCTTTTCTGTTTCTTAATGGTTAAGTTCCAATAGATAAAATTTTTAATAACATCTATTTATTTAACACTTTATTGCACCAACATAACAGGATTTGTTGAACATTTTTCAATACGTATAGTGTAGTACAAAAGGCGGTTTTATTGCCATTAATATGAGACCAATGGAGAAAAAAATACATTTCTAAGTTGAAGTTGATTCAGATTAAGGTTTATTGGGAGAGGTTTGAGAGATAACAACTTTTGCACTTTGTTAGAGAAATATTTATACATTATTCAATAAAATAGATAAAAAGAATATATATGTTACAAATAAAAATAAAATAATTTACTTGACTTGTTTATTTTATTCCCAGACATAATAAATAGGTAGATACATACATCAATACATATTAAGAAGGAATAATAAATACCACGCGGACAATGTCACGGGCATCAGTTAGTAATCAGTAAACATATAAAAAACGCGGAATTAATTGAACTACTATTAGAGAGAATAAGTTAGGAAGGACAGTAAACAGGCTGGCCAGGGATCAGTGCATTTTGTGTGCCTATTGCACCGGCATACGCTGTAGTTATGAAATGAATTAGAAGCCAAAATATACTCACTGTACCTCAAGTATGGAATTCATGTTACTGAAGAGTAATAAATAGAAATACTTACTGTGTAAGCAAGCTTTAACTCCGAATCGGTGCAATCATCTTCACTTCGACAATTTTTTGGTATTATAAAAGTAACTTGTATGTCCTCCGCCATATCGACTTTATGTGACAATGACTAATTATTGACTAACGATAATCATCATATCAGAAAGTTGATCAAAACAATTTATTTTAGGTTGGAAAACAACCAATATTGAAATTTTGTTTACAATTTCCCTCTATTTTTGAACATATGAATGAACGAAATGAACATATTTCATTGAAATGTCAATTAGTATGGTCGTCTAAAAAGAAGGGAGAGCACGAAATGAACTATAAATGAATGATTGAACAGTCACAATGTGAATGACATAGACTATGAATACAATTATTTCTTTCTACAGGAAATAAAACTAAAAAACAGAATTTTATCGATAAAAGTTTCGATTTTTAGTTGCAAATACTGTCGCCAGTTTATTTTTCTTATTGTTTTCGGCAAACTATTGATCACCAAGTAGCCGAATTGCTTAATATTTACTGTCAATCTTAATTTCTTAAATGACCTATTTTGGCTCCCATATTGATCCAATGTGAGATATAATATATATTAGTCCAATAGTCCACAGTTCTTTAAATTTTAGACAAGTATGCTACAGTCTTTCAGGCAGAAACTATGGCCATAATAAGATGTGCAGAGCTAAATCCATGTTTTAACTATATAATTAACAATATATTCTATATTTACTTAGTTAGTGAAGCAACATTACTTGCACTTGACTCATTTTACCAGAGGGAGACTTTGTACAAAAGTCGTTTGCTTAGGCACCTTTGTCCCATTCGTGTCTCTACCGTGAAGCAGTTGTGGTTGCAAGGCTGTGTTTTGGTTGGAGAGTGGGATAGATGGGTAGTGAATTTACAAGGTACAGAGGAATAACACCTGAATCCTCAGGAATGGTGACGGCGGGAGGGGAGAGTGTATTATAGGCGAAACAGTATATTCTATTATGAGCATGGTACTGCTCATATCGATAGGCGACAGTTACCACTTTCCATCAGATGGGCCGTCAGCTTATTTGCCATTCTAAGTTGCATAAAAAAATTAATTCAAAACTTTTTCAACAACTGCATAATATTATTAAGAGACTTGGGCAGTAGAAATAATCGTCAAATTTTTTTTTTTCTCTTAAAATTATTAAAAACACAGTCCTCTGGCTTTTCCATTACTGGGTCTCTTACTTATAAGTAATATTTAAAAAACCTTATTAACACTATATAAATTTGGCAATTAACATCTAAACAATGAATAGTGCATTTATATTTTTTTTACAAAACTAGATCTCATTAAGTCTTTTTTAAACTTAATAACATTATGTAAATGTTGTCTGAAGTTTTTTTTTAAAGAACTTTTTTCTCTGCGAAGAATTCTTTACTACATTTTAAAAAAAAACCATTATGTTTATAAATGTTGTCCGACGAGAAATTAAATATAATTGTGAAGTTGTTAAAAATGTTGTAAACGCCAGCGAAGCACGTTTTATTTTAATATCCGAGATTGAGAATAGTACTTATGCTGGGAAATCGTATTTTGGTCATTATGTATACATAACTGTATAGAGTACTCTGGTAAATGATTTTAAATATATTTGTTAACTTAAATATATTTCATACTATTGATTATTTTTATGATTTATGTCCAAAGTTATTGGTAGCTTCATAATGAATTGCATTTCAATAGTTTTTTAAATATTATATAACTAAACTAAAATAGACAGTTCTTTGGCTACAGTCTCCTGCCTGGCAAAACGAAAGGATATGCTAGTGGATTGTAGATTTCGTATATTGGTCGTTATGCACTAAAAATGATAGTTATTTTCCTAAACCAAAATATGATATTTTTACGAAAATAAGAAAAAAATTTGCCCGTACATAATTAGCATGGGCCATTACGAGTTTACAGAGAATAGACACATAGAGATTTACACTGACAATTCATAATGTCAATCAATTGTGACGCCGTCAATCAGATAAATTTTAATCTGGTCAATAGGTTATAAAATGTGTTTTCTACCAATTTCCTTTATTTAATAAATCATTTAAATTAAATTAAGATTATTATTAAATTAAACATTTTTAGTCGACAATAATAGTAGCCATGTTGTATGATGATTTCAAACCTATCGTTGATCTTGTACTAAACAACTGGACGGCTTTACAACTTGCTGTGGAACATGGAATGGGTGCTCCTGGCGGAGAAAAGGTGTGTCTTTTATTATTATTAATAAAAATAGGTAAAAAAACTTTTAAGTTAAACGGTTTTATTTTATGTGCACTGAAAAGTACAAAATAAATAAATAGTTACTTACCTATCAACCTACGTAGGTGATCTCGGTCATTAATATCTCTGATGATAGTGGTTGTCATAACATGAACCATGTCAGCGGCCGAAAGGCAGTTCATGAGAGAACACTAACACCAGGGTTTGCTTGGTAGGTAAACTAAGCAGCCCGCACTATAACAAGTAGGTATTTTGACCTTCTAGTTCAGAAATATTTTAGTACTAGGCAGAATAGCTTTTAGGCATATTAGACTAAAATAAAAACGTGGAGCCCATTAACTATTTCTGTATTACTTTCTACTATACTAAGTGTGGATTGCATCGACTTATTATAATCGTCATCATCATCATCCTAGCGGTTTATCCCGGTCGCATCCGAAACCTCATAGCTCCGGAGTCCAGGGTCCGCTGAATCGACTTACTATAATCGTAACTGAAGGTTTTGACCATCAATAACCAGCCGTTAGGACCTCACCAGCGAATGCTGAGCTCATGATCTATCAAAGTATAATATATGCTCTGCTATAGGTATGATTTCAGAGGGGCCCCACGTTTTTATTTTAGTCTCATATGCCTAAAAGCTATTCTGCCTAGTACTAAAATATTTCTGAACTAGAAAGTCAAAATACCTACTTGTTATAGTGTGGGCTGCTTAGTTTACCTACCAAGCAAACCCTGGTATTAGTGTTCTCTCATGAACTGCCTTTTGGCCGCTGACATGGTTCATGTTATGACAACCACTACCATCAGAGATATTAATGACTGAGATCACCTACGTAGGTTGATAGGTAAGTAACTATTTATTTATTTTGTACTTTTCAGTGCACATAAAATAAAACTGTTTAACTTAAAAGTTTTTTTACCGATTTTTATTTTCTTGTTTTTAGTATTTAGTGAAATTGTTTACCGAATATTCCTCATTCTATTTAATTCATTCAGTGCATCATTATTACATGGTTTCTTACCTGATAATTTAGTACAATCTAATTCCTCAATACATAGCCCTTCCAGAGACTTGACTCGACTTAGAGCCACGTATGCTTGTCCTTCCTCAAACCATTTTGAGCCCAAATATACTACTGCATGGTCGACGGTGCTGCCCTGCATTTTATGGACGGTGAATGCCCATGACAAAACTAAGGGCAACATCCTTTTTCAGCCGTACCATAATTGAATTTTGCTGGAAACTGTATGGCTTTAGGGTAAATAATGTGCATGCCGTCTGTGCCAAATAAAACTGATGATATATCTGTTTCGTACATTTGGGTTCGACGGAACTGAGGGCAAAAAATTTCTGTAATGTGGCCTATAGCGTCATTTACCAATCCTTTTGTAACGTCAATGTTGGACCGCAACATTACTTTTGCACCTACAAATATTTCAAGTACTGATGGTAAGCCTCCAGTCTTATTTATATTTGTTGGTATTTTTTGTTTATTGTTACCATGTTGTTCCCACGATTAAGGGGCATTTTGACGGTCGACCGCCCCCCCCCCCCCCCGTAGTCCAGTAAAGGGGCAAGGCTTAATATACAACAAGATGCGCCCAATCTTGAGGGGGAAGCGCTTACGACATTACATTTTTATCCACCCTAATGCCATACAGTCCTCGGCACGTTTTAACCTTTTAAAACGCCCGTTATAACTACCGCTTACTAACGAGGTATCTAATTACCTATTTTTTTTATCTGTCCCTCTAACGTCACACAATCTTAGACGCAACTGTTCTCGATACGACTAATCATGCCCCCACCTAATACGCCATTTTGTAACAGCGTCCATCTTGAATTTGAAATTTTGACATAATGACAGTATTCTGCAGTGTAGTCCTATTATTTGATACCCATATTGTGGTGGTTGTGGAAAAATATGTACCTAGTCCGCCATATTGGAACGGCGTCCATCTTGAATTTTAAATTTTGACATAATCATCGTGTTTTACTAGTGTAGCCCTTTCATTTGATACCCATATTGCGGGGGTTAAGGAAAAATATGTAATCCGCCATTTTGTATCGGCGGCCATCTTAGATTTATAATGTTATTGATTTTATTATATTGTATTGTCATCTAAATTAAATGTGTGTACCAAATTTCAGATCAATCTGACAACGGGAAGGTGCTTAAATTCCAATTTCTAATTTTGACCCAAATAAATAAATACCGTACGGGTCGAGCTAAATAAAACCGTTTAAAAATAGAGAATGCTCTCCACATCGTATGCTTGACTTAAAACAATACTCGGTTCAAAAAATCTATCTGTATTTATTTGAACGGGCAAATTTCATTAAAATCCATTCATTATTTAGGTCTCGATATTTCAAAAATGGTCGAGTATTCTCTACGAAAATATCCTTAATCCAGTTTTATGACAGTTAAAAGTTCTCCACTTCTAAACTGTAATACTGATTTTTAAACATATTTCACTGTTAGGTCAGTGGATATCCTCAAATATAAATTCATATTTAAATCATCTTTATTCGAATATAATTGTTTACAAACACTTTTAAATCATAATTTTTTGTAAATCTACTATAGGCTTCAGAAAATTGTTGTCTGCTTAGAAGAGTTCATAAGAAACTCAACAGTTACTCTTTTAAATCTCTGTTAACATTATGTGTATTTAAGTGTGCTATATCTAAAATTACATGATTTAAAAAAAATAGTGAGTAATAGGCTTTGTTCAATAAATGTTTTTAATAAGAGTTTTAAATTTATTTTGAGATCCAAAATATCCTTCATTATCTTATTATAATATTTAATGCCTATTTCTATGAAAGACATATTGGTCTTTTATCTAATGGTTAATAAGCTGTCTGTAAAAGATACTTCAGAACAGTAGCTTTGAATTTGCATCTGATGTTAAGATTATTGAGATGGCTGTTAGTATAATACTTATGGAATTATATATTTATACCCACAAGGTTTTTGGCTCGTTTACATGTCATCATGCACCTACCAAAACATGTCTGCAAGGTCCTATACTAATGGGCTTTTAAATGAAATGATAGCAGAGTGTAAATGTTTATAAATAACTTTATAAAAATATCAAGGAGAAATGTGTGCACACTCTATAATCAGCAAGAAGATTAGCCCGGAGTTGCCACCTTGCACTCTGTGTTTGTGTCTTCCCTCATCTGTCTGTCATGTGGTCTGAACATGTCCGTACATGTTATAAACTCAATGTTTTTTGGATTCTGGGGGATATGCCATTATACAATGGCAATATTAATATAACACTGAGTCAACCTGGTAGTCAAATGCCAAATGGCTATATTAGTGAGTAAAGGTGTCCCTGACGAACTGTTAAACTAGCTTTCAGACATTCCCTATGAGGCTGGCATAGTCATCCAGGTGTACTGAAACCTTAACAAACTTAGAATAAAAAAAAAATTCAAATTTTTATCTATGAATGCAATGTACTCTGTTCCCCTGCTTGCTTTTTCACCCTAAGAATGCAAAGAAATGGTGATGCATTGTATTCTTACTGTCACACAAATTCAATATATATCTATACACACACATTTAAATATAATGCCATTCCATATTTAAATTACAGACAGCACAGTTGATGGCAGTGTACATAGCTCGATACTGTGTGGAGAATATTGTAGACAGAGATGATCTCTCTGAACTCATTGAGGATTTGATGGACGAGGAGTTTGACACTGTATGCCATGATAATTCACCTAAAGGTATAATGAAATTAATGTTTAAGGAAACATTCGTTAATTATTAATTACATTATTTTAAATTATGAACGGGGGGGGGGGGGTCTGGCAAAATCTCACCAAATCTCATTAAATGGGTGAAATGAAATTTATTTGCTAGAAACATTGTAGAAAAGGTGAGAAGTGAATGCAAATCTAATGTCAAGTTTCCTACTTCTTGTTTCACTAAAATAATTAAATTAAGGAAACTGCATTATTATATCAAATAAATTTATCTAAAATGTTATTTGTATACCTTGAGTAAAGGATGTGAGAGTCTACATGACAAAGGAGGGTGGGGGGGGGGGGGGTCTGTATTAAATAAAAAATAGTTTATGCAATTAATGGATATCCCCTTATAGTATAATCATTATATTTATAAACATAAGGAATAAATAAAGTTATACTTATTATAAGAATTAATCCATTATTTGAATGGTTCAGAAAAAAAATAACAATTATATTTATTCCTTTGAGTATAATTAAAAAAGAAAAATATTAATTTATCAAATAATTGCATTATTATGGCATTGTTGCTTTAATTTCAGAAATAGCCTCACTGTTGTTATTGTTCCTTGGAATGTTGAAGAATGGCCAGCATGATGAGGTGAGAGCTCAAATTGACGCTCTGCCGAAGTGCCAGAAATGGCTAAGCCAACCAATTCATGACTCTGTTCCGCCACAGGTGAGTTATTTCTGTTCCTTCAAAGGTCTTGGTGTATCATCCATGAACATATTTAGTAGAGCTTAAGGGTGGGATCACTGACACCCTAAATTGTTAACAATTTTGAATTGGCTATTGAGGGAATAATTCAATAGTAGGGGAAGTAATTTGGAAGACTGATGGCTATTACTGATTGATTTTTATGAAATTCGGTTCAGTTGTTAGTTTTTAAACCAAAATAACTGGTTTTGCCACTATTGATTTGTCAAATGTCAATTGTTTTTTTATAGAACACACTTTAATTATGTATATATTAATATGTGAAGCAAAAATTTTGTACCCCTTTTTATGAAAATTGTGTGGACCAAGAAGTATTAAATTTCGCACACTTACAGTTTAAATAGAGAAGGAGTATAAAATGCAATTTTTTTTTATAAAAATACATAAATTAATAACAAAAAATTACACACACTACAATGTATTTACAATGTAGCCCCGTCTGCGCTAATGGGATACTCTGGCGGGGCACCAGTGAAGGGTGATAGATGAGAATGAAACAGGCCAGTTAGCCTATCATGATGAATTCATCAGGAATTAACCATGATAGTTTCCAGGGGGAACCATGAGGAGGTCGACCTGGTTGGGTATATTGCTAGCAATGGGATTTTCAATCTCCATTACTAACAATCCCTTTTCCCCCACTACCATGTATTTGATACACATATACATATATACTCTTTTGTTTATTGTTAAAGTCAATGGTCAAATTGAGAATAGATTAATATTGTTTGTCTTTAATATTATTTGTCTATAGTCTTACTGAATGTGAAACATAACCATAATAAAATCATTTATCACAATATATGTTGTGGTCGAATTTGGACCACTAGGAGACCAGTAGTTATTATAATAATGCACGTAAATTAAACAAGAAGTTACTATTAAAATATGTTTTCATTTGTTAACTTCATCCTTTCAGTGTCATGGAAACCCAGATGATGACACTACGAGCAGTAGCAGTGAAGAGGATGACTCTGAAAATGAACAGAATGACGATGAAGCTTCATCATCAAACATTAACCATGGTCAGGAACCAATGGATGAAGATGTACAAGTTGAGCCAGGCTGGACCGTAGTACGGACAAGAAGGAGGAAATAGGGATTGTTTATTTTTAATTGTTGTATTTTGTAACTATTATTATTTTATTTATATGTTGCATCATCTGTTAACTGTCCACTGCTAAACATAGCCTCCCCATAAGGGAGGTTTTGCCAGCAGTTGACATTTATATGAATCATGAAAATACCCGACCAATAAGTTAACCCAACAATGGGGAGTCAACTAACTTGACGTCGTAAGAATAAATGGATTGGGTAGATACGACTCTCGTGTATTTTACTTGAATATACAAATAAACATCTAATGTACAGGACTTCCAAGGTATGAGTTTTTCATTAAAAAAATTGAAGTTTGTGTGTACGTAGTCATATATACTATTGTCTGTGGAATTTCTGAGTCGATTGGTATTTGTATTTTTTTTAGTGAAGTTGAATCCAAGATGGTCTCGTGTAGTGTTGTTAGAATTGATGTTGGTTGTTATGTTTAAATAATATGTGTATGAATACAAGTCTATGAATATATACAAATATATAATATATATATATATATATATATATATATATATATATATATATATGGTGAATATTGTTTCTGGTGTGTAGTAGGTGAATGTCTATGTAATCATGTGTTACTATTATGGATATCTAAATAGAGGAGATGGATAATGTTGAGCATTTTGTATGGGAACCGGATATCACCGCTCACTTGTCATATGACAGATGTCAACTTGACACAATCCTTCAATCTAAGAATTACCATTGTAATTAATCTACCACTCGGTATGTATAACAGTTTTTATCGTCGGCGCAATTGCAATGACTACAAAATGCTTATTAATAGGGCTCATTATATTTTCAAAATCTATATTTTTTTTATTAATATTTAGAAATTTAGATAGGCCTAAGACTAAGTTCGGATATTTTTTAATATCGAAACAATCTGACTCGAACTTATTATATCGATATTCGATAAATTTATCAAACACTATTACGTCAATCACTAAGCTCGGTAATAAAACAATATTGAATTTAAATATGGAATTATTTTAAAATTCATTTAAAAATAGAAACTAGAATAAGATTGTGAAATTATCGGTGGAATGTAATTCCTTGTGTTAAGTTTAGAGGCTCTCTATAAATAAGGAAACATTTACCTACCGACATCAAAAAGGAGGTTCTCAATTCAGTCGTTTTTTTTATGGTTGTTGCCTCATAACTTCATCAGTTCTAAATCGATTTGGAAAATTATTTTTGTTTCTCTTAAAAATATTATTACAAATTGGTCCTATAGAAATTTTATCAAAAGTGGTTACTAAACTACTGAGTTTATTATTAAAATAACTAGTTTTGTCATAAATAAAGTAAATTTTTTTTGTATGACACGATCTATAATTACGTATTGTAATAATTTAAGAATTGCGGAGCATCTCAGACAACCTTTGCGGAAAGTAGATGGAATGTGTATGAGGGAACATCGGTCTATTCGCTCTTATAAAAATATTATTCGTTATCATCTATCTGTATATGTCTATAGTTACAATAGACAATATTAACTTGTAAGAAATCTCAAAGAGTTTATCAGATTATTTATTGTATGTATTTAGTAAGAAATGAGACAAATATTTATTCTTCTTTATCTATCTGCTAATTGATCAGCCTTTTTGAACAAATGGCAAACAAATGTATGGATATGTTTACGCTACCTGAGATATAATGAAACAGCAATCTCAGCGTCTTTTTTCCATATATGAGGTGGCGAAAACGTATCTACTGGTTCATATCCCATTTGTTTTGGAGTGTAAGTTAAGTAGACAAAGTAAAATTATCATGTGAACATATATGGAAAATATAATATGTATGAAATTGATTCAATAGTGGCATGGTCTCCTAGTCAATTGACATAATGTGTACTCATAGATAGAGGCAATGTGGATCCCCATGGTTACGACCTTGCAGTCTGAGGGACCTCGTTCCTTCAAGCTTTTTTTTTTTCACTTTTTTAATTGTTTTACGTAACCAAAAAGCTTTATTCCACCATTACCCATAGAAACCTAATCCGAATCTAAAATCCTCTAGGTTTTAGTCTACGTGTGTGTATGTGTAGGTTACATTTCGTGAAAAACATGTGTTGGATTAGAAAAAGAAAATTGAAATTAATGTTGTTGTCATTAAGGTTCTATTTTAGTAGTTAAAAAATGTATTAACATTTAAAAATGGACCTCTTAAAATAAACTACATTTATATTCCCAAGGAATTCCTTCCTGAAATTTTTGAATTTTTTATCCAATGTTCCATTCAAAGATAATATTCTATTTTTTATTACAATACTAGGTATTTTCCTAGTGTTTCTCGTGGTACTATTACCCACTTATCTACAGCTGTTTTAAGTAAAGAAATAACTCTTAGTTCTATGTATGGATGTTTACAAGAAATAAAAAACAATATAAATGTATAAGATCATAGGTAGTTTTTTTTTTCTTTCACAAACGTATACCGCTCGCCATAATGCTAAAGCTCCACAGAAATCTAACCATCATCACGCGACATTAAGCTGCAGTTTATTAATTTCGCCATCACATTATCTGTCTGTACTGACCCTTAGGATCTGAATAGATTGACAAGGTAACAACAGTTGTGATGTGATCCCATCATCAATTCACTGTGACACCAAACATTCATATACTATACCAATATCTGAGGAAATTTTAGTATTGTGATAGTTAGTAATCCCATTTTTAGCAATATAGCCTGTTAGGTCTATCACCACGCGATCACGAAAACCATCATAGTGAGTTCATCACGGTGAGTTAATTGTTCTATTAACATCTTGATCTATCATCATTCATGGATCCTCGCCAGCGCTGACGGAATATGCTGGCGAAGCACCAGTGCGGGATGATAAATGAGAATGAAAACAGGTCAGTTAGTCCATTATAACGAATTCATCAGGTATTAACGCATGGAGGTCGACCTGGTAGGGTATATAATTCTCCCCCCTTCCCCCCTCCTCATAAACAGGGTTACTATGCAATTTGCATCAAAAATAAATTTACTTAAAAAAAATTTGCACGTTCAAAGGAAGTAAAAATCACATATCATACTGTACATCCTTTCATACGTGCAGTCTATGGGACAGTTATACCTAAAAATACTATAGCGACCTTCGTATTCTATATACTAATGTATTCAGGGACCAATGGCATCCTGAATATGATTGTAAGCAGGTTGGACTGCTCTTATATTGGTCACTGTTGTGCTATTTCAAATGAGATGCATCAGTGGTTACCAAAAATTAGATTTTTTTTTTATTTATTTATTTTAATTTAAGATGTCCTAACAATAGGCTAAGATTATGTTATTAACAAATTAGGCAATTGTGGTCTGAAATAATAAAGATTATTATTGTTATTAAAAATAAAATTTACTTAATTTATTGATGAGAAAAATTATCAAATTTAATCCGACCCAGCTAATGGTTTGCCCCCTGCCGGATCTATTACTATATTCACAGAAAGGAAAGAAGTGACCCATTCTATGCCGGGGCCACAGGGCAATTCTTGTACATTGGTAATATGTATATGGAGGTATTTTGGAAATTTTGCGGGCAAAATAACAAGGAAAAATATTAAGATTTTCATGTTCCGTAAGTATGGAAACCTTAATCCTCAGGAGTAATAATGTATGATGTGCATATATCAATGGCGTCACAATTCATTTTATCATGTTCATGATATTGTTCATTCATATGCTATGTTGGCTATTTCAGAGTGAAATAACATTTTGCCTGCAAGTTGTTACGTGTCTCATCTAGCTATGTATATTGTGAAGATTAAACAGATAAACCTTCATTTGGCAGAATCACACTATAAAATGTATTTTTAGCAAAGAAAAAACTTCGACACCATTCATTTTATATTTAAATTATTACTGTTCTCCATAAACAGAAATAGAACGCAATAAAAAATTCATGCTTCGTAAACAGTCCCTCTAATGTCAATATAGTTGTCACGTTTCAGTTCAAGCTTAAGTCACTTCAGATAAAAACCGTTCCAAGAATCTATGCAATTAGCTCGTTAAATTGAAAATTTTACACTATAAATATTATCCTCTGGTCCGCTGTTACCATGACCGTACCTTGATCAGGAATAGCGGAGTCGCCGAGGATTGGGGGCTGTTTTCTTATGGTGTTTACCCGTAGAGGGGGTGCCAGTAGTACCTCAGCTTGGCAGGTGGTTTGGCAACAGCAGTCAGGCCTTTGGTGATATACGGAGGACGCTGCTGCCTATCTTCGATCATAAGTTCCCTTAGTCGCCTCTTACAGCACCCACAGGAAAAGAAGGGGTGCCCCATTCTATGCTTGGACCTATACGGCTAAATATAAATGGAAGTAAGGTTCTAGAGCGGCCACCCTTTACGGGCAACGCAGTGTAGTACGGTCACCACTAGATGAAGTTATGGCCTCAAATGCATTGCAAGGAGTCAGTGGATACAAGTAACTCAGGACCGTTCCCTATGGCAGTCTGTGTCGGAGGCCTTATTTCTAGTAGTGGACGAATAATGGCTGAAATGATGATAACACTATAAACTGGCTGACTATTCTATGATATCTATATATAGCGACATTTTTGAGAGGAACATATTATAATCTAATGTGTAGATGTAGCATAAATATTAATTCATTTTATTGTGTTAATAATTTTAGATGGTTGCATAAAATCAATTTACAGTTTTATTCATATGAGACTCAAACTATAGTGCTGACTCTTAAATGAATTAATGATAACTTAAAAAAGAAAAGATTGTCAATGTCAATCATTTGATGTCAGCTTTCAATTCCTTCGGTTTCATTTTTCATTTGTGGAAATTATACATTTTCATAATTATCTTTTCGCCGAAAATAATAATTGAACATTTATGTCATAAATAATAAGTAGAAAATATATTCCAATGCCGTTAACAGCCCGACAACGTAGTATTCATAATAAAAATGGAGCGAAAAGGAGTGCAAGTTTCAATAAAGGGAAACGAAAAGCGAGCGAAGGGTAACAATGAATTGTATTTTATTTATTTCCAATTTACATACATAATTACAGTGTATTCTCTTTATCTTTACGTTACGCTAGTAGATAGTTTTATAATTTAGTTAAAACTGAGGTTTTATAACTCGCTTTATATATGCTTTCTTTTGCGCTAAATTACCGCAGTTTGGCGCGTATCCAGGTGTCGACACGCTCCGAGCGAGGTAAAGAGCTTTTGCGTGACGTTATTTGTTTACTGTACCCTTTTATATACAATACACATAACTATTTTAGCTTTATTAATAGCATGATATATTATTCATATAATTTATAAATTGGTTGATTTTGTTTACTGTATTTGTATTGATATTGCAGCAGATATTTATCTCTGCATATTGAATTTGAATAACAAATGTGCATGGTGTTAGTTGATGATGTTTTGATAGACATAATAAACACATGTTGCTAACAGAAATTTAAAAGAGTAACTGTTTTTTGCTGGTTGTGCTAGTAGATGGCAACATTCCGAACCCAACAGTAGAATCATAAAAAAATATAATTTAATAGGGCTTGTAAATAAGTCTTATTGAATAAAAATGTTTAGGATTTGAATTACTATTAGATTTTATGTAATTTAGGATTATTTTTTTGATAGTGGTCATATTTTTATAATCATAATCATTTATAGATGTGAACAGTACCCTTATTATCAAAGAATAAACTGTAATACATTTGATACTGATATATAGGGATGTATTGCCTGTATATCCCTCTCTTCTGACTGAAACAGCATACAAGCATATGTTTAGCATCAAGATATGGATGGGATAGAAGTAACCAAACAAACAGTTTACATACATTTACATACAGCAATAGAAGGGGAAATAGTTATGGGGGAAAAGGAATTGTTAGTAATGGGGTTTAACAGCCCATTGCTAGCAATATGGGTATATTGCTAGCAATGGGTATGTTAAACTCTGTAAAACTGGGGGGAAAGGGATTGTTAGTAATGGAGACTGAGAATCCCATTGCTAGCAATATACCTAACCAAGTCGACCTCTTCGTGGTTCTCCCTGAAAACCTTTGTTATTACTTCTTGTGGAACTTGTCATGATGGGCAAACTGACCGGTTTTCATCCTTAGCTGTTATCTTTCACTGGTGCCTCACCACTATTATAGTGTATACAGATAGCATGGGCTGGGTTACCATTCTATTCTCACCCAATAAAAAAATATAATTTGATATCAACATATTGTATTTATATATTGGTTGAACAATGGATATATTAAATAGTAGTTTTCTAGTATATATTATTGAAATGAGATGAATACAGTTTAAGTGAATATAGATATCTGACTAATATGGATATTGTTGAAATGGATGTATCTTTTTTCCACCATCAATATCCAGTGCAGTATCCAATATATAGGTATTGTTTTGATGGGTGAAAATGATATGGTAACCCCGCCTGCGCTAACGGGATACGCTGGCGGAGCACCAGTGAAGGGTGATAGATGAGAATGAAAACAGGCCAGTTAGCCCATCATGATGAATTCATCAGGAATTAACCATGATAGTTTCCAGGGGGAACCGCGAGGAGGTTGACCTGGTTGGGTATATTGCTAGCAATGGGATTCTCAATCTCCATTACTAACAATCCCTTTCCCCCTAATATATAGGTATCAGAGAGGTACTGATATTACCCATGTCTGGTTTGTTTTATAGAAAACCCTCACAACAAAAGGTATTTTAGCTTCAGAAGATAAAAACAAATTTATAATGACCCTATAGTAGGTATATAGACATACTGGTTATTCATTGAGGATTTGTATATCAGTCTAGTCCTTTACTTTCTTATATTAGTCTAGAAAAATGTTCATTGCAGAGACAGACAGACAGAGAACGAAGTCATGTGATTGTCTGGAAGACTTATTATGATTATCTTAGATAATTTATTTTATATATACATTTTATTTCAGAGAGTTCCTCGTAACAAATGCACCTACTGATCTACGTAGTATTACTTACCCTGGCGGTGCAGTGGCATTGGTTTTGCTACTCACTGCCCGGCTCTTTGCTGCATATTGGGGACACATATCAGATTGTGATGAAACGTACAACTACTGGGAGCCATTGCATTATTTAGGTGAGATTCTATATTATCATTCAGTCTCCTATATTCAAGTATTTGCTTTTGCTAAATATAAGTGTTATATAGATGATAAATATTTTTATAATATCTGTTAATGACATATACATAGATAGATATATAATTTATTTGTATTACTTATAGCATGTAAATTACAACAGACAAAAAGACACAAAAAGCGAGGTAAAAGAAACACATAAAAAAGAGACAGCATGGGGTTCTTCAAACGGGAGGTAAAGAGGTTTCTTCAGGGTCTGCAATGCGCGCATAATACCTCTGGTATTACAGGTGTTAATAGGCTATACCACTGAGGTGGCAAATAAGCATACGGCCCACCTGATGGTAAGTGATAACCATCGCCTATAGACGTATACTGTTTTACCCATGATACCCCACGTGTGTTGCCATTTCTTAGGACTCAGGTGTTATTCCTCTGTACTCTTTTAATTCACTGCCATATCCTTCAAACTGAAATACAGCCATGCAAACACAACTGCTTTACGGTTGAAACACGAATGGGACAGAGGCACCCAAGCAAATGACTTTTGTTCAAAGGCTCTCTTTGAACCCTATTATAAATCCTTTTTCCCTTTAGTCGAGTGTATTGAGAGATTGATATAAATAAACTACAACTAACTGTACTTTTTCTTCATGCAGTATATGGCAGTGGCCTTCAGACATGGGAGTACAGTCCAGTGTATGCGATACGATCATACATGCCACTGTGGCTATTTGCTGTACCGGCCAAAATATTGTCACTGATGGTGTCGCCAGTTACAGTTTTCTACTCGATACGTGCCCTCCTTGCAGTGCTCACTGCATGTGCTGATCTCATGTTTTACAAGTAAGTTTTGAACTTTTTTGACTTAGAATGGCAAACAAGCTGACAGCCCACCTGATAGAAAGTGGTAACCGTCGCCTATAGACATGAACAGTACCATGGACATAACAGAGCATACTGTTTCGCCCATGATACCCCCATGCGTTGCCATTTTTGAGGACTCGGATGTTATTCCTCTGTACCGTGTAAATTCACGCCATATCCCTCTCTTCTAACCGAAACACAGCTTATTATACCTCAATGGTGGCCAACAATTATTAATTCCATCTTATGATTAAGGTTACTGATTAAATAAATTTTTAAAAATTGCCTATACTCATATTTAGCTAATGTTGCCTATAATTGGTTAAATGTACGACATCCAATTCTGGTGCTAATCATATTGACTGATATTTCTATATCATCATGTATACTATATATACTCATCATATCAGTCTTTAATTGTCCATTGCTGTACATAGACCTCCCCCTTAGAACAACTTAGAATGGCAAACAAGCTGGGCCGTCAGCTTGTTTGCCATTCTAAGTTGTACAACCTGATGGAAAGTGGTAACTGTCGCCTATAGATTGCCGTAAGTAATGATTAACCCACCTTTATTCACTAACTCCCTGCAACGCATTTGAGATCGTCGCTCCATCTTGTGTGGGGTTGTCCTATACTGCATTTGTCTGTACAGAGTCGTCATATATATGCTATGGTGTCTAGAATTTAGTATGAAACTGGTTAGCACTGTATTTTTTTTTAATGGATGATAATGGAATGATAACTCCGCCTACGTTAACGGTATACACTGGCAGGGCACCAGTGAGAGATGATAGGTGGGTACAAAAAGCAGGTCAGTTAGCCCATGATGTTGTGAGTGCGAAAGCGAATCCATGTCTCCGAAATATGGCACCTCGAGGGTATGTCGTCTGGTTTTTGGTGGGTACGCTCCCGCCTTACGGGGGGGGGGGATTCCCACAGTACCCATTCACCTCCTACAAGGTTTGAGGGGCTGCATAAAGCATTTTCCAGACATTAAAAAAAAAGGTCAGTTAGCTCATCGTAATGAATATATCTGGAATTCAGCTCGATGGTTTCCAGGGGAGACCACGAATGTAGGTCGACCTGACAGGGTATATTGCTAGTAATGGGACTGATAGTCTGCATTGCTAACAATCCCCTTTCCCCCACAGTTTATGACTTTTCTTTCTATTAGTGTATTGTGTTTTGCCACTAATGATGTAATGGTAAAAATGTGACAGGGCGGTGTGTCACGAGTTCGGGGTGCAAGTGGGGCGCGTGTGGCTATGTGCGTGGGTACCGGCGGCGGGAGCGTGGGCTTCCAGCGGAGCCCTACTGCCAGCTGCTTGGAGCGGAGCCCTGGTAGCTGCAGCGCTCGCCTGCTGGTGGCGCCGTCGCCTGCCTCCCGCCGTGCTGCTCACTGCAGCCACCACACTGCTCAGTAAGTTTACATAGTTTATAATTTTGAATTGCCAAATGTTATTTCGCCCTGTAGAGGAAATAAACTGGAATAAACAACACATATTTACAAAATTGAGTAAAAATCGATTGTGGGAATACGGAAAATAGCGTAAAATAAATATTGTGATATAGAATTTTTATAAGTTACGTTAGAGACTCACAAATAATATCATACTTTACGCAGTGTCAATAACCTCCGACTCAAATTTCCCACTCATTCTTTTTCCTTTTATTCTAAATCCTTTACTGTTCAGGCAGTTCATCTATGGAACTCACTACCTACCTCTATTCGGTGTGCTCAAACTCTTACTAGCTTCAAAACCTCTGTTAAATCTTACTACCTCTGACTTTAGTACTATTTTCGTGTGTTTTCTCTTCGTTTTCCTTCGTCATTTTTTTTTCTGTTGTATGTGTGCTGTTAAGTATGTGTATGTTATGTCTATATTTAATTGTGTATATATTATATATGTATGTGTATGTATGTATGTATATATGTTTGTATATGATAATATTTATATAATAGTGTGCCACCTACCCTTTGTCTTTTTCTCAATATCCTCTACCCAAAGGTTGTCTGGAAGAGATTGCTTAGCGATAAGGCCGCCTTTTGTATCACTTCTCATTAATATTTTCTGTATTTATTATTTCTCTTTTTAATTGGTGCAATAAAGTGTAAATAAATAAATAATATAATTACCTACGTGACGACAAGTAGTATTGCTTATGTACATACCATATATGGTTAATATTATGGATATCTCGGGATATAATCTATTTATGACTTCTCCTGTATCCTGGTCACGGCACCAAAATGTGTCTATCAACAAAAAATAAATAAAAAGCCATAAAATAATAATGACGTAGGTGTGACTCATAAAACTCATTAACCATTATACTAGAGGGAGACTTTGTACAAAATTCGTTTGCTTGGGTACCTTGGCGAATTTACAGGGTACAGAGGAATAACACCTGAGTCCTCAGGAATGACAACGCGTGAGGGGTATCATGGGCGAAACAGTATACTGTGTTTTGTCCATGGTACTGCTCATGGCTATAGGTGACGGTTACCACTTTCCATCAGGTGGGCCGTAGTTTATTTGCCATTCTTAGTAGCATAAAAAAACATTATATAATTAGTATGTAGGTGTGAAAGTACTATATACTGGACATTATTTTTCTAAACAGGTTGGCCATTCACTGCTCTCCTAGGCGTACCAATAGCAATAGACATGCTGCTCATCAAGCGTCAGTTTGTGGACTTCTTCAAATGGTCCATACTGTCCCTCCTCTTAATCCTGCTGCCGACCATCGCTGTGGACTCGTACCATTACGGTCGACTGGTGATAGCTCCGTGGAATATCGTCGCGTACAATATTTTCACTGAGCACGGCCCTGACCTGTACGGAGTGGAGCCGTGGACTTATTACTTTGTTAATGGATTTCTGAATTTTAACGTGATATGGGTGAGTGTTTTTAAATTTTCATATGAAAAAGGATATTTTATCATGTACAAGTATTATAAAATACACTCACGACTGCCAGAGGGAGACTTTGTACAAAAGTCGTTTGCTTGGGTACCTCTGTTCCATTCGTGTTTCAACAGTGAAGCAGTTGTTGGGATATGGCGTGAATTTATAGGGTACAGAGGAATGACACCTGAGTACTCAGGAATGGCAACGCATGGGGGTATCATGGGCGAAACAGTATACTCTGTTGTCCATGGTATTGCTCATGTCTATAGGTGACGGTTACCACTTTCCATCAGGTGGGCTGTCAGCTTGTTTGCCATTCTAAGTCGTATAAAGAAAAAAAAACCTTTTATTAAATGAAAAATTAGACATTTAATAAATGTTGCTTCTTATGATAAATATAACTGTCGTCTTTGGATTAATTTGGTTTCTTCATGGTTCATCATCAGAGAGTTGAATTGAAATTTTAAATTGTCACAAAATTTTCGATGTAAGTCAGATTCGAACTCATGAGCTTTGTCATAAGTCATGACTTACAGTCATCTAGATCACATAAATGACTTAGTCATTCTGCGATAATTTCTAAAAAAAAATAACTAATTTTGACTGTATAAAAGAACTAAATATAGAAATAGCAATGGTAAACATTTTTCTATAGTGGGCAGTACCTATACACTACACCTGTGTTTGTTATTTTATTAAGGTAAAATGATTTTTAATATCTTAACTTTAACGTCTATAATTCCAGGTGCTTGCTCTCTCATGCCCTCTCTTACTATTGGCGTGTACAGCGATCACGCCGCGGTCGACCGCGCGTGCTTCCTTCTGCGCTCCGTACTGGTTGGATCTGATGCCGTTGGTGCTCTGGTTAGGAGTGTTCATGATACAGCCGCATAAAGAAGAGAGGTTGGTATAACAATTCTTGATTAAACTATTAATCCGTCATACTCGAGAACAGATCTTGATTCCTCACAGCACATAAGCAAGTTATTAAAATTATTACCGTAATCAATTGGATATGTTGCTTAAAGTTTTACCTAAATGCCGTCTGCACAAAATCAGTAATTCATTCTATGGTAATTGCATAAGATTTTATAATAAACTGCCGGAATCTGCATTAAATCTGACAGAGAGGCAATTCAAATCTTATATTAAACAATTTTTATGTAAGAAAGCCTATTACAGGATAGACGAATTCATAGATGACAACATATCAAGTAAATAATTAGTTTATTAGCATACAACGTTATAATTTTATTTTCTCATTGCTTTCTTGATTTAATTGATTAATTTTAGAAATATGAAAGCGTAGCGGTTTTTTGTATTAATTGCCGCATGCATTCTTATGTAAAATGTGAATACTATAACTATCAGATGGCAATTGTGAGTAGCTTTGACGTGGTCTAGTGTTTTGAGTAGTCATGCTCACTAAAATGTCCAGACTTGTGGCGGCGTGGTGGGCCGGGTCATTGGGCTCCCTAAAATATGGTCGAGCGCAGTGATGGCTGGCTCATCCGTCATACTCGTGAACGGGTGCTGCTTGTAGGGACTGGTCTGCTCTAATCACTATGACTGATTTCCTCTTATTAATTGTTTAACCAGTTGGTTATGTATTCAATTTTTTTTTTCTTTTTTGAGTATTTAATTGAATTAGTGCTAATTGGTGGTTTGTATTCACACAATTAAACTTAAAAATGTAAAATAATAATAAAATTATTTAAAAGAGCATCACGCAAGTTTCTTGCTCGTTCTTCTTGTGATGAGACAGCTTTCCGAACGAGCGGTAAATTAAAAAAAATGTAATGACTTTTCAAAAGTGCTTCAATGTAAGTTTATTTGAATAAATGATTTCTATTCTATTCTAAAGAAATGTGATAACCAACAGTAAATAAATATATATATTTAATATATTTCACTAGATTTTTCAAATTGTCATTGTATATTTCTATTTTTTTGATACAATAATAAGTTAAATTGATAAATAATTCGCCTACAGCTAAATGTTAGTTGTTAAGTAAGTAAAAATAAAAGTCCAATTTTTAGACTTCTACCATAGACAATTTTTTTAAATTTCATTTTTATCATAATAACACGACATATGATCATACCATACCGAGTGAACACACGACATGTGGGGGAGAGAGATAGTAACAGGGCCTAGTAGCCCAATTGCTAGCAATATGCCCTAACAGGTCGACCTCCACGCGGCTCCCTTTAGAAACCATCTTACTTAATTATTGATGAATTGGTCACGATCCGCCAACTGATTTGCTTTCATCTTCACCTATCATCTGTCACTGGTACCCAGTCAGTATATACCGATAGTTTGTTTATAAAAAAAAAAACAAGACATGTGACCTCTTTTAAAAATTAAAACATTTTAAACCTTTCTTTCAGATTCCTTTACCCAGTGTACAGTATGATAGTGCTGGCTGGTGCGATATCGATGGACTGTATACAGAAGATGACATTTGCGGTCGGCACGGAGTTGTTCAGGTGGAGGAAGGAGCGAGAGAGACGCCATTACCTCGCGTACACCGGCCCGCTTATGGTCATGTGTGTTGCATTAGCGGCCGCTGGTGGTGAGTGCTTTTTGACTTTATTATCACTCTATGCGTGTATTTACTGTTCAATGTTTTATTTTTAGATGTCACTTAGAATGGAAAACAAGCTCACGGCCCACCTGATGGAAAGTGGTGACCATCGCCTATAGACATGAGCAGTACCATGGACATAACAGAGTATACTGTTTCGCCCATGATACTCCCCACGCATTGCCATTCCTGAGGACTCAAGTATTATTTCTCTGTACTCTGTAAATTCACTGGCATATCCCACCCTTCAAACCGAAACAAGCATGCAAACACAACCGCTTCATGGTAGAAACATTAATGGGACAGAGGTGCCCAAGCAAACGAGTTTTGTACAAAGTCTACCTCTGGTAAAATTCTCTATATAAATAGAATCTATTAAATTTCAAGGCCTTTATTTATAAAGTATAATTTAGAAAAAAGTTAATAGGTCTTTTATGGGAATGGGCATTAAATGTTATAATAAGATACCAAAGGATATTTTGGATCTGCCTTTTAATATGTTTAAAATTGTTATTAAAAAACACTTATTGAACAAAGCCTATTACATATTAAACGATTACTTGAATGACAAATGTGTATGGTGTTAGTCATTCATGCATGGGCTTTTAACGACCATTTAATTTTAGATTTAAATAAATACATATAATGTTAACAGAGATTTAAAAGAGTATTTGTTGAGTTTTTTGCGTTCTCTTCTCAACTGATAACGTTTTGAACCCTGCAGTGGATTAAACAAAAATGACGATTAAAAAAAAAAGTGTTTGTAAACAATTCTATTCGAATAAAGATGGTTTGAATTTAAATTTGAATATTAAAACATACATAGCTATATATATCTAAATTAAATAAATAAATAATAAAAAAACGGTGGCACTCCAGAAGTGTCTGACAGAAATAAAAATTTGAACAATTACGAATCGTCAGATGTGTCTGTTACGGTAACAAAGTCGCGAGTTCAATGGATTTTTCCCGTCTCAAAAAATACACTACGCGTCTAAAGAAATTTTCACTTCAAAAATAGATTACAATAAGTGTATTAAATGCATTTTAAAATATTTAATTATAATTATTCACATTGTTCCCCTATTCAACGTGTCTTAAGACATATTTATTAATAATCAGCGCCTTACTGTCCGGCTCGACCCACTGAAACTGCGCAGAGATGTTGCATCTTTGTGCATCTTCTATTCATCGGATGGTAAGTGACTACCGCCGCCCATGATCACCCACAACACCAGCGGCATTGCAGGTGTGCTGCCGGCCTTTAACAACATCTCTACGCAGTTTCAGTGGGTCAAGTCGGACAGTAAGGCGCAATCGTGTAGGATCATGTTTTGGTTCCATAAGTCATCATTAGCAACACGTACTGGTTAAAGAATGTAAATAGAAATATATAAATAATATATATTTGCAGGAATATCCCGTATAACGGCTCTGTACACCAACTACCACGGACCCATGCGGCTGCTGCGGTCGTTGCCCCCTCCACCGTCTTCCACGAACTCTCCTTACCTGTGCTTCGGTAAGGATTGGTACCGCTCGCCGTCCAGCTTCCACGCTCCTGGATACAATGTGAGATTCATACCGAGCGAGTTTACTGGGCAGATGCCGGCTCCTTATGCTGACTCGACTAATGGTGAGTGAGATAACAGTAATATTTATTTAATTACTTTATTGTGTAAATTTCACAGATTTATGTTGTGCCTTTATGTTTCTCTATTAAAGTAAAAAAAAAAAAAAAAATAACAGAATGGTTGAAAGAACGAATGTAGAGGGAGATTTTGTACAAAAGTCGATTGCTTGGGTACCTCTGTCCCATTCGTGTTTCTACCGTGAAGTAATTGTGTTTGCATGGATGTGTTTAGATGTTGATAGTCAACATCTAAAAAAAAAATACTTTTTACAAAGTAATTTTTTTACTGACGTATTAAAAAGAATAACACAAAAAAGGAAGGAAAAATATCATACACTTTTTTCCTAAATAAAATGGATAAATTAAAGAAAAAATATACACATGATATTCTTTTTTTTTTTTTATTTATTATATATTTTTTATTTAAAGTCAAAAGAACTTAGCCTATACAGTCTTTATGATAGACATTTATTACTTTAACACATCATACATGAATAACAAACAGCACAGATAATAAAACTTATAACTAATAGTATAGTAGATATAAAAAAGGAAGAATAAATGTCTATGTTTACTTGTTTCCACAGATTATAATCTCCAACTTTTGAAATTCGAATAAATGCTTCATGTTCTCTTTACAGCAACTCGACTCATTCACCCATACTTCAACGACCTGAACAAGGGTGACAACCGTACTTATCTCCGACCGTCGCAGTGCCACTACCTCGTCGACTCGGATATCGGGAACCCCACTAGCCTCGAACCTGCGTACCACAAGCAGTCCACGTGGGAGATAGTAGCCTCAGTACCTATACTAGACGCGCAGAGGTCGCACAGAATCTTCAGAGCGTTCTATGTACCCGTGTTGTCTAGTAAAAATAACGTATACGCCAATTTATATTTATTGAAAAATAAACTATTGGTAGGTTGATTAGAGTACAATTTCGATTGAGTATCAATAAATAAATATAGGATAGATAGAAGCGTTTGTTGGTTGTTCTTGTGGTGAACGTAACACTCGACTTTTTAATGTATTTCGTAAAAAATATAAACAGTACAGATCTCTTTAAGTCTGTACATGTCGTGACTATAGTTAAAGAAGTCGCTGTAAGAACTCTAGTCATTAAATTAAGCAAATATAAAGATATATAATACGATACAAAGCCAAACAGGATTTTAATTATTTATTTATTAAACTTTATTATACCAAGAGAGTGTAAATAGCGGACTTAACACCATATGGTGTTATCTATCAGTCAATTGTAGACAGGAATAACAGAAAATGTAATTGACGGCGTAACGTGATGAACAATATTAAAATAAAACAGTAATTCAACAATAATATACATATAATACATTATATACATATAAGATTTTTTTTATACAACTTAGAATGGCAAACAAGCTGACGGCCCACCTGATGGAAAGTGGTAACCGTCGCCTATACACATGAACAGTACCATGGACATAACAGAGTGTAATGTTTCGCCCATGACCCCCCCCCCCCCCCCCCCCCCCAAGCGTTGCCATTCCTGAGAGCATTTATTCATTCATCAGGTGTTATTCCTCTGTACCCAGTAAATTCACGCCATATCCCATCCTTCAAACCGAAACACAGCCACATTCTGTTTTCCTGTCCTCTCTTAGTGGTGTGGTGGTAACACTGCATCACTTTCCAGTGTTTACAAGTTCGAACCTCGTACGATACAGATATTTATCTGTTTGTATTTTAAATTAAACATATCAGTCATTAAAAAGTACAAGCTCTGTTTTGTTCAGCTCTAGATGTCGCTGTGTGAGGTATCCAGGATTTTTTTGTTTATTTATATGTGTACTAACAAAATTGAGATAATTTCTCTAGGTTTAGACTGTAGTTCAGTCTTATATACTACATTGAGACTTATTAAATTTGCAATAAATAAATCTATCAACTATAATGTTTTGTCACTTTCTTTCATAATTAAGATTTTAGGTCGAAAGAAAGGGACAAAATACTACATAGTAGATATCGTAGATTTTTTATATTTTTACGAATATGGGTAGTTAATAAATATAAGGGTAGAAGATTATAATTTTTAATTGTATGTGCAATATTTTTGTTACCTATTGCTATTGTAAGATTTTATTTAGCGCTTCCATTTTAATGCAAGCTTCCAGTGAAATAATTTCCATTAGATGGCGCTACTGGTAGTTGACTTTATTTCTAAAGTGGCCGATGGGCGAAAATTTTACCACCTTAAAAATAAAAATTAAAAGAGAGATTGTTTATTTTTTTTTATACAACTTAGAATGGCAAACAAGCTGACGGCCCACCTGATGGAAAGTGGTAACCGTCGCCTATAGACATGAGCAGTACCATGGACATAAGAGTATACTGTTTCGCCCATGATACCCCCCATGCGTTGCCATTCCTTCAAACCGAAACACAGCCATGCAAACACAACTGCTTCACGGTTGAAACACGAATGGGACAGAGGTACCCACGCAATCGACTTTTGTACAAAGTCTCTCTCTGGCCTTAAGGTGATTTAATTTAGGGCTCTATTACTTTTAAAACATAATTTTTTTTTTTTATATATATATATATATATATATATATATATATATATATATATATATATATATATATATATATATATATATCATCCCAAAATAGACAAGATATATTAAATTGGAATATTTCTGGAATTTTCTTTTTTTTTATATACACTGTACATTGACTGGCCCATGCTCTGTATATTTCTAAAGCATCTCTTATACGTTCTTTAGACTAGTAGCGCCATCTTGCTTATTATGAAGCCCCAATTGGCTTCCAACAAGTTGATTATTTATATTTTCAAAAATATGTACTTATTACACGTGTGTTTTTTATACATTTAGTAAATTATTGTGCAAATTATTTGTAAGATAATGCTTACAGATTGTGGATACGATTGTGCGGCAATAGAAATATAGAGGAAAGACCGCGTCCAGTGGGTCTACCATGAAACCTAATTCCGAAGTTTCGGATTTGAATTCACATTAAATTGAAGGTGATAGTCAGAAAGTAATGTTTCATTTGCTATACCAATTGTTCGGTTATTATAGAGTGTCTGAACAAACTGTATTTTTAGGTACTGTAACTGTATTTTTAAGTAAACTTTACAGTTTTTCTTTTATTCTTTTAAAGTCTTGTCTCGTTCGACTTTGAAATTTCGGAAAAATTTCATGGTATGCTGCATGGTCTACACGACAGTTGTCTATGGAAAATACATACATCAGCGAGACTTTATAGAGATACTAGCTGACTCGGCAAACGTTGTTTTACCATATACATTATTTCTAGAACTATACATGAAAATTTCTCGTACTACAATTATTATATTCGATTGCCATCTTGCAACCTTATTAAAGCATATAAAAATCGCGATTAAAAAACAGGGGTTGACTGTAAAAGCGTGAAAATTTGAATTTGTATGTATTTTTCAATGCTAAACCTTAATAAAATGAAAATAAAAAATATTGTCAAAAAAATAAAAAAAAAATTTAAGGGTGGGTCACTGTTATCATTGAGGGGCATGAAAAATAGATGTTGGCCGATTCTCAGACCTACCCGATACGCACACAAAACTTCATAAAAATCGGTAAAGCCGTTTCGGAGGAGTTTATATATTAGATGATTTTGTATCACAGTTGTATCAATCAATGAAAAAGTGACTTTTATACAATGAAAAGTCGAATAGATTATTCGACCCATGTAATCCTATTAAGGCTTACGATTAATCGTGTAATTCGTGTCGTAGAGTTGGTACAGGCATCCGAGTGCTTCTTGCAAGTTTTCAAACATACTCAATACCATCAGAGGGAGGGGAATTGTTAGTTATGTAAATTGATGACTCCATTGCTAGCAATATCTATCAGGTTCGGATTGATACCTGCTGCTGATTTTCACCACCGTACAACCCGTCACAAACTAAAGTTTAAAGTAAAACTAAATCGCTACACAAAACATCTTAATATTCCTGTCACGGATATGAATTAGCAGCGAACTTTAAAAAAGGGCGAGCATAAGAGATCGTCGAAAGGTTGTAGTGTCACAGGCTTAATATTATTTATTAAGACGTGTTTTAAAATTAAATAAACATATTTGATTACAATGTACGATTGTTGACCATTTTGAATTTCGACGACGTGTTTTTAACATATTTGCATTTTTATATTTACACTGAAATAATGTAATTTTTACTGTAGAATAATTTATTGTAATGCAAATGATCATTACTGAATTAAAATTAATTTATTAAATAATTGTGTTTTATTAGTGCCTGAGGTATGTTGTATTTATGTGCATTGTTTTAATACATATATAATGATTACGTTAAAAAAAAGTATAATTAGAACAATCTTTTACAGGGTACAGAGGAATAATACCTGAGTCCTCAGGAATGGCAACGCATGGGGAGTATCGTGGGCGAAACAGTATACTCTGTTATGTCCATGGTATTGCTCATGTCTATAGGCGACGGTTACCACTTTCTATCAGGTGGGCCGTCAGAAAGTTTGCCAGTCTAAGTTGCATAAAAAAAATCTAGGTCTTTTAATGCGATGGAAACTTAATGGGTTTTTGTTTTTATCGATAAAAATGCAATGGTAAACCTGCCTTCGCTATTGATACACGCTGGCGAGGTACCAGTGAGAGACGATAAGTGAGGATAAAAGCAGGTTCGTTAACTCATCTTGATGAATTTAACGATAATTAACCACGATGATTTCCAGGGGGAACCACGTGGAGGTCGACCTGATGGGTCATATTGGACTATTAGAATAGGATTTATGATGAACGAAATGTTAAGCTCCATTTACTGGGTCGATTATGATACGAACAAAAACACGAAATTGAGCCCGAAATGTCGGAATTTCATTTCATGGTAGACCACCAGGTCGTGGGTAAGGAGGAATCGCCTGCACGCGAGGAAGAAGAGCTATAGGGGTTCGGTAGAATTCGGAAGCAAACTCATGGCTCCGGCACTGTACTACAGCAAAGAGGCGGAACACCGTTGGATTCTAACCGTTAGGAGCCCGACAGTATCTAGTCTTAAAGAATGATGAATCTTTGTTTTTTAAAAGAAGTGTAAATTTAGGTTAATTTCTTAACCGTCTCGTTTTTTAATCACAATACTATTTGGTCACGAGAATCATGGCCAACAAAATTTTTATTATTTAGTTAGTTTAGTAGGTATTAGATGTAGTTAAGTAATTGATATTTTTTTTTAATTTTTAAATAATTTATTTTGTTATTATCTTTGATAACATTTTATTTATTTGTGTTTTTTTAAATTTCTTGTGAGTTTATAATGAGGGAAATAGTTCATATTCAAGTTGGCAGATGTGGGAATCAGATTGGGGCTAAGGTAACGTAACAGTCTTTACATAAGGCACCTACATTTTGAAATTGCAACCTTTAAGTATGGGGGGAAAGGGATTGTTAGTAATAGAGACCGAGAATCCCATTGCTAGCATCATACCCAACCAGGTCGACCTCCTCGTAGTTCTCCCTGGAAACTATCATGATAGGCTAACTGGCCTGTTTTCATTCTCATCTATCACCCTACACTGGTGCTCCGCTAGCGTATCCCGTTGGCGCGGACGGGGTTACCATTCCATTTTCACCTTTAAAAAACCCCTTAAGTATGTTGTTACAACTAATCAATGAGGGATATACTCGTAGTATCAGATAAAGATGTTTTATATAACATATCTGCAGTTCCATTCATGTTTTTACTGCCAAACAACTATTCTTTTAAGGTTTTGTTGCAATATGGAGGGGTAAGATGCTCAGGATTGTAATGCGTAACACCATTGACGTCATTGTATAATTTGTAATGTCTGGGGTGCTGTTTTATTTTTTAATGGATGATAAGGAATGGCAACCCCGTCCGAGTTAACGTTAACGGTATACGTTGACGGTATACGTTGACGGGGCACCAGTGAGGGATGATAGGTGAGGATGAAAAGGCAGGTCATTTAGCCCATCGTGATGAATACACCTGAAATTCAGCACGATGGTTTCCAGGGGGATCCACGTGGAGGTTGACCTGTCAGGGTATATTGCTAACAATGGGGGTGGTAGTCCGCATTTTTATCTATCCCCCCCCCCCCCTCCTCTGTGATACTGTTCATGCCCATGAGTGACACATCACTTTTTATCTGATAGTCTGTTAACTCTATCAGCTAGATTATTATTCCAAATTGCTTAAAAAATAAAAAAATAAAACTACTAGGAAATTTGTTAACAGAGTTCTATATAAACCTAGTTAGTTTGTTTACTAAGCGTACATTTTATTACAGTTCTGGGAAGTTATATCAGACGAGCACGGAATAAATCCACAAGGCTGTTACCAAGGAGATTCTGACCTTCAACTCGAACGCATCAACGTTTATTACAATGAGGGATCTGGTACAAAATACGTCCCTAGAGCTGTTCTAGTTGACCTCGAGCCTGGCACCATGGATGCGATTAGAGCCGGACCATTCGGGCAAATCTTCCGGCCCGATAATATAGTTTTTGGTGGTACGGGCGCAGGCAATAATTGGGCTAAAGGACATTACACAGAAGGTGCAGGTTTGCTTGAAGTGGTCCTCGACGTAGTGCGTAAAGAAGCTGAAGGTTGCGATTGTTTGCAGGGATTCCAAGTAGTGCACTCACTAGGCGGTGGCACAGGTTCAGGAATGGGGACGTTGCTGCTGGATAATTTAAGCGAGGAATATCCAGACAGAATAATGGTAACATACTCCGTGGTTCCGAGTCCTAAAGTTTCTGATACTGTCGTGGAACCATATAATGCGACTTTGTCTCTGAACCAGTTGATAGAAAGCTCGAATCAGTCGTACTGCATAGACAACGAGGCATTATACGATATTTGCTTCAGGACACTCAAATTAATGACGCCGACCTACGGAGACTTGAATCATTTGGTGTCTGCGACAATGTCGGGCGTGACCACATGTCTGCGTTTTCCAGGACAATTAAACGCTGATCTGCGTAAGTTAGCAGTGAATATGGTCCCGTTTCCGCGGCTACATTTCTTCATGCCAGGCTTCGCGCCGCTTACGTCTCGCGGCAATCAAAAATACCGCGCGCTATCCGTGCCAGAGCTCACGCAGCAGATGTTCGATGCTAAAAACATGATGGCGGCCTGTGACCCGCGCCATGGACGGTACCTCACCGTGGCCGCTGTCTTCCGTGGACGGATGTCCATGAAAGAAGTAGACGAGCAAATGCTGAACATTCAAAAGAAAAACAAGGATTTCTTCGTTGAATGGATTCCACACAATGTAAAGACAGCGGTATGTGATATCCCGCCCCGTGGTCTTAAAATGTCTGCTACTTTTATCGGCAATACGACAGCGATACAAGAGATATTTAAAAGGATCTCTGAGCAGTTTACATCTATGTTCAGAAGGAAAGCGTTCATTCACTGGTACACTGGAGAGGGGATGGATGAAGCAGACTTTACTGAGGCGGATAATAACTTGAGCGATCTTATATCTGAGTACCAGCAATATCAGGATGCCACCATTGATGACCAGGAATTTGAAGAAGAGGAAGAAGGGCCAAATGATGAGAGTGACGAATGAGAGGTTTTATGTATTCAATGAAAATATTATTTATGTATTTAATAAAACAGTATTCGAATTGAATATTTATATAGTAAATACCAATGCCAAGGTCTGTCTACATACTTAAAATGTGCTATATACCTATGTAATGTTGCCTTACGGTTGACTTTTCGTGATTATGTCCGTTTGATATTATTTGCTCCACAAAAAACAGCAACTCGCATACCTAATAAAGAATTAACAAGGCAGTAGACTATATATTAAGGGAATAAGGGAAAAAAGCAAAGTAATATGCCTTATTACGGAGTAAAATATCCATTGGGGAAGGGCGAGAAAGGGATCGTTAGTAATACGGACTACCAGTCCCGTTATTAGCAATATACTCTGTCAGGTCGACCTCCACGTGGTCCCCCTTGGAAATTATTGTGCTGAATTTCAGGTGTATTCATCACGATGGGATAACTGACCTGCCTTTCCATTTTCAGCTATCATCCCTCACTGGTGCTTCGTCAGCGTATACCATTAGCGCAGGTGGGGTTACCATTCCATTATCATCCATTGTAGGTGGTAGAGCCACGCTGTAATACCATATGGTATTGCAGCATGAATGGGCCGGCTCGACCGGGGAAGTACCACACCCTCACAGAATACCGACGCTAAGTGGTTGCACTTTCAGTGCGATCACATTCCGTACGGTGAGTGAGGGAGTCCGGAGGCCCATCCCATACCCATCCCATACCCATCCCTTTCCTATTCCTAAAATCCTTTCCCCAACCCCGTCCCCCTATCTTACAACACGCAACCATGGCAGTGGAATTAAAAAAAAATAGCATACCCCAGGGAGGTACCAGTAACCATGTTGCTGGAGAATCCTCTCTCGAGCAACCACGCTCGGGCTGCCCTGCGTATTCTGGGGGGGGCAAAATTCCGCTCTTTGGAACCAAGGGCAAACGGAGCAAGATTTCTACGGCATCCCCTTCGCTCAATGTGAGCTTCTGCAATATCAGGGGATTACATTCTAACCTAAACGCTGTCCACCACCACCTAGAAACGGCGCGGCCGGCATTGCTCTTTCTAACGGAGACACAGATATCCTCTCCAAACGAAACTTCATACCTGACGTACCCGGGCTATAAACTTGAACATTGTTTTGTTTCGCGTGCCGGTGTATGCGCGTATGTCAGAGAGGATATCTGCTGTCGCCGCCTTGGAACTCTTGAAGGTACGGACCTGTCTATTTTATGGCTGCGCGTAGACTGCAATGACCATCCTCGCGTCTATGCATGCCTATACAGGTCCCACAGCGGTAACATCGAAACCGACCAACTCATTGAGCACGTCCAAATGGCTACAGATTCCCTGCTCGAACAGATTCCTTCCGCTGAAGTCGTGATTCTTGGCGATTTTAATGCCCACCATACCGAATGGCTTGGTTCACGTACAACCGACTATGCGGGAAGATCTGTTCATGACTTTGCTTTGGCTTATGGTCTGACGCAGCTTGTTTCCTCGCCTACGCGAATACCTGATGTGTTGGACCATTCACCTTCACTGTTGGACCTTCTGCTGACCACCCACCCAGACAACTATGTGATTTCCGTCGAAGCTCCGCTTGGATCGTCGGATCACAGTCTGGTGCGGAGCGAGGTGCCTCTCATGAGTCCGATTCCACCACGTTCCACGGGTAGACGTCGTGTCTGGCACTACAGGTCAGCGGACTGGGATGAGATGCGGATTTTTTTCGCATCTTACCCATGGAGGCGGGTTTGCTTCACACTGGATGATCCTGACGCCATTGCCGATTCCATTGCTGATGTGGTGCTTCAGGGAATGGAATTATTTATTCCTAACTCTGTGGTGCCCGTCGGCGGGAAATCCCAGCCCTGGTATGGAGCCTCTTGTAGAACAGCATCTCGTCTGAAACAGGAGTGCTTCCTAACCTGGGCTAAAGGTGTGGCGTCGCGAGATCCTAACACCAGTGCTCTCAAAAAGAAGTATAACTCTGCCTCTAGGTCTTTCAAAAGAGTTATAGCCACAGCGAAGTCAGAGCATATCAGTAGAATTGGCAAGAGATTGGCTAGTTTGCCCTCTGGGACTCGAGCTTTCTGGTCTCTTGCCAAAGCTGCACAAGGGAATTTCTGTAAGTCATCTTTTCCACCATTGCGCAGGGAGGATGACTCGTTGGCCCAGAACGCTAAGGAAAAGGCCGATCTTCTTGGATCCATCTTTGCGTCAAACTCGACATTGGATGACGGGATGAAATCACCACCGACCATCACGTGTTGTAGGAGCTCTATGCCTGACATTAAATTCACGCATAGCTCAGTGCGTAGAGCACTTTTCTCCCTCGAAATCCATAAGTCGAGTGGGCCCGATGGTATTCCTCCAATTGTGCTTAGGACGTGCGCACCAGAGTTGGCTCCGGTTCTTACGCGTCTTTTTCGGCTTAGCTACTCATCGGGCATAGTCCCAAAGTTTTGGAAGACTGCTCTGGTGCATCCGATCCCTAAAAGGGAGATCGCTCAGATCCAGCTAACTATAGGCCCATAGCTATCACTTCCTTATTCTCGAAGGTTATGGAATCCATCATTAACCGTCAACTGCTCCGGTACCTAGAAGAGCACCAGCTGATCTGTGATCGCCAGTACGGCTTTCGACAGGGACGTTCGGCTGGTGATCTTTTAGCTTACTTAACACACCGATGGGCAGTGGCAATCGAGAGTAAGGGAGAGGCCTTAGCAGTTAGTCTGGATATCGCGAAGGCCTTTGATCGGGTGTGGCATAGAGCGCTGCTTTCAAAGCTACCTTCATTTGGGTTGCCTGCGAGACTGTGCATTTGGGTCGCCAGTTTTCTCAAGGAACGTAGCATTAAAGTCGTAGTCGACGGAGCATGCTCTGATTTAAAACCTTTGAATGCTGGTGTCCCGCAAGGCTGTGTACTATCTCCGACTCTGTTTCTTCTGCATATCAATGATATGTTACAGATAAGTAATATTCATTGCTATGCAGACGACAGTACAGGAGATACATTATATACCGGTCATGCAAAGATCTCGCGGGCACATACCGATGAGTGCCGGAATAGACTTGTGTCTGAAATCGAAACTTCACTCCATCAAGTTTCGATCTGGGGTGAACAAAATCTTGTCCAATTTAACCCCAAAAAGACACAAGTCTGCGCGTTTACCGCAAAAAAGACGCCGTTTGTCGTATCTCCTCACTTTCAGGGCACTTCCCTTGATAAAAAGTCGAGTCTAGGAATTCTGGGCGTTGATATATCTTGCGACGTCCAGTTTTGCGGTCATCTGGAGGAGAAGGCTAAGATAGCTTCCAAAAAGTTAGGAGTACTCAATAGGGTGAGACGATATTTCATGCCAGAACACCGCCTGAAATTATATAAAGCCCAAGTCAGGCCGCATATGGAATACTGTTCTCACCTGTGGGCAGGAGCGCCACAGTACCAACTCCTTCCGTTAGACCGCATTCAAAGTCGGGCGGCTCGAATTATCGATAGTCAACGCCTTACTGTCCGACTCGACCCACTGAAACTGCGCAGAGATGTTGCATCTCTGTGCATCTTCTACCGAATTTATCATGGGGAGTGTTCTGAGGAATTGTTCGGATTGATACCTGCTGCTGATTTTCACCACCGTACAACCCGCCACAAACTAAAGTTTCATCCCAATCATCTGGACGAGTGGCGGTCTTCCACCGTGCGTTTTTCAAGGCACTTTCTTCCACGCACAACCATTCTTTGGAATCAACTTCCTGCAGCAGTATTTCCGAACCGATACGACAACATAACCTTCAAGAAAAGAGTATATTCCTTTTTAAAAGGCCGGCAGCACACCTGCAATGCCGCTGGTGTTGTGGGTGATCATGGGCGGCGGTAGTCACTTACCATCAGGTGAGCCGCATGCTCGTTTGCCCCCTGTGTTGTAAAAAAAAAAAAAAAAAAAAAAGAAAAAATTATCCATTATAAATTGTCAAAATTGGTTCAGATTTAACAACTGTGTATCATATGTACCTAGCTACAACTACGATTTAGAATAAGAATCAAGAATTTAGAAACCAGAACTTAATCGATACAAAACCAAAAGTAAATAAAATTTGGTCAAATTGTTTACTAAAATTAAAAAAAAACAGGCACCAAGACATCTTACGCAAATTAATTGAGTGATGTCGACTAAGTGACTGTGTGATAGCAAATGTTCTTAGATAAAAAGATATATTTATTAAGCAAAAAACCTAATTACATTACAATTAAAAATTATAAAACATATCAAAATTCATTCAAATTGGTTTACTCAAGTGGCTACATTTTTCTCCTACCGATACATTTACCGGCCTATCTGATTAAAACTATGTTGGCATTTGCCATTTACCAGCAAGCGGATGTTACAATGCTATTTGTTACAGTTATATCAGAAATAAAGTAATTAAACAATGCAAATAAACAGGCAGAAACCAGGTACCAGTCATCATATCACAATAATCTGGAACATTAGACTAAGATAACTCAATATTTGAAATTATAAAATAGTTTATTCCAAACAGTGTACACAAAAACATGGTTACATTTACGACTTAACACTATGACAGAAACAATACATTGGACAAAACACGAAGACAATCATTCTTCTTCCACTTCCTCATCAAACTCCCCCTCGTCATCAGCCGTGGCCTCTTGGTACTGCTGGTACTCCGACACCAGATCATTCATATTGCTCTCTGCCTCCGTGAACTCCATTTCATCCATACCTTCACCAGTATACCAGTGCAGGAAAGCTTTCCTTCTAAACATAGCTGTAAACTGTTCGGATATCCTCTTAAACAGTTCTTGAATAGCTGTCGTGTTTCCAATAAAGGTTGCGGACATCTTGAGTCCACGAGGCGGTATATCGCAAACAGCTGTTTTGACGTTATTCGGGATCCATTCGACAAAGTAGCTGCTGTTCTTATTTTGGATGTTTAGCATTTGCTCGTCCACTTCCTTCATGGACATCCGTCCACGGAAGACAGCGGCTACTGTGAGGTATCGTCCGTGACGCGGGTCGCAGGCCGCCATCATGTTTTTAGCATCGAACATCTGCTGCGTGAGCTCTGGTACGGACAGCGCGCGGTACTGTTGGCTACCGCGAGAAGTAAGCGGCGCGAAGCCAGGCATAAAAAAGTGTAGCCGCGGGAATGGGACCATATTAACGGCTAGCTTACGCAAATCCGCGTTCAGCTGCCCTGGAAATCGTAGACACGTCGTGACGCCCGACATCGTGGCAGATACCAAATGATTCAAGTCTCCGTATGTCGGCGTCGTCAACTTGAGTGTTCTGAAGCATATGTCGTACAAAGCTTCATTATCTATGCAATACGTTTCATCCGTATTTTCTACCAATTGGTGTACTGATAAAGTGGCGTTGTACGGTTCTACTACAGTATCGGATACCTTTGGACTGGGAACTACTGAGAAGGTATTCATTATGCGGTCTGGGTATTCCTCTCTAATCTTCGAGATTAACAACGTTCCCATACCAGATCCAGTTCCGCCACCAAGCGAATGAGTCAATTGGAAGCCTTGCAAGCAGTCACAACCTTCTGCTTCTTTTCGAACTACATCGAGAACTGAATCCACCAATTCTGCGCCTTCGGTGTAGTGGCCTTTAGCCCAGTTGTTGCCTGCTCCGGATTGACCAAATACGAAATTGTCAGGCCGGAAGATTTGTCCAAAAGGTCCAGAGCGCACGGAGTCCATTGTGCCGGGTTCGAGGTCGACGAGCACGGCTCGGGGTACATATTTACCACCGGAGGCCTCGTTATAATAAACATTGATGCGTTCGAGCTGAAGATCAGAGTCACCTTGATAGGCGCCGGTGGGGTCGATGCCGTGTTCATCAGAAATCACCTCCCAGAACTGCAAATACATTTGAATAGCGCAATTATCGTGATTCTCTTATTTGTTGTAATTACTACGATTACTACAATCTTAAATGTTATATCTGTATTATACAAAATATTAAGAATTAAAAAAAAGTATGAATCTGTTGAGAATTGATAAAAAACATCAATATAGGCAATTTGAGAACTTTTCATACAGTTGATAATACATCGTAAGGGATAATTTTTTTCTCGATACTCCCCTGCTAGCCCAATTCATCCGTTTCGCCATTTTAAGATTTTAACCTAAAATTGACTGGGGGAAAGGGATTGTTGTCAATGGAGTTTGACAGCCCCATTGCTGGCAATATGCCCTAATAGGTCGACCTCCACGTGGTTTCCCCTGGAAACCATCGTGAACAATTCTTGTTGAATTCGTCACGATGGGCTAACTGACCTGCTTCATCCTCACCTATCATCCTTTACTGGTACCCCGCCGGTGTATTCCGATAGCGCGGGTGGGGTTACCATTCCATTATCACCCATTAAAAAAAAACCTAAAATTGACTATTACGAGATTTTTAAAATCCTTTGAATGGGTACCTCTGCCCGATTTGTGTTTCTGCCGTGAAGCAGTGGTGCTTTGCATGGCTGTTTTGATTTGAAGGGTTTGAAATAAGTCTTTGTACCCTGTAATTTCACTAAATTACAGGGTACGTAGGCATAACATCTTAATACTTAGGAATAACAATTTTTTTATTATTATTTCAGCCGTTAACTATCCCCTGTTGAATATAAGCGTTTCCATAAGAAGAGTTTTGCCAGTAGTTGCCACGCTTGGCAGGCGGGTTGACAACCACAGTTTGGCTTTTAGAGATATTTTAAATGGGACGGTGCAGTCCATCCCTCGCCCTCTTTTAGTTGCCTCTTACGACACTCACGAAAAAGGAAAAAGTGGCCCATTTTATTTCGGGGCGCATACGGCGTAGGAATAGCAATGCACGAGTAGTATACCGTGGGCATCCCAGCTGTGTATGTCTACAGGTGGCCGTTAGCATCAGCGGCGGCCTTACCCATTGCGAGGCTCCGGGCGATAGGTTTTTGCGAAGCCCTTTATCTTTCGTGAAAAATATGTGATGCGAAACTAGGTCTGGTTTTTTGATTTAGGACATTTGTTATGTTTGACGAGAAATGGTAATCAAATAAAATTTGAGATATTTAATTATTGGAAATTTTCCATTGACTCAAAAAAATCTTATTTTCCATTGTTTATTGTTCATTCGCGATTAAAATGCCTAATTCGGGAAGTTTTTACGACTTGTCACTAGACAAAATGCCACTCACTGGTTGTTTAAAATTTGCTTGGGTTGTTACGACCCTACAAGAGCGAGGCCCCGATCAATTGTCCTGTTCGCCACCCCTAAGACCGCCGCTGGTTTGCACTCAACCTCAAGTTGGCTGTCAGCTTGTCAGTAGCTATCATAACGAAAATTGAAATGCTAAAACATTTTAAATTAATAAATTTCCATTACCTTGGCTCCAATTTGGTTGCCACATTGTCCAGCCTGGATGTGCACGATTTCCCTCATCGTAAATATTTCACAAATAATTTAATACCAAAAATGTAGTAAGTTTGAATTTTGTTGCCGTTAAAACAATCATAAAAAAATACTAGAAAAAAAAACTTCTGTGTAATTTCAATGGTGCATAATACACGAAATTTTATTCAACAATGAAATAGAGAATATTTTTGTTTTTTATTTAAAAAAAATAAACAGTTCCATATTTGAAACGAGTGTAGTGCTATGCTGCCTGTAATATTTATTTAACACAAAAAAGAAAGAGATTAATTAACCTTTTTTTTAATCGACTTCAAAAAAGGAGTAGGTTTATTTATTTATTTATTTACACTTTATTGCACCAAGTTAAGAAAGAAATAACAAATACAGTAAATATTAATAAGAAGTGATACCAAAGGCCTTATCGCTAAGCAATCTCTTCCAGACAACCTTTGGGTAGGGGACATTGAGAAAAAGACAAAGGGTAGGTGGCACACTGTTATATAATATAAATACATATACATACACACATATATACACACACATATATTACATATATACACAATCAAATATATACATAACATACACATACTTAACAGCACACATACAACGAAAAAAAAAGGAAAACGAAGAGAGAACACAGGAAAATAGTACTAAAGGGAGAGGTAGTAGGATTTAACAGCAGTTTTGAAGCTAGTAAGAGTTTAAGCGCACCGAATTGAGGTAGGTAGTGAGTTCCATAGGCGAATTGCCTGAACAGTAAAGGATTTAGAATAAAAGGTTTTCAATTCGTTTGTATTTTTTGGTTTGAAGAATTTATTTAATTAGAATCTTGTCATTTTTTCCCATCAAAATTGGTTTAATAGTTTAGTTTTTGAATCAAAATAATTAATTCATGGTTGTGATGAATAAGTTTTTAAATTACAATAGTGAAGTCAACATTAATAGGCAGTATCAATAAAATGTCGGTGTTTTTTTTTGTGAAACAAAATTTCTTTTATAACACAGGGGCAAACGAGTATTTTTTTTTATACAACTTAGAATGGCAAACAAGCTGACGGTCCACCTGATGGAAAGTGGTAAACGTCGCCTATAGACATGAGCTGTACCATGGACACAGCCATGCAAACACAACTGCTTCACGGTGGAAACATGAATAGGACAGCCAACCCAAGCAATCGACTTTTGTACAAAGTAAACACCCATAGTTAAGTACCCATAACATAGTTAAGTACCCATAACATAGTTAAGTACCCTCTGGTAACATTGATTTAAAATGTACCACTAAATCCTTCAGCAAAATTTTTCTATGGGGATTAAAATGGGGGTGTCCATATTTAGTATTACGACTATAATCATAATGAAAATTTGTGATATTTTCGTCAATTCAAAACCAATTCTGATGATTCTTTTTGCAATTTTTAATCATACAAATTTGGCTAATAGTGTTTTATCGTGATAAAGTGTATGTAGTCGTTATACTTAGTCTATGAATTAAAGTAATTTTTTTCCAGCAAAATCTAAAGATAGGTATTATAATTATTACTACAGGTTTTTTCAAACTGAAAATCTGTAACACAGCGACCTTTGTGATCTTTTGTGCTCGCCCTTTTTTAAAGTTCGTCGCTGTAAGGCTTAGTTCCTTTGTCGTTCGCTTCATCTTTTAACCCTTAAAAGCCTGATTTTTTTAAATAAAAAAATATATTAGTGTACCCTTTACTGTGTTCACTAATGGGGGAAAAATAGTAAAAAAATCAAAACTATATTTTTATATTTATTTTGAAAAAAAAATTGGTTACATGTAAACAGCCAGCTATTAAAATAAAATCGATTGTAGGCGTCCAATGCGATTTATAACCCCGGTATCAAATTTGAAACTTCAGCGACATTTTTTTTATCTCAGTATATGTAGTGTTTTTTTCAAAAAAGATATATTGCTTATGTATAAGTGGGCTACAATTATGATTATTTGCTGTGGCATTTCATCCTCTGCAAACTGCTAACACTTTTTAACGATAAGCCTAGTTGGGCCATGTGCTTATTTAGTTTGCAGTGTCCTTTGAGAGCCCTTGTTAATACACTATTTTCTTTGCCTTAAGATACGTTATTGAATGTTGTCCGTTATTTTGTTTAATTACCTGCGCGAGAAATTTCAATGAAATTTTATTAAGCTAGTTTTGGCCACAACATGCATGCATTTTGGTTTGAAAAGCGGGATAACCTGAATGTTTGTTAATAGCGATCAGAAAGTTGGTTGAAATTTACTCGAGCTCATGGCGAAGTACGTAGGTACCAATCGGTTGCATAATTTAATTCAACTACTTAGTCATATGTACGCTAGTTACTGATGCAACGTCTTCACTATTATGATGAAAACGAGAAGTATGTTCGGATAAATTTTAATTAGGACAAACACAAGGACATACACAATTGAGTAAATAACCAAAAGGATCCTATTCCTCCTCCAATCCTTCGCCTTCTGCTTCCTCATCAAACTCGCCCTCGTCGTCTGCCGTAGCATCTTGGTATTGTTGATACTCAGACACCAGGTCGTTCATGTTGCTCTCCGCCTCTGTGAATTCCATCTCGTCCATACCCTCACCGGTGTACCAGTGCAGGAAAGCTTTCCTCCTGAACATCGCCACGAACTGTTCAGCCATCCTCTTGAATATGCTCTGAATGGCTGTCGTGTTACCAATGAATGTCGAAGCCATCTTCAAACCTCGAGGTGGTATATCGCATACAGCAATCTTCACATTATTCGGTATCCATTCCACGAAGTATGTACTATTTTTATTTTGAATATTGACAAGCTGTTCATCAACTTCTTTCATCGACATTCTACCTCTGAATATCGTGGCAACGGTCAGGTATCTTCCGTGTCGTGGGTCACACGCAACCATCATATTCTTGGCGTCAAACATCTGTAACGTCAACTCTGGGACTGTCAGAGCTCTGTATTGTTGAGCCCCTCTCGAGGTCAAAGGCGCAAAACCAGGCGTGTAAAAGTGGAGGCGGGGGAACGGTACCATGTTCACAGCCAGCTTTCTCAAATCCGCATTCAACTGTCCAGGAAACCGTAGACAAGTCGTGATGCCGGACATAGTGGCACAAACCAAATGATTTAAGTCGCCGTACGTGGGCGTTGTCAGCTTCAGTGTCCTGAAACAGATGTCGTACAGCGCCTCGTTGTCCAAGCAGAATGTGTGGTCAGAATTCTCCACTAGCTGGTTCACTGCTAGCGTGGTATTGTACGGCTCCACAACGCAATCCGATACTCTCGGACTGGGAAATACTGAAAAGCTTAGGAGAATTCGGTCGGGATACTCCTCTCTGATTCGGTTGAGTAGAAGTGTACCCAAACCAGATCCGGTGCCGCCTCCGAGCGAGTGGGACATCTGGAAGCCTTGGAGGCAATCGCAACCTTCAGCTTCTCGCCGGATAACGTCTAAAGCAGATTCTATGATCTCAACTGCTTCGGTATAATGACCTCTTGCCCAGTTGTTGGCTGCGCTGTTCTGTCCATAGACAAAATTGTCGGGTCGGTATAGACAGCCGAAAGGTCCAGATCTTACTGCATCCATGGTGGCAGGCTTAAGGTCAACAAGCACTGTTCGCGGGACATACTTGCCACCAGACGCTTCGTTATAGTAGACATTGATACGTTCAAGTTGAAGATCTGAGTCGCCGTGGTAACATCCGCTTGGATCAATACCGTGCTCATCGGATATCACCTCCCAAAACTGCAGACAAAAAAACAACTTTTAATATACAAAAGTCATCATCGTTTTCCTAACCTTATCCCAATTATTATTTGGGGTCGACGTAATGTTTTTCTCTTCCATTCTTCTGAATTCGCAGTCATTTTTGCATTCATTTTCATTCTGGCCACTTTCACACAGTCCGCCCATTTAATATAGAAAAGTACTAATAGAAAAAGTAACATGAGTCCTCAGGAATGGCAACGCACAGGGGGTATCATGGGCGAAACAGTATACTCTGTTATGTCCATGGTACTGTTCATGTCTATAGGCGACGGTTACAACTTTCCATCATGTGGGCCGTCAGCTTGTTTGCCATTCCAAGTAGCGTAAACGAAATACTACAATTAGTCACGTATTGCCAAGTATAGGCAAGAGCTAGAAATTGAAAGCTAATTCGATCTTGTTGCATATTGATTACCTTTTTACAAGCTTTTTATTTAATTTTTTTTTCATTGGAATAACGACGAGAGTCTGTTCAGATTTAGCGATTGTATCAGGTAACCCACATACAAGAAAAACAAAATATCGGGCATTTCCTTCCGACAATCGTTACTAATATATTACTAGAAATGTGAAATTGAGTTTACCTTATAAGACTAATGATTTAATTTCACTATGAAATTTGATATATACGAGACGTACTGTATGGGCTAGTCAGTACATATACTCGTATTCCAGTCATGTGGGCCAAGTCGCCGGTAAAAGCTAGTTAGTTAGTTAGTCTATAAGAAAACGTAGTACATACATACATATCTGTCACGCCTGTCTCCCATTAGGGTAGGCAGAAACAATGGAACGCCAAATGTTTCGCCAAAACGTAGTCTTCATTCGTATAGTCTTATTAAAATAGAAGAGGTTTCATTGATACTAGTTATGTCTTTGTGCAGCAGCATCCTTCTTAAAACATTTCAAAAAGCCTTACTGCGGTTACCAACCTGCTTGCCAAGCGTGGCAACTACTGGCAAAACTCCCATTATGGGCAAGGCTTATGTTCAGCAGTGGACAGTTAACGACTATAATAATAATAATAATTTCTTTGGGAACTAACCTTACCACCGATCTGATTCCCACACGCTCCAGTCTGAATATGAATGATCTCCCTCATCTTGTAAATTTATCTTCTAGCTTCGGTTACTTGTAAAATTTATCGGAAAATTTATCAAAAGTTTCTTATGCAGTTGAATCTTAACATTAGCTTATCAACTAATAAAAAAAAAATATATAAAAAATCTTGATTCGTATCACACTGCGCGCATGACGAATTTCAGAAAAATGAACTTGGAAAAAAGACGAGCAGCAGTCAAGAATTTTAATCTAGAATTCTAGAAATTTAAATTAAATTTAAGAATAAATAGATAATTGATTTTCAACCAGTATCTCATAATATATATTTTTAATTTATTTACAGGCTTAAATTACTTTTCGGTACACGAAGTGCATGTATGCATGTTTTTTTACTATTTTTTTTATTATATTCTTTATTAAAATTACATGTTTTTTTAGATTGTAATCTAATATTAATATTTTTATATAAATTGTGCCATCTTACACAATAGTTAGTTTATTCGTAAAATGTAATGCTACTGAAGTGTCACTTCAGGTAGGTACTGTCCAACAAATTCCGCGCGCTTCCGCAAGATGGCGCGCCGCTGTTTTCAGGGGGCTTGTTTTGTTTTCAGCGCCCGCACTATTGTCATGGCGCTCGCTCGAAATGTCAGCGAGGTAGCGACCCCGAATACAATGTAAATTCTTAGATAATTCTGTATGATGTAGTTATATTTGATATGTGAAGTGTGCATAGTGTGCGAGTGCTCGCGGAGTGATGTCAGTGGCCGACGGCGATGAGGTCGCGCCAGAGAAAAAAACACCGTTCCAAGATGACACGGACAGTGATAACGATACTGAGAGGAAACCATTGCTCCGGAGGATATCAACCAGTAAATGCGTCGGTAGACTGGTGAGTTGAACGCCTTTTATTTGTTTGGCCAATTGTTTTCTGGCATGCGAGCAAGGGCGTGCCAGACGAGACGGTGGCGGGGGGAGGGGGGCGCGACCCATGTGCCCGGGCGAGCGGTACAAATTTCGAGGATCAATTTTTTAACGATATTGTTTGTTTGGGCATTCTAGTTAATTGTATGTTTAGATCGTAACGAGGTGAAGATAGGTAGACGACCTATTTAGCGCCTAGCTACTGGAGTCTGGAGCCGGAGGTTTGCTGCTCTTTTGAGCGGGTAAAAAACTTAACTTACTATTTTTTGTTATGATTCTACCTATAGTATTGATGTTTACTTTTCTAAAGTTCCTTATAATTAGGAGTTCGTTTACCTCTAATTACATAATAGAAACTGTTATCCAATAGAAATCTATTTCAAAGATTAAAATTTAACTATCACTATAGTTAAATTTTAAGAGATTGCGAGAGATTTCTCTAGCAATTGTTTCTTTTTTAATTTTGTTTATACATATTCACCTTAACTATTAGACTAGAAATAGTGTAAATACTTAATAAATAGACAATATCTTATGTCAAATTCAAATGAAATTAAAGATTACGATATTTATTATAAATAGGTTTTCCCAAGAGACTACAGCATGGGGTTCTTCAAAAGGGAGGTAAAGAGGTTTCTTCAGGGTCGGCAACGCGCGCGTAATACCTCTGGTATTGCAGGCGTTCATAGGCTACGGTAACCGCTTACCATCAGGTGGGCCGTATGCTTGTTTGCCACCTCAGTGGTATAAAAAAATAAATAAATAAAGAATGAAAGGTATTATTAGATAGATAGGTAGATATTCTTTATTGTTTCCTCCAAAAGATTACAACAGTAAACTTATTACAAATATAAATAATTACAAGAAATAATCACAATGAGAGAACAATGGGCGACCTTATCGCTTAGAGCGATCTCTTCTAGGCAACCTTTGGATGGAGATTAGTAACGCGAGCTACCAGTCCTATAGCTAGCGACCCTATAGGGTATGGTCGACCTCCACGAGCTCCCCCTGGGCTAATTGACCTACCTTTTTATTCTCACCTATCATCTCTCATGGGTGTTCCGCCAGTGTATACCGTTAGCGCAGGCGGGATTATCATTCCATTATCATCCATTAAAAAAAGCACTCCCATAAAGAATGATCCTAAGTGATTTGCATCCACTGACTTGCAATGCATTTGAGGTCGTCGCCCTATCTAAGTGATAGGTCGCAACGCAAACTCAGGATGAGTTTGCGTTGCATTCAAGATATATTTTCTCCCATCGGTTATCAGTTCTTCGAGCTATGGTCAGCCCATTGTCACTTTTAACTCAAATACCGTTAAACGGATGAAATGTTTTTTTTTTATACCACCGAGGTGGTAAACAAGCATACGGCCCACCTGATGGTAAGCGGTTACCGTAGCCTATGAACGCATGCAATACTAGGGGTATTACGCGCGCGTTGCCGACCCTGAAGAAACCTTTTTACCTATTTTTAAAGAGTCTCATACTGTAGTCTCTTGGAAAAACTTCGACAGGTATTTGAATGAAATTTACTATGCGAGTAGGTTACATCTTATTTAATAGATAGAACGTGAATATCGTCATCATCATAATTTCAGCCATTATCCATCCACTGCTAGACATAAGCCTCCCCTATATAATGTATATAGAAAAAAAAACGCTAAAAACTGAGTCACAGGGATATTAGAAGTGAAATAGGACACATCCAGATTTAATTAAATTTTTTTGTTTCGTTCTATCTGTTTATCTGTTTGTACGGGCTAATCTCCGAAACTGTTTTTTTTAATGGGTGAAAATGGTATGGTAACCCCGCCTGCGCTAACGGGATACGCTGGCGGAGCACCAGTGAAGGGTGATAGATGAGAATGAAAACAGGCCAGTTAGCCCATCATGATGAATTAATCAGGAATTAACCATGACAGGGGTAACCGCGAGGAGGTCGACCTGGTTGGGTATATTGCTAATAATGGGATTCTCAGTCTCCATTACTAACAATCCCTTTCCTCTCCGAAACTGTTGGACCGATGTAAATGAAATTTTGCATGGTGATCTACATTTTTGGGTACTATTAATCACGGAAAATTAAATAGTTCCCGTGAGATAGTTAAAAAAATTGTAGTAACTTATACAGCTTAATACACAACCTACTTATGTAAAGTCACTTTCACCTAAGGCAAAGGGGGAACGACACGTCATTTGTTAATTTTGGTCCAGTATTCCCAGACATAATTAATAGGTAGGTGCATACATCGATACATACTTAAATACTAAACAGGAATAACAAATACCACGCGGACAAAGTCGCGGGCATCAGCTGGTTTCTAATATGCGTGGTGCTCTAACAATGGTAGGTAGGTCCCGTGCCGTCCGCCACCTGTCAATCTTTATGTTTGCACGCGTTCCATTTTCATTCAGTCCATTCATTTGACTACAGTCCATTGTACGGCCAGTAACAATAAGTAAATAATACTCACATATCAAACCGTGCTTTTATGTCTTTCGCTATTTTTCAATATTATTAAAAAAAAATATATATCATCTTTCAATTTGAGATACGAGTATATGTAATAAATACACATAATAAAATGGTACTTGGAAGGGGGGGGGGGGCTTTATGAACGCAATAGGACTCAAAACAATGATTTTTAGAATTTTTGTCTCTTTGTCTATATGTCTGTTTGTCTGTACGTTTGTGCACGCCAATCTCAGAAACAGCTTAACCGATTTGAATGCGGTTTGCCCCACTTAACATTTTGTGTTTGTTTTATTTCGATCGGTTTATAAAAAAATAATAAGTTATATTAAATCTAAAAGACCAAATATATAAAATGTTATAAAATAACTGTTCAGTTGAATTGGCTGAAACTTTTTTTTTATTTTAGGCATTGATTTTCGAAAATTCTGTCTACTTGTGCGAAACCGGGTCGGATTGCTAGTCTATAATGAGTTTACTATAGTAATGTTATGGAGGAAACAATAAAGAGTATCTATTAATCTATTTATTTATCAATATATATATAATATAAATCTATTTTAACATTTATACTATTTTGTCATGTTCTTTCAAATTGGGAATTTAACTCAAAAGAAAGGGACAAAACAGTTCAATAACTAAAATAGGTTTATGAGTAGTTTTTATAAATAAATTATAAGGGACAGTCTACATTCTATTTATTAGTATAATTTACTTTTTAATAATTTTAATTAATTATAATTAAATAAACATTACATAAATATAAATAAATAAATGAAATACAATATAATCGAAGTGCAGGGAGTCAGTGGATGCAGGTAGCTAAGGACCGTTCCCTATGGCACACTATGGGGGCGGCCTATGGTCAACAGTGTAGAGCCAACGGCTGAGATGATGATGGTGATGATGAAGAAGCAATCGAATATTAATTAAAATAATTTTATTATAAACTCCTTGTTGGTTTTATTTTATGGGTGAAAACAGCATGGTAACCCCACCTGCGCTATCGGTATACACTGGCGGGGTTCCAGTGAGCGGTGATAGGTGAGGTGTTGAGGAAAAGGAAAGTCAGTTAGCCTATTGTGACGAATTTTATGATAAATAAGCTATATATTGGTAGGGTATATTGATAGCAATGGGGACTTATCTCTTCATTACTAACAAACCCTTTCCCCCAATCCTTGGTGGTCAGGTACGCGTACCCGATGTGGTATACTGTTCTATTAAAAGGATTACATATTTTTATTAATCTGTCATGAAATTTTGATTTACATTTACGTACAATAACAAAGAAATTATTGTTCTATTCTCTATGAAGTATTTAATTAAATACGAGGGAAGGGGAGGAAACATTTTTTAATAAATGATAAATGGTATGGTATGCGTTGACACCAGTGAGCGCCTCATTGGTGCTTCGCCAGTATATATCAAAAGCGCAGGGGTTACCATTTCATTATCATCCATTAAAAAAAAACTATAGTCTACTAGACTGTAGGTTATTTTTTTAAATTTTAAACTACAGTAAGTGCCACAGACAGATTTACCAGAGGGAGACTTTGTACAAAAGTCGATTGCTTGGGTACCTCTGTCCCATTCGTGTTTCTACCATGTAGCAGTTGTGTTTGCATGGCTGTTTTTCGATTAGAAGGGTGGGATATGGCGTGAATTTACTGGGTACGGAGGAATAACACCTGAGTCCTCAGGAATGGCAACGCATGGGGGGTATCATGGGCGAAAGAGTATACTCTGTTATGTCCATGGTACTGCTCATGTCTGTAGGCGACGGTTACCACTTTCCATCAGGTGGGCCGTCAGCTTGTTTGCCATTCGAAGTTGTATAAAAAAACAGAGCAGTGCGTCCCGAATTGCCGTGTAATCTTTCGGTACATCCTATTCGCCCCTTACATTCTGTAAGTACCTGCGAAGTTTATATCAAAATCCGTCATCAAGCCGAGCTGTCAAAGTGATAGTACTCGTGTTCAGGGCACATTGTCCGCGTCAGGACGTCCGGCGGCCGTCAATCTGTGTGTCCCAGTTTTGGAGCATCTCCCAATCTCCAACCTATTCTGTTCGGTTGACGGATCGTTGAGTTAGGCACCCTATGTACAGTCGCTTTCATACACTACTTAATGGAGTAGTTTATAATTTAATATTTTGTTATTTAAATAATATTTTGTAAACAAAAAAAAAACACAGAATTTAGAAAAACCAGTTATTTTTATTTTAAAACTAAACTACTAAACAGATTTTGAAAAAAATTCTATGGACTTAGAAAGTAAAATTGCAATTGTGTTCCGCAAAAAAAAAATACTTCAATTTTGGCAAACCAGCTATATTGATTTTAAAACTAAATTTTTTTTTATGCAACTTAGAATGGCAAACAAGCTGACGGCCCACCTGATGGAAAGTGGTAACCGTCGACTATAGACATGAGCAGTACTATGGACATAACAGAGTATACTGTTTCGTCCATGATACCCCCCATGC